TAACTAATAGTCATACAGTACAGTATATATTATCAGGTAGGTAGCCTTGTTGGTCTGACACAGTCAAAATATATAAAATAATAATAATAAAATTGTCCAGTAGCACCTTAGAGACCAACTAAGTTTGTTCTTGGTATAAGCTTTCGTGCGCATGCAGGTATCTGAAGAAGTGTGCATGCACATGAAATCTTATACCAAGAACAAACATACAGTGGTACCTCGGGTTAAGTACTTAATTCGTTCCGGAGGGCCGTACTTAACCTGAAACTGTTCTTAACCTGAAGCACTTCAGCTAATGGGGCCTCCTGCTACTGCCGCGCCACCAGAGCACAATTTCTGTTCTCATCCTGAAGCAAAGTTCTTAACCTGAAGCACTATTTCTGGGTTAGCAGAGTCTGTAACCTGAAGCGTATGTAACCTGAAGCGTATGTAACCCGAGGTACCACTGTAGTTGGTCTCTAAAGTGCTACTGGACAATTTTTTTATTTTTATATATATATTAGTATATATTAGATTACTTCCAGAACAAGAGGTGGCATGCTTCTCAGTACCAGTTGTTGAGGAAGTGAGGAGATCGCTGTTGCTCTCAGGTTCTTGTGGGCTTCCCATAGGCATCTGGTTGTTGGACAAGGGCCACATTCACACCATACATTTAAAGCACTATTATGCCACTAGAAAGAGTCATAGCTTCCCCCAAAGAATTCTGGGTGCTGTAGTTTGTTCAGGGTGCTGAGAGTTGTTAGGAGACACCTGCCCTGCATTCCCCTCACAGAGCTACAATTCCCAGAGAAGAAGAATTGACCATTAAACCACTCTAAGAAATCTTAGCTCTGTGAGGGGAATAGGGGTCCTCTAACAACTCTCAGCACCCCTAACAAGCCACAGCTCCCAAGATTATTGTGGGGGAAGCATTAAAAGCGGTGCTTTAAATGTAAGGTGTGAATGTGGCATAGAGGAGTCCCATCCCGTAGTGCTCCTCTGTTGTTCTTCTTAACATCTCAAAAACAAATCTAAATGAGATTAAGCCATATGTGCTACCTCGGACTGCTCAGAGGAAAAGCAGAATCCAAAACAATGAAGATGAGGATGGTGATTATGATAATGATGCAGTCTGTTTCAAGATTTTAAATCCTTCACTTCCATTCAGGTACAAAGCGCCTCTCTGCTCCAAACTGTATTTTTCCTAATTACCCTGGGTAGAGCCAAGTCTTTCCTCATAACCACCCTCTCCTCTTTGGAGGGACAAAGGTCAGCTCAGATTTTCCAAAACGGATACAAATCTTTAATTTTAGATACTACATTTCCAGGGGCCTTGCCAACAATGTGACTGAGAGAGAGAGAGAGAGCGTGTGCTGGCATGGTGGCTGATGCTGCTCTGAAACGGCAGTGGCAGGGGAGGTCACAAAGCCATCCCCGGAATGATGGCCACGAGACGCTCCAGAGATTCCGTAAGCTGTGCCAGAAAAGCTCAACCAAAACATACAGGAGGCTCACGTGAGCCCCTGCACTGTAATGGGTGGAACTCCTAAAGGGGCCATTCACGACTCCTGTTAGCTTATCTCAAGTGGACAGCACGGAGACTGCCAAGTATCAAAGCCGATCTGTGTTTCAAACCCAGAAAGATAAAGTTTGCTAATGACTTGATTTATAGATGCACACCCAAGTAAAAGAGATCAGTGCATCATAAGAACCTCATACTAACTGAACGGGCAAATGCCTCCTCATTGTATTGGGTCAAACCATTGATGCATCTATTCCAGTGGCTATTCTTCCAGGAAACCCATTGACCAGCTACTAATCAGAAGCCTGGAGACTTGAAAATTTCTGTGTGCCCTACAGTTTGTTTCAACAGTAATGTATAGGTCTCAGCAAGGCAACATATTTGTGTACCTTGATAATGTTTCTCCCCTGCAGAGCTCAAGCCCAGCTTTCCCCCCACTACTCCCCAACTTAGCAACCCATTTGATAGATGTACAAATCACAATTTGATTATGGATACAGTACTCTGCAAAGAGAGGAGAAAGTGGAGGCCATGAAAGGAATAGGGAACACATTTTATTGACAACAACTTTATTCTCTCTTTTGAAGCTGAACCAGAATAGTAACAGGACTCCCCCAGCTGTATCCAAGTCCAGTGCCACCTAGAGACCAAACTGTATCATGACACTATCCACATAGTGACTTAGTGGCATCGCATGCAGGCCAATCAATCAACCAGGGCTGGCTTGGTTTTTGCAGGAATACAGAGAAGTTTCTCCTTGAGGTTGATCCTGAATAGGAAGGCTGCATGTTGGTACAAAATGCAGGAATGTGCATTGCTAGGAGGTTCATGAATCAAGTTCTGTGCATTTATATACTGCCTGAAGGTTCTGCAGAAAAGAGGAATAACTCCAAAATTACATTTCCATTGCTTTCATTTGGCTGTCAGGACACGAGAACTTGCTAATGGTCTTCCTAGGTTCTTCTTGTACATAAAGTCACCCGGGAGACAGAGGGGGAAGGAGAGAGAGAGAGAGAGAGAGAGAGAGAGATCACCACTGGAAAGCAATGCATGGTCATGCTGCTTTATATATTTGAAATAGTTTACGCTGCCTTTCATAAAATATCCAAGATGGCTACTCATGACAAAAACTGATTTTTAATAAGGGTTATCAACAACAATCTCAAGCAGTAGGACAGCAAATAAAATCCAAATGACCGACACCTTAAAGGCTAAAAATATAACAGAGTCAATGAAACATTGTTTTAAAATCAACAAGGGCCTATACATTACTAATACTAGGTGTAGAGTGGGGATCAGAAAGTACTAGAAGGAGTTTAAAACTCTTCCTACAAACTCAGTGGGGCTTTCTATAAAGAAATGTCTTCTACAGTTGCTGATGCAGAAGGTCATGAGCAAGGAATCAAAGTGGGTCTCCTTAGGGAGGGAGTCGGAGTCTGTACTAGACACAGAAAGACCCTTTCCCTGGTCCCCATCAAGGCACTGGTGGGGTACATGGAATCAGAGTTAGAAGGGACCTTGGAGATCATCTAGTCTAGGTGTGGGGAACCTTTGGCCCTCCAGATGTTGCTGAACCACAACTCCCATCAGTCCCAGCAAACGTGGCTAACGGCTAGGGCTGATGGGAGTTGTAGTTCAGCATTATCTGGAGGCCAAAGGTTCCCCACATTTGATGCAGTCCAGCCCACTGCCCAGTGTAGAAATCATGAAGCCACAGCATCCCTGGCAGATGGCCACCCAGAGTGTACTTCAGTATCTCCAGTGAAGGAATGCCTTGACACTGCACAGAAAACATAGAAACTACTTGTTCCTTTATAGGTCCACCATTGCCAGATGATGTCCACATTGCTATGGCTCCAAGATGCTTCTCCTATCTTTCTGGATCTGCAAGAAAGTTATATTGATTGATTGTAGTTGTATGCCATCCAATCCAAAAAGGGTCAGGTGAGTAAGGGGAAAAGTAATAAATATCTTATTAAAATAATATAAAGCAGAATGACATTGAAGCAGAACAAAACAGCATTAAAATCCCACACAGAGACACTTGAGGCCTTCTCAGTAGTGGCACCCTCCCTGTGGAACAACCTCCCTTCAGATGTCAGGGAGATAAAGAACTACATAACTTTTAGAAGATATCTAAAGGCAGCCCTGTATTGGGAAGTTATTAGTGTTTGATGCTTAACTATGTTTTATATATGCTGTAAGCCGCTTAGGGACGTGGCTGCCGCTGTAGGTTAAACCACAGAGCCTAGGACTTGCCAATCAGAAGGTTGGCAGTTTGAATCCCTGCAACGGGGTGAGCTCCCGTTGCTCGGTCCTGCTCCTGCCAACCAAGCAGTTCGAAAGCACGTCAAAGTGCAAGTAGATAAATAGGTACCACTCCGGCGGGAAGGTAAACAGCGTTTCCGTGCACTGCTCTGGTTCATCAGAAGCGGTTTAGTCATGCTGGCCACATGACCAGGAAGTTGTATACTGACTCCCTCAGCCAATAAAGCGAGATGAGTGCCGCAACCCCAGAGTCGGTCACGACTGGACCTAATGGTCAGGGGTCCCTTTACCCTTTAATGCATTTTTAATGTTGCACACCACCCTGGAATCTTTTGATAAAGGGCAGTATATAAACGGAATAGAGAAATGATAATAATAATGGGTCTCCTCTGAGTAGAGTCAAACATTGGCTACAACTCGATGAGTTGGATCCAGACGACAGCGCTTTGATTAGACCCATTAAGATGAATGAGTCTTAAAGGTTGAGTCCCATTGATTTTGATGGATTTCCTCTAAGCCTGACCAGATCCAACCTAGTGTTGTTAAACAGGGCGCCCCTGGCTGGCATTGGAACAAGGCTGTCATCTCTAATGGAGTCCAGCCTATTTGGCAGACAGGGCACAGGTGATGAGTTGGTGCTGTGCTAATGGAAGATGCCATAAGAACAAAAAGAAAGCTCTGCTGGATCAGGCCAATGGCCTGTCTAGTCCATCATCCTGTTCTTGCAGTGGCCAACCAGATGCCTGTGGGAAGCCTGCCATGACTGAGTCAAACAGCACTCTGCCCACCTGCAATTCCCCAGCAACTGAGTATTGCCTCTGGCAGTGGAGTTAGAGCGCAGCTATTGCAGCTAGTAGCCTTCCAGTGCATGGATTTGTCTAATCCTGGGTAGTGATAAGAGTGAACAGAGCTTGCATCTCCCACAAGTCTTGTTAAACTTAGTTTTCCCTTGCAAAGCATGCTATTAAAAACGCCCCCCAGAAATCCTTGCTGTGTTATTGTTCAGAGACACTTTTTAGGCAGACAAGGCTTAAACAAAACAGAACACAATCACCCCCACCAGCACCCAGTAAAAGCCCGGAAGGAATGGCATTTCTGGTTTGCACCATGAAAACAGGTGACATTTCTCTACCCTTCCCCGTACATACCTTGCTCGGATCCAGCTGGGTGGCAGAAATTTAAATGTCTGTCGTTCAAGGGAAAAGTTTATTTCATCCAACAAAGAGGTTGTCTCCATCAGAAAAGTCTCGTCCCTGTCTGAAGACACGGGCGAGCTGCATTTATAGCGGCATTCTTTTATTTTTATTATTCAGCTTTTCGGTAGAAATGTCACCTTTTTCAAGCAAGCTGTTATCGTGTGTTTCCCAAGCCAAACACATGGCCTCTAAGGAGAGAGGGGGTTTTGGTTGTTTTTTATCTCTCCGTTTTGAGCTATTTGTGTTTCTCTTTCAAGGAGCTCCATGCCTTAAGGCGCCTGCAAAAACAGTAACGTCGCAAGAAGGTGCAGTTATTCGAGATGCATCGGGATGGGATGTTCAGTGGCGCGAGAACAGGGGAAGCATCCCACAACACCAGTCACCTTACCTTGTAAGCTCCATCTCTAATGCAGGCCATTCCACACACACACACACACACAATGCCAGCGCCACTTTTCTTCCGTTCGCTCTTTGTTCGCACAGTTGGGACCACTTTCTCAAAGAGTCAGTGTGCCTGACAGCAAAATAAGCCACACGAAAGTCTCAAGAGCAGCCAGCACAACTGTCTGCGATGCCTGCCAATGAACCAGATGCTGCCACATATTGGCATCTGGGGTCTGGAACGGCTACCATGCTCTCTCCCGTTTGGCTGGGGATGCTGCTCCCGACTGCTGAAGGAGACAAAAAGGAGAGGAGGCAGAGGGGGGGAAATGGGGGGCCGGGGACATCTACAAAGCATCGTTTCGCTGGGGACCGCTTTGAGTTCGTAAGACCTGCCATTCGCCCCAAGTTCATCTATAAACGTGCATGGGAAAGCCCCAGCACAGAGTTCTGAGCAGGGTTTTTGTCAGAGATCAGAAGCGCTCGTTCTCCGCATCAAAAGCTTCACGATCTTCATCTACCCTGAGACGAGGCCGCAATCATCTCCTGCTGGTCTCCACATGGCACACAGACAGGCAGAACTCCCTTCTAGTTTGGAGGGAACTCCCCTTTAGTTGAGGTCGGTCAAACATCACCCCTCCCCATTGAACTTCTGGTGCCTACTGAAGACTTTGAAAATTCAGCAGGCATTTTAACTGAATTTGGTTTTACAGTTTAACTGGTTCTTAGCGTTACTGCATTGTTACTTGCAGGATACATAGGAAGCCTTATAGCAAGTCGGGTTGTTGGTCCATCTAGCTCAGTATTGTTGACTTTTCCAGCCTCATTCACTCATGGGGAACCTTCTGGAACCAGTGGCAGGCGGAGCCAGAAGTGAAAGTGGGTGGGGCCAGCATCCAAAGTGGGTGGAGCAATGGATGTCACTCTTATTCTTGGTGACATTCCAGCCACATAAAAGTTTGAGTTTACTATACTCACCACTCTCCAGCCAGGCAAGCAAGAGGCATTACAGTGGTACCTCGAGTTACAAACACCTCAGGTTACAAATGCTTCAGGTTACAAACTCCACTAACCTGGAAGAGTTACCTCGAGTTGAGAACTTTGCCCCAGGATGAGAACGGAAATCGTGTGCCGGCACTGCAGCAGCAACAAGAGGCCCCATTAGCAAAAGCACGCCTCTAGTTAAGAAGAGTTTCAGGTTAAGAATGGACCTCCGGAACAAATTAAGTTCGTAACTAGAGGTACCACTGTATTGCTATTCAAGGACACATTCCAGCCAGGCAAAAGCACCTGAGGAGACAGAGAAGAAGGGTCAGTGAGAAGTGTGGCTTCCAGGGATGTGTGTGGCCGTGGCAGAGTCCCAAAGACTGGATTGAGAGATCTGGAGGACTGCATTTGGGTTCCCAGGTCTGAGGCCCTAACCTGACCATAGTCTCTTCTGCCTCTTGTTTTGCCAACTGAGGAGAATGACTAACTGCATGCTTCCATGCCTCATCTCCTCTCTTACATCGTAGTGTGATTTTGAGGGTCATCTGAGTAGCTTCTTTATCCAAATGGGCAGCACAGTGCAAGGAAGGCATTAATACGGCTCACAGGGTTGCCCAGAGATCAAAGCCAGGACAGACTGAAAAGTTCTTTGCAAAATCACAATGACTCCAGAAATGCTACAGAAATGATAAACAAAAGGGAGCAAAGGCGGCCGCTCCCTGTCCTTGCCGTATGAAACCTTGCCGGACAAAATGATGAACTAAACAGTTTCCTGCATATTAGTGCCTATAATTCAATTAATTTGTCTTTCCATCATATTTGGGAAAGAGAATTGCTCAGAAGTTCACGCGGTGCCAAGGCAAGACTATCCAGAGATGCGCCGCTTATTAACCCCCAGTCAAATTAGAAAGAGGTTTTGCATTGCCGGTTTTTCAAAAGAGCCTCTGACCATCACGACATCTGTTGTTTTCTTGGCTGGTCCTCCCCTAATTCAGTTTTAGGCTTCCCTAGCCAGATCATTTGCCAGCTGGCCAGTGTGGTTTACTTCCCCCAGAAGGGCTTTTCCCAAACCAGCCAAACCTAGGATCTTGGGTTTACAGCTGCAGAAGAATTGGGGTGATTGCCCCTCCTTCCTGTGCCCAACACAAGGCCAGATCAACCCTCCAGCAGGAGAGCTTTAATCCTCATTGAGCACTCGGCTGGCCAAAAAGATGGAGGTAGAGCTGCCTTTGGTGAATCATTGCCTGTGGTCCCCCAACAGCTGGACCACTGCCTTAAGCCGTCACCCATCCACAGAAGCATTATCTCTTTGATTCCCACTTTAGTCCTTGTTGGAACAACAGTAAGGACAAATGTAATTCATCCTGCCCGGCAATGGACCCACGACTGCCGCTAACACCAACACCACCACCATCCTGGACCAGCTGTGTGCTGCCTCCAGAGTCAGAGGGAGTGGGCCTCTGAATGCCAGTTACTGGGTAACAAAAGTGGGGATAGTGTTGTTGCCCATGTGTCGTGCTTATAAGCTCCCCATGGGCATCAGCTTGGTCACCGTGAGACCAGGATGCTAAACCCAATGGGCCTTTTGTCTGATTCAGCAGGACTATTGTTCTATTGTATTTTTATTCTCTTTTTGGGATGTTACGGGAGGGATGGCACCTCTGGTGGGGGACACGCCATGCTCCTTCTGGAGTAGTTTGCCCACCTTCGGTCCCCACCCCACACTCAGCTCTCACCTGTGGCTCCTAGATGCTGTCAGCATGTGACAGCAGCCACACCCCAGGAATGGCTTCGACTGGCCAGCTAAAGCAAGTGAGGCTAGCTGATGGGTCTCAAACCCTTAGTGAGTTATGGAATTCCCCTGTATGTGAAGACAGATTCCGGTGGATTGAGCGGAAAAGACCAACAGTGTGTCCAACGATCAAGAAGGTGGTTTCTGTATCTGCTGTAGAGGGAAGTGAGGAGCAGATGGGGCTCGTCAACCTAGGAAGGTAGCCCATCTAAGAGAAGGAATACTCTGATCCTAAACTTCTGCTGCCTTCAGGAGAAGAAAAGGCTAGGTAGTAAACCCTCCACAAATCAGAATTCAGATAAGTACAAATTTCAAAGGATGGCTATGTTTTTGTTATCATATTGTTTCAGAAAGCGCAATTTTGATAAGTTCAACTTTCAATACATCAATCAACCCCACACCCCTACTGCTAATCCAGAAGTTGTGGGTGCATCGCTTTCTTTCAGTGTCGCTGTAGAATACTGGTTTAGTGGGACGTTCCAGGGTAAATTTCCACAGGGCTCTTTTCACATATTGCTTACACATGTTTAACCAGACCTTCCAACATTCAGGTGATCCAAATCAGGACACTTGTTTTTTTCAGTCCTGAACTCTCATGGGAGTCAACCGACTCATGCCAGAGCGCAAGACCAAAAAATGAGCGTCTTTTGATCCAGTGTTCTGGCGCGAAAGAGACCAAAAAACAATGCCTTTTGGTCTGGCCAGCTGGCTTGCACCAGAGCACCAGACCAAAATACAGGACATTCCAGGATCCAATCAGAAGCCGGGAGTGGCTTCTGTAATTCCAGGAAGTTCCACTTAAATCGGAACAGTTGAGCAGTACGGTTTAACTATTTTTCTACATAGCCCGAACAGAGGGTTGGCTGAAGCCTACCCCAACTCCATTGCAGATAGGAATAGCTATTGTTCCAGGGCATGTCCCACCATCCAAATGACTGCATCGTGTTGACATGGAGTCTGCCCAGAATGCATTTTTTTAAAGAACTTATTCCACCTTTTCTGTTTTGTGTCAAGCACCAAGCAAGGAGAAGACCCTTCAAGGTGAAAGTGGGCAAAAGGTAGGCTGGGATCTACATGTAGAGTGCTAGATCATTTACAGTAGATCAAGAAGATTTTCTGACAATTATTTAAAAACAAAAAGTCAGATTTATTTTCATACTTATGCACCCACCACCACCACCAAAGAAAACTGGTTTGTTAGATTCTCTGATCTGCAGTAATTCAGATGGATGCCCTCCAAGTCATCTGATTCCAGGCTATTCTTCTGAATCTGTCTCCAAGGAATGCACCATGAAATTCTGGATTACAACAAAGTAGATCCCACAAGCCTAAAGTCTGCCCACCCCACGTGAAGACATTTGAGGTGGTTGGAGAAAACAATTGCAACTGTGGGGAGCAGAGGGCCCTTCCCTCTCTTTTCCAACGCAGTGCATGTATAACACTGCAATCTTAAGCCGTAAGGCAGATAAAACTGACAGAAGTGCATGATAAGTTCAATTTTACATTGGTGCTTGCCTGCTTCATTCATCGCATGTGCCTGGGAATTGTGAGAGAACGAGCATTCAGCGCTTCTCATTTAGATTACAGTCATCTCTTGATTAAATCTCCTTCTGAACAGCAGTATATTGTAACTTAAAAAAAAAAATAAAGTATTGATGGCTACGAAAGCAAATAAGCTCTCATTTTATTACTTAAATCACTCTCATAAATCTTGCCAAAGAGGAAGTTCCTGTTTCTTCAGCTTTCCATTTGGCGTCCTTGAGAAAACAATCAGAACGACATTCACAAGAAATCTACAGTCACTTGAGTTCCTACTCCCCTGCATCTTGTTTAGTCTAAACATGTTATGGGAAGAACCTGCAGGCCTCCCCTGATGCAAAATCTACCAACTGGAATCTCTTTGTAGGAACTTTTTAAAGGACTTCATAATTTGCAAACCAACTGAAGAGTCATTTAAGGCTATGCAACGGGGGGACCCCCCCCAGACACCCTTTTTCTTGCGCATTCATGATGATTGGGGCGCATGATGGCATCAGAGCACTTATGCGCAATCCCACTTCCAACACTGTCTGCACCTGCAAAAGTCTGGGGGTTGGACAGGTTGCTTTATTCCCAATGGGTGCATGCCCCATTGACGGCATAATTTGTGGCAGTGGGGAAAGTTTTCAATTAGCAATAATTGTACCTTGGATTAACCTCATGGTCTTGTTGAAGTCCTGTAACTCTGCATGCCACAAATATTCAGGGTCGGGTGCTTCTTGTACCACAATGCGGTAAAAGACCAACCAGTCTAAGCTGGTATCATTATTGTCCATCAAATGACTCCAGGGATTGTGGCCTTCAGAATGAGATCCTCTTCCAAACCAATGGGGGACACACCGCTGGAAGGAAACACTATATTTCTCTCAACTTCAGAGATTTCCTCACCTCTCAGCACAGGAAGTTGTTGCTGCAGCTCACCTGAGAGACTTCCTGTTATGTAGCCATGGAATGGTTTTGCTCAAAGGAAGTTTTGGAGAATGATGTAATCTTGGAGAGCCCTCCATCGTAGTAATTCTACTGGTGACCTGGTTGCAGCCTACAGTGTTATTACAGTCCTGTGGCTTGTGTTTATATCACAAGGGAGAGAGGGAGTGGGGAAACAGGAGCAGAATAATTTCAAAAGAAAAGAAAAAAAGTGCTTCCAGATTTCCTTTGCTTAAATGAACTCTTTTCCTTTTCCATATTATGTGACCACGCAGTCCTGGCGCCTAACAGATGCAGTCTGTTCAGATGAACTTGGGGGACAGCCCATAAAAATCTAAGGTTGACCCATGAACTAGGATGAGCAGCGAGAGTTGTTGAAAAGCCTGAAAACTCCTTTACCAAAAGGAATTTGCCCTTTGTTCTCCGGATAAAGCTGGGGGGAAAGAATGCACAGGCGAGAGATATTAACACATCGTGGTGTACAAGCGCCCCAGCGTACTCTACAAATGTTCAGAGGGGCTGGCGATGTTTTGCTTTTACAAAATGAACATGGTGGGATGACCAACCTGCATATCGGCTAATTATTTCTGTTCCAGTTCTCACTTGTGAGTGAACTGACAACTTTGCCCATCTTGCTGGAGACATTTCCCTGGCAGAGAGAACTGAAAAGGAGGGATGGGGAGGAAATTGAGTTCACATTTAAAGGCGACTCGATCAAATCCACATTTCCCGAAACAATGTACAAACCAAAACACGGCCATCTTTAGACATCGGCACTTGACTCTCAACTTTGCAGTGGAGTTCTCCAGCCAAGTAACATGTACAAAAATGCTATGGTAATGTGTGTATAAAATTGCATATTAACATGAAAAAAATGTGTTATATGTGGAGAAACTGCTTTGCAAAAATGTCTATGTCAGGCAAAATCGCATGCCAAATTGTGTATATGGGGGGGCACTAAATAGCTGCTAAGTTTTCATGAGGACTTAAATTTGAAAATGTAGAGGACGGAATTTAAGACCGGTAAAATGAGAAACTGAGATTAATATTGATAGATCCGCCCATCCCTACTGAAAAATACTCTTTTCTTTGCTGTGACCCTTCTCAAAGTTGTGGCCTTCATCTTTCACTTTGAAAAGTGGGTTTCTCTAACCCATAACCAGTTGCTGGAGAGAACTGCTTGAGGCTACGATGACAGCAAGTCTCACTTACACATGCAAATATATAGCAGGTGGTAATCCTAAGGCTTCAATCCTTGCCAAACGTCCTGGGGAGAAAGCAACACTGGGAATTACTTCAGAGAAAATGTACACGGGATCAGCTGATGTGCAGAGGCTGCGACAAAAATGGGAACTCCAAAAAGGAACAGGAAGCAGAAGCAAGAAGTAGCACTTCTGAATTCTGAACCACTGTTCTCTGAATTTCCCTGAAGAAGGACCAGTAGGGTATGAAGCTCAGAACTTCATTTTTGTCTACCCCCCCCCCCCCCCGGTTGTGGGTTGTTGTTTTTCTTCCTGTTGTTTCTTGTTTGCTTCTACTTTCCGTTTGGAAGCTGCAGCGAGCACCAAAGGTGCAGAAACAGTTTCTGTAGGTATCGTCGGGGAGAAGTTTGATTCAGTTCACATTTTAAAGGCAAACTTACCTAACACACACTTTCTGAGGGGCAAAGCGAAACGCAGCCAGCCTTTGAAATCAGCCCTTTTGCAATGCAGTTTCTCCAGCCAAGTGACGGGCACTAGTGCACTAGTGCAAAGTGTGCTTCTATAATGTGTGCAATAGTGAAAATAACACGCAGGTGTGCATTATATAAGGAGAAACTGCTTTGCCAAAAAGTGTCTGTTAGGCAAGGCTTCATGCCAAAAAACGTGTACGTGAGGTGAAAATTCACATTAAGAACTAAATCCTTTAAATAAAAAAAAAAGGCAAACTGATGAAGAAACACAGAGAACTGAACTTGAAGAATGAGAAACTGAGAGATACTGAAATGGACATATTTGCCCATCCTTACCCAGAGAGAGCAAGACACCTGAAACCCACCATGCTGGTCTTTCCATGTGCTGCCCTGGGATGTAGCAGTCTTCTGAGTACATCAAAGACCTCCCCCAAAGCTTTCACAACGATTGGGCTTGAACAAGAGAGAGCACTTCCCAGTTGCTTATAGTGAACTGAAGGAAGCGTGCCTGCACCAAATATCAACAGGGCACATGCCAACATGGGGGTGCTGACAGCTCCCAGCTCTGGAACGCCTTTCCTTCAAAGCCAAAGCAACTCTCAGAGGCAATGTTGAAAAGCATCTTCTGTGGCACGCTGGGAACAGCACAAGAATATTCTCATAGCAGTTTTTATCTCTGAAGACTTTGAATTGGTACCTTGAAAGTTTTTGGGTTGTTGTTTTTTTAAAAAAAAAACCTCTCTGTGAGTTATAAATTTAATAAAACAAAAGCATTTTTTAAAAAGAAAATCTCTTTATTTAGATAGAAATATCAACTTTGAGTGCTTTATTTCCCCCACTCCCTTCCCCCAAAACATCTGCAGCCCACAGTATTGTCTCCTTTTTTTCTCCCTCTGGCAAAATTACCAACATGTTTTAAGTACCAATGGCAGAACTACCATGATTTTTATGGACTTAAGCAGTTGGTGGGCATACAACCCACCTGAAACAGCTTCTTAGTGAGTAATCTGTTTGAAAAGAGTGATTGTTTTCCAAGAAAGGACAGCCATCTTCTTGTGGACAGCCCATACATGTAGTCAGAAACTTGTCCACAGCAAGTGCCATGGAATTCAAAATGGTAGAATTCTGTTGCATATGGAAGGCTTCCAATGAGCTTCTTGGTGAAGCCATTTAAGATGACCCCATTCCAAATCTAAGCACACCAATTTGGAGGCTCTCTCCTCCTTAGGAGGGATGCACATAGGTAAGACACAAACACACATTTATTGGGTGTTTCTGAATGAAGAAATAGGGCGGCAGTGGAATCTAGGAGGTGGCAAAACGACATTTTTCAGAATTAATATGCACATGCAAATAGATCGTGTTGTACACGTTTCCATTTTGCAGGTGGGATCCTGCACGGTTCAGCATTCCCACATGAAAAAAGAAAAAGCCAAAACAAAACACCACAACTGTCTTTTCCCATTAAAAAAAGCCCTTCTTCTTCTTTAGCTTTTCAGGGAGGGGAGGTGGGCCAGCACTAATGCTTGATATGTTAACTTTCCATGGTGACAGAATCACAGAACTGTAGAGTTGGAAGGGACCCCAAGGGCCATCTAATCCAACCGCCCCCGCCCCGCAATGCAGGATTCTCAGCTAAAGCATCCATGACAGATAGTTGTCCAACCTCTGCTTAAAAACCTCCAAGGAAGGAGAGTCCAAGGAGGTTCTGAAATGGGAAAGCATCCCAAAGGTTCCCCACCTGCAATCTGAGATGAGACAGGTAATGAATTCCACAGCACTTGATTTTTATCTGCCTGTACAGATGAGACCTAAAATAGCCTAAACAGGAATGTGGCAGCTTTGTTAAATATATATATATCCAAACATTTATATCTGCACACTTAGACAGCATCTTCTTGCCTTGCTCCAAGTTCCACTACTAAAGCAATCATGATCGGGCTGAGAGATATCCTGTCTTGTAGTGACTTAAAACATATAATTCACTGGAGGTTAGAGTTAGTGCTTTAAAACAAGCATTGCCAACCAACGTGCACAAGATAAGAGTAGCCGGACTGCCCTCTTCCATCTTTTGACAGATGTTAGGCAATCATTCTGGAGTTACATTACATGATGCTATGTACACCCCCTCACTCAGCAAACATACAGAGATATACATGTTACATGTCAGGTTTTGCAGAAACACCATAGCATTTTATTTAGCATATGTTATTAATAAGTTATTCTTCTCCCCATTCCCCAACCTCAGCTGCGTCTAGCTTAGGGAAGGAGTACATTGACACTATAAAAAGAGGGGGAGGGCTATTTCCAGCTGGCATATGCAAGAGGGGCTTGGCATGTACAACAGGAGTGCCACACTTCCGTCATGACTTACAAGAGAAACACAAAAAGTGCATTCCATTATACGTAATTCCCAAGTGCCCAAACCAGATGGGATCACGAACACAGGTCGCCACCAAAAACCTCCACTTCTGTGTTGAGCTCCCCGTTCCCACGCATTCTCCACCCCAATCCCAAACGGCTGCCAAAAACATGAAAAGTGGGGTGAGGAAATGTACAGCATTGTTTCTCCAAAACAGAACAAAGACAGAGAGTGGGGCATGATCAGCATCACATCTCATCCTGGCCAAAAAGGACTACTAGATACAGTGCCCATCAGTGTAGACCACACCTTGGTTTGGCCTAGTCCTCAATTCTGGCTAAAACTGTTCTCTCTTTGATGCCTTTCCAGTCTCCAACTTTATTCATCCTTGCCCAGAAGATCCGAGAACCTTTATGATGGCAGCCAGCCAAGAAAGGTATCTGTAAACATGGGCAGTGGACTCATCGCACCTTATCACTTTGTTAATTCCGCCCAGTCGATGGGGGCAAAAAAGGGGTGGGATTTTATGTCTTCAACTCCGGCGATTCCAGCACCAAGACGCTCCACAGCATTGAACTGCAAAAGCTTAAGGCAAAATATACAGAGTTAGTATGAACCATAGGAATAAAAGTGCTCAGCAAGCATACCAGAACGGACTTGGTACAGTCCGTGAGATTGTGTTTATGATTGTATCATTCCTGTAAGCTTCCCAGAGATCTTAGCTATTGAGCAGCATACAAACTAGGGAAGGCATTCAACAAATGGGGAACTAGAATAAATAAGGTCCCATCAGGGATCACTTCCAACTGGGCAACTCCCAGTGGCAGCGGCACTAACATGTGCTCTGCCCATCATAGGGCCTGAGATGGCTGGTAATGGAGAAGATACTTTGGTCCCAAGCTATTCAGGGGCAACTTCTAATTCCTTCCCTGAATTGCTACTGTCTTTGCCCTAGCCAACTAGTTTTGAATTTTGTTCTTTCTTCCATTATATCTGAGCCCTTCTTAAGCTTCACTTTGTTGGTACCTGCCTGCCTCTCCGGTTCGTAGGGCAATTCCACACACTGTGTGGGAGCAGACACCAGGTGCAGGCTCAACAGGCAGCCACTGCCAGCCTTCGTCCCCCATCCCTGATTATGATGAACATACCAATTACAACCCCCATCTTAACGAACTTCATTCTTGTTGCAGCCACACTTTTAGGTGTACGTTTCAAAATGAGGGAGGGGGGGAGAGTAATGTGCAAAGGAAGTCTTGGTAATCTTTAGAAACTAGTGATGCTCTAAAACCAAGTCTAAAGGAAATGGAGCAGCTGATTGCCAGAATTATGAAAACTAAGCAGCTTGTTTATTTTGCATTGAAGAACTTACAATATATTCAAAAGGGGGGGAGCTGAATATATGTAGAAAGTGAAGCCAGCTCTTCATATCTGCAAATTCTGATGGAGAATGATTGCTTGAAAGGAAGTAACCAGCAAAGAGGCAGGAAAATATTTACCAAGGATAAAGGAGCTGAAGTTTACATTTTGCCATCTTATGAGACTGTCGCATTCTAATAAACAGTTCAAAAGAATAAATTCGTTTCTGGGTTTCCTCTAAAGGACTGACTCCTGTATAATGCAACTCCCTACATCCCATTGTCATTTAGTAGTGCTCTGTATTCTTCTGGGCGGTGCGTCTTCAAATGCATACAACCCCATAATCAAAGTGAGAAATTTCTCCATAAAATGTATTCATTTGCACATCTTAAGTTGGCTCTGCCACTTAAAATCTCTCAAACCTCTCACTTGGTAGAGATAACTCGGAGAGCAAAAACAAGCCTCTCCTTTGTGAATATACATGAGCCGACAGAAAAACAGTGGCAGGCATTGCCATTCTGCTGTCCTTCCTGGAAAACGGAACAAGTGACAGCAGGTGGGAAAGTTAAGTGCAAAGAAAATTATGCTCTGAAGCTTTCTCCCCTTTCTGCAAGGAGAGAACTATAATCTTGGAAAGTAAATGCAGAATAAATTGTGCTGGATCTACATGGCTGGGAAACACACGGGTTTATTATGCTTTGCCGAGACAACCTTTGAGAAAGATCTCGTAGACAAAATGCCAGTCAAGTCAGCCTTTCCAAACTTCATCTAAAAAGATTTATACATCCAAATATAAATAATAACAGCTCTGAATTACAGAATACTTAGTTGGCTAAATGGGGGGGGGGAGTGTGATTTATTTTTTTTAATGAGGTCACTGGTTTTGGAAGCTGTGTCATGAGACACATTTGGCATAGCATCTGCACACTGTTCCTCTCCTAGGCATTCTGCAACGGGCTGACCCAAGCAACCCTCCGAGGGGATGGAAGAGGAAAATTACAATGACAAATGACCAGCCATGCCAAGAGCCCCTTTTTCCTTTTCCTGACTAAGCTTCCTCAAATATGAATGGTAGTTTCCTTGGATAGACACACAACAGAAGGTTGATTTACTAGCCAATGGGGCATACCCTTCGACCCAAAAGTCAGCCACGTGCAGCCTAGGGCTGGAACGCTTCCTCTAGGACACGGGTGACTTTGAACTTGGAGAGGAGGGAAATAGCAAATGGCCTGGCTTAAGAGGTCCCACAGGAGCTGAGCACTGCTATGTGTTGCTTTAATAAAGGTCTCCAAGATGCCAGTGGTAAAATTCCATTCATTTTCAATCTCTGTGTGTGCAGAGGGGAAGCACTCAGCCTTCTATGAGATTTTATATACTGGATGAGCATAGGTATGAAGTATTACATTCACTCTGGTACAGTGGACAGGCTGCTATTGGTAGCAGCAGTAGTATTGTTACTTTACTACTGCTATTAATTTTATAATTATTATTTCAGTTTTTTACGCACCCTTCATCATAAGGTCTCAGGGCAGGTTACAAAAATGTCATCACCATCATCATGTTGTTGCTGTTGTTGTTGTTGTTTGTATCCTGCCCATCTGACTGGGTGGCTCAGTCAATATTCAGTATTAAATTCAATATTAAACAGTTCAGTTCAATATTAAAACAGTTTAACTCATACGAAAGGTGCAGGACTAGGGAGAGTCCTGAAAATATATATGTCAGGTATCAAAGGGGTGGATCACCCACCGTGGATCAACTATTAAAGACCTATTTTTTTAAAAAAAAATCACCTGATTTTCGCAGTAAATTCAGGCCACAGTTATACTTGCCATGACCACGGCTGTGATGGTTCCTTATGCCAAACCCTCAACAACTCTTTAACCTCTTTCCAAGATGAACCACCTTCACTTACAAAAAATGTTCAGGAAATGCATGTCCATTTGCAGCTCTACACATTTTTATGGCTATGTGACTTTTGCAGGCCATCCTTGTTAATCATTCATTTCTCAACTCTTGGCTACGCTCCCCACCCCCCCCACCCCAAGAATCACCAGCTGGCATGTACGTGTGTAGAAATCGCATATACAAATTCTCCAGGAATGTACCTGTTGAAGGAGTGATCTTGCCTCTTCTGAGATGTGATCTGGCACGTTCAGACAGGTGTGGGTATTTATTCCTGCTGGGTGGCACTCCAGCAGAGTCTATAGCAAACCAACAAGAAACATGGTAATATGGTTAATGTATATAGTGATATAATGATGTAAAAGAAGAGCAATGTGCACCACAGTGCTCTGCTATAGAACTTCTGTACATGTGTCTCCAAAACAGTTGGCTTTGGGAGTTTGATCTGCTGAGAGCTCAATGCGCATGCTCAGAATCTCATTTTACATTCAGAGATGGAGAAGGACATGGTTCAACTTAGCATGCCATAGTGAATCAGGCTCACGGTTTAGCTCTAACCAGCAGAATGACTGAGGAGAAGCAGAACAGCCCTGATTTCCTCTCCTGGCACCTGCACATGTTAAACCATGGTTTGGCTTAGTGTGCCGTGCAAACCAGATTACTGTCTTGCCTTTATCTGTTCTCTGCCTTCCTGGACTTCTACAAAGTCCCCAAAATACAAGAGTCAACATAAAAAAACACAGGAGTTAACATGATATATCAGCAGACTGTGTACAGTGGTCAGCCTAGAAGCCCACAAGCCAGTTAACCCCTAGTTTACATCCTGCAACAAACATTCATTGTAAATTTTGCTCCTGTATGATACCTTTTCAAGAAGAACATAACTTTTTCATTGCCCCTGGAAAGACTTTTGGTGCCATGAATCTTACCAGAATGGTCCACTGTGAATTTAATGAACAGTGTCTACGTTAACACAAGCAATGCTTCATTCTGCCCCAAGAATAGAGCATCCCTAGTGAGATGATCTAGCACCATCTGTTTGTCAGAATGCCTTTGCCTGTTGAAGAGTTCTGTGCAGGACAGAAGTATGCATCCTGCACTTCAGTTACTCTCAATAAAGAGATTGCTGATCTTCTCAAAGTTTCTGTTATTTGCTATGCCCCTTTTGCTAAATAATGGTCAGAATGGCTCACCTTCCCCGTCAGAAGTTCAAAGAGCAAAGCACCTAGACTCCACCAATCGCAAGCCTCCGTTTCTTCAAAGACAACGCCAACTTCTGAATGAGAGACATTTGCAATGAAAATCCAAGCGATGTGTGCACCTTGAAACTTGCATTTACAAGGAGACACAGATGCTAGTGGAGCATATCTGAAGCTAAGCCCTTCAGACAACCTAGTGCATAGACACGCATCATTACAGACAAAACGATTTACTCTTCAGTTTGGAATGTCAACAGAGGCTGCTGCTCCCTCCTAAACACCTCCTCCCCCCACCCACACACCTTGAATGGCTTTAAAAGAACATTAGACAAATTCACCGAGGATGAGGCTATCAATGGCACCTAGCCACAATGGCTATGTTCTCTCCTCACTGTCGGAGGCGTTATGCTTCAGAATACCAGTTGCTGGGAATCACAGATGGGCAGAGTAATATTGAGCTCAGGTCCAGCTTGTAGGGCTTCCCCCAGGAATCTGGCTGGCCACTGTGAGAATAGGATGCTGGACTCGATGAGTCACTGGCCTGATCCAACAGACTCTTCTTATGGGTTTATGTCAGTTCTCTCCACTGCAAATCTTTATGAAGAGGGATGAATTCCCCTGGCACATTGAAGGAAAGAGCATGCCCGCTATAGCATCTTACAGTGTCCTGGGTGCATGAGTGTCTCTTTACATGAACACAGAACTGGTAGTTTGTTGCCTTAATCTTGGTTAGCACTCCCTCGCCCCACACAAAATACAGCAGAACCATGGTATATTATCAGTCTTTACATCAAGGGTGGGGAACCTATGGCCCTCCAGATGTTGCTGGAATCAAACTCCCAACAGCTTGGGGTGATGCGAGTTGAAGTCCAACAACACCTGGAGGTGGTTAGCAAAAACAAAACCCCACTTTGCGAAGTTTAAGCTGTGTCCTCTGGATGTTGCTGGTCTCCCAACATCCCTGACCATTGACCACATTAGATGAGCCTGATTGGAGCTGTAGTCCAACAAGTTTTGGAGGGCCCACATTGGCTACCGCTGGTTTAGACATTCAGGTGAACCGCCCAACCAGGTTTACATGATACAGTAGTTGCACAGGGCCAATATGGGAACAACTCTTGAGAATACAGTGGGAATGTCTGCTCAAATGTGCGCCAACACTGAACTGAATGGGTTCAGCTCTTCCACACATGAGCAGGACGGGGACTAGTGTCTGTTGCAACTCCCAGCTGTTTTGTTCCAACAAACCATAGCTACAGACCATAACTACATAAGCATTATCGTTCAGTCCTTTTAGACTAGCTGCCTTCCATAAATTTTCTAAAAAACCTGATTGGCATAAAAAAAATGCATCTGTGCTGTGTGTATCTTTTGTAATTTACAAACAAGTAAAAGCTGCACTCAAACAACCACTTAATGCCCTTTCTATAGAGCCAGGGCCAATGTTAGCCACCCACAAAGTAGTGAAATCAAATAAGGCTGCAGTCCTAAGCACAACTATGTTGGAGTGAGTCCCATTAACCTCTGTGGTGCTCTCAGGACAGGACTTTGGGCCCCAGGCCCAGGGCCCCACTCAGCAGAATAAGGCTGATTACCAGATTTTGTCAGTAAAGTAATACAGAATTCATTGTGCAGAGGGAGGTCCCCCATAAGACCTTAAAATCCTGAGTCTTAACTACCAGTACACACTCAGTAAGGCTTCACCAGGCTGCAACATCAGAATGCTGTGTGTGTTACTTCTGAGCAGACATGCATAAGATTGCACTGGAAGAATCCAAACCTTTGCATGTATACTCAATGGAAAACCCCACTGAGTTCAGTTAACATTCAAGATAAGCATGCAAAGATTTGCAGCCTTGAAGATCTTAGATGTTTTGGCCAACTGGGTAGTCACTCTTCGATATAATTTTATTTTACCCTTCCATCTCTCAATATCGTCATTCTCCCTGCTTTGCCTCTCAGAGCTGGCTGTTTCCACATTCAGAATTAAAGTGAGAGACTTTCAATAATCAAGGAGACAGAGGCAGATAAACATTTGCCATATTCTCTCCCTTCCTTTGAATGGGTCACATAATGGCCACCACAACCTATTGGTAGTAATAGGCTCAGTATATCACATCAATAAGGTTACCTGTTCTCTCAATAAGGCATCCCAGGGGAGAAGAAGAAAAATCTAGAAAACTATAGACTGTGGTGTGTTTTCACATAAGTTGTCCAAGCAGCTAATGCCATTCTGCATGACAAAATTGCTCTCCCCAGCCCCCCCCCCCAAAAGCTTTAATGTTGCAGTAAATCTAATCCCAATACCCATTCTTAATAATGAATTTCGTTCACATCACCCAAGTCATTTACACAACAAATGGCAGCAATACACAAGCTTAAGTGACCAGTTGCTTTGCTTTCCTATCACTGCAATTTGTTCCAACAGGTCTCTCCACTTAGTGGATGCAAGCCATTCAGGAGTCATTCAGGGAAGAACATGGGGCTATCTGGATTGAGAAGCAGGGGAAGATGCCATACTCCAAATCAGGTCATTGCTCCACCTACAGAACCCACACTGTCCTTGATCTTTGGACAGCCAACTTGGAGCTGTTCCTCAGCCTTGATTTTGATTTTCCCCATCCAGACGTCACAATGTGCTGAATTTGTCATCAGGTCATCATGCCAGGAATTCTCCCGATTGCAAGTCCTCTTCGGACTTTGTCTCCAATAGCTGTGCTTCTTCCAGCTCCTCCCTTAATTTTCATCGGACAAACACTTTTGCAACTTCTTTTTTAATCCACATTAACCATCAAAATGTTTCCTGCAAATTTTGTACTCAATTATGTTTCTCATATGTGTCCAGGAAGTTCTGACAACAAGGAAAGTCTGAAAAATTTGAAGCACTTCATTTCAAAACATACAAGCATCTACATTCTGCTTTGTGAAATAAAAATTAAAAATCCCTGTGTCCTTTAAGACAAAGACTAAGGGCAATAAAAGAATCCTTCTTTTTCTTCCTGTTAGCTGCCCTCAGGATAGATTTAAAACTTCCTCTAAAGCCATCTGGCAATACAAAAAGGACAAAGTTGTTTAGTGCCGTGTTATCAAAGATGATAAACACTCTCTCCTAGCCTGCCCTTTAGCTCCTTTCAATTATATAGAAGAGCAACTACCCCACCCCAAACCATAGAACTACTACATTCAGGTCTTGTGACCTAATAAGTGGCTCCCTTTGAGAACTACGGCTTCATTTTAAATGTGGATTGCACTTTGTTCCTGGTGCCTTGAAAAATACAAAAAGAGTAATTTGCTGTATGCAATGTTTAAGAATATAGCACTTAGAATCCATTTGCTCTTCCGACAATAACAGTGTGGAATTCATAGATCGAAGATCAACCATGCCAAACCAATATTTGGACTCTCCAGGGCTCACATAAAGCTTCCCTGCCAATGGGCTCCCCCACTCATTTCAATGGAGGGTCAATTCTCTACACACAGAACTGGCTCTCTTTACTGATGCTCCATGTGTACCTAGGTCTCTGGATTATCCACCTCCCCTGTAAAAAATATTTCTATGCAAATAGAACTCCATTTTCCCCTACAACATTTCTTTCTCTGAAGTGCCGAAACGTGCGAGTCAATATGACTTAACTTAAGGGCACAAAGGTTTGTTGTTCAGCAGCAACAAGCCCTAAAATGTATCGCAACAGAGTTTTGAAAGGCATTACTTGGTAAGGGCCAAGGATATCTCACCTGACCTGATGTGTCAGTATCTAAACACGTGATGTGCCGATACTCAACCTTGCCCTGAAATACAAGCCCGCTGACCTGGAAGCCCTATCCCATAATCCTAGATGTATAGAGAATAGCTGAGGGTGTTCAGCAGGGAGGAGGGGGGTGGTACATACATCCAGAGAGGAGCTTTTTCCCACCTAGCTGACAGGTGACAGAAAAAGGTCTCGGCTAAAACTGATGATGCTAATAATCTAGGAAACAAGGAGAATAATCATAGCTGAGTAGTAAAGCACACATCACACATGCAGAAGGCCCAAGGTTCAACTCTTCTTATCTCCAATTAAAGAAACAAGTGGCAACACTGGAAAAGGACTTTCCCAGGGATCTCACATTATTCCATTCAGTACTATGGCAGATGGAGCACTGCTATGACTCTGCATTCTATGTGGTACCCTGGCTTCTGATACCTGACAGGTATATTTTTAGGACCTGCCTTGTTTTTGTCATTTTGTTCTAAACTTTTTTTAATATTTTGAAATACGGTGCTTTGATATTCATATTGTGTTTTAATTGTTGTAGGCCTCCCTGGGAACTTAGGGTGAAAAGCAGGTAATAAATGATAAGAAGAAGAATTTCTTTCACATGACAAGTGTCCTGATATTGACAGCAAGATCCTCTCTTGGAACAAATTAAGTGCTGATGTTCCGATTGAGGGTAGCCTTGACCAGGCTATAGCTCCTTTCAGATAAGAACAAAAGGATCAGCTAGCCTCCCCCGAACCATGTCCCCAGACTGCAGTTTTATAAACTTTGTATTGTTTGTGAGCTAGCAGCAGCTTATACCTTTTGCCTTGTTTTGCTGCCAATGACTCAGCGTTCAAAACTCCCATTGTTCTAGGCGCGTTTTGCGACAGGGAATTTCATAAACGCAAGCAGTTTTATACCTCTGGGTGCAGTACTGCACCTAAGATTTCAGAATAAAGTTGCCGTTGTTACTTGGAAGTAAATCCCAGTCAAGTTCAATGGGGCTTCCTCCCAAGTAAAACATGAATAGATTGGGGACCTGAAAACTTTCTTTTCTTTTAACCCCAACATGTTTTGTTTTGTTTAGGTTTTGGTTGCCTTGTTTAATGTATGATGTGCTTTTAATTTGAAATATACTAGCCAGTTAGTTATGATGGTTTAATTAGTGCATGTTAAAGCATTATCTACCTCAGACTCTCACAATGATGCTTAAAATCCAAATTTTGGAGTAGGATCATTGAAGGACCCTTAAGTCTTAGGTTTGCAAACTGGACACTCAAGGAGGGCGTCTCTGCCATAAGCTGTATAGGCCTTTAATATGTGTTAATTGTGCTGCCAAAAAGATATATTTGTATGGAGGAAAGGGGGTGTAGGGAGAATCCAGGGCTTGTCTGCAGAGTGAAAGGAAAGGAGGACCTTTTTCTGCCTCCCCACTTCCAGCCACTCTCTGATGACTGCAGAAGAGACCCTTTAAAGAATATTAGGGGGGCGGGCAGGGGAAGCATGTATTTATTTTTTGAAGTCTTCAGATGAGGACTAGACCATGTGAAAAATGATTTTAGCTGCAGTTCATTCATTTTCAGCTTTGTATTCTTGTTATAAAAAGTATGCCTAGACATTCTGTTGTTGTGCCCATAACCTACTGTAGGTTTAAGGTGTCATTTAGCTCCTAGCTTTCATATCTGAGTTTCTAACACTGCAATGACTCTCTAAAATCCAAGATCATAATGTTGACGGGGGCGGGGAACGGTTGCAGGAATATGTCAATAACAGAAGGCGATCATTTGCATTTCAAAATTTATCTTTCTTGCTCAATTAGACCAAAACATGTTGATTTAAAAGGTTTGTGTGTGAGAGTGTTTGTGTTTCTTTTTTCAAACTTATTTATAGAGCAGAATAATGGCCCCCCTGCTAGCTTGGCATTTGCTCAAAATTTTCGGTCCCTGCAAATCGAATGTTACTGGAATTTTTCCCTCAGCTCCCCTCCTCCTCCTCCTCCTCCCCTCCCCACTCACCCCTCCTCCCCCTTTCAAAATACCAAGGCACATTAACCAAGAGATAAAAAGATCGGTTGCTGATATTACAAAGCACAGGGCAGGTGGTTAATGTTTTTTTAGCACAAATATGTGATAAGGATTCCCAGGGGACACTGGGAGCAAAGGGGTGTTTAAACAGAAGTGAAACATTTGCATCATGAGTTCAGGACAACTTTGCCCTTTTATCCAAACACCACCCACATACATAGATATGCTTACATTACTTTCTTTTTAAAAAAATATATATATAGTGGGTTTCTTTTTCTTTCTTTAAAAAATGAATGAACGTCAAGCATTTTGGGAGCTACCGGTGTGCTGCAAACTCTCAAGCACTGGTTACTAACTTGCTATTAGGAAATTAAACCTGTTCAGACCACAGGCCATCCACTCTGGTGTTGTCTTTCCTGATAAAACTCAAGATTGTTCGACCAGAAAATACGTGCTCTAAAATACTACAATATTATGTGTCAATAATATAGGGTTGTATTCAACCCAGTGCTAAGGAGAAAGTTCGGTCAGTGCAAGGATTTATTGGACAATGGGAAGTTATCCCCCTCCCCTTCTCCCAGGTACCCCTAAATCAGTTCTGGTGTTTCCCCAACTCTCCAGAACAGATATGGGGATAGTGCTATGGGGACAGGGGGAGGAAAGAAGGGGCTCCAGCGCTAATCCTTGCTCTAGTGCAAATATTTTGTTGAATACCTCCCACAGCCCACAATGCTTTGGCCAATCAGCAGAAGTAACTGAGGCTGCGTTCACAAAGCACTTTATTCTGTTTCCCTGACATCTGCCTAGCCGTTAATTTCCACTTTATATGTGAGCTTCCACACGACATAGAAGCCGCGTGTTATTTGCAAACGGAATTCTCCCTGGAAATGAACAAGAGGGAAATGTGCGCCACGCTTGTGCTATATTCTGCTATATCTCTGGAGGCTGCTTTTATGTCTCATGAAAGCTGAGATACGATGTGGAAATTAACAGTTAAGAGAAATGTTAGGAAAAGATAATAAATGTAAATGCAGCCTGAGACTACTGTTGCTTTCCCTTACCTCTTCCTCTCCGTTGTGTTATTGATTGGTCACGACCGATCTGCGTTTTAAGAAACATGGAGCTGTTTTGTTTTCTGTGCCTTCCGCTCCGTATCGCTAGCTGACGGTGCAAAGGATGGGGAAACCCTCTAGATAATGTCATCAGGGCACTGAGTAAGTTGTGCTATACATTCTGCAGGCAAGGAGGGCAACACATGAGTCCATGAGGCCGCATCCTGCGTCAATCATACGCTCAGAAGACTTGTGGGAATTATGGAATCATAAACTGAAAGATATGACTAGCTTGCATCTATCAATTTCAGTGGGTCTATTCTGAGCAGGATTAGCGGACTACAACCCTATTTTTGGCACCGGCATTTCTTACAATATATAGTTCTGCTCTTATGATTGTAAGCCTTTGGGCACAGTTGTGTGTTTTATAATTTTCATACGCAGCCGCCTTGCTTTTTACGGAGATAAAACGTATTATTAAATGTTCTTCTTCTTTATTTTATTAATTACCAGGATGGATTTTGGAGTCAATCATTCCTATTATGCTACGGAATATAGTGAATTTTTTAAAAAAATCTGACTTTTGTTTGGGCAGCACGCCTTTTTTGCTTTGGCGAGTGCTTTACTTGGAGAGCTTCTGCAAATAGCATTATAGTTATTTATTTCAGCTTAAACTTCTTTACGTAACCTGTCCTTGGGACTCTGGGAACTAAAGGGATGGCCTGATATGTGATAGTACTAGAATACTCAGAAACTCGCACAGCCGACAGAGCAGATGAGCACAAGCAATTACAACAAAGCTCCTCTATATCTAGATCTGGAGCACTGGGGGGAAATGCTAGCCCCCCCCCCTTGACCACAGAAATCAGTTAATGGTAGGTTGCCACCTACTGGCCAACTTCAAGAAAGAATTCCCCTGGCAAAAGCTGTTTGAGGGCCGAAGCAAATGCTACCAGCAAATGAATATTTTGGGTTTGGTCATTCCACACACACACACCCTCCAAGCCAAAGGGCTGCTTTGTTTATGGAAAAGCAACCAAGGGAGGGGGGGCTTGACCCTTTCCCTGCCGACTGCTTTCCCACTCCCACTTGCTACCTTCCAAACACTCCTGTCTTAAAAAGCAGCTGGAAGCGGCACTTTTGGAGCACAGAAATGGCAGGCATGGAAAAGATTAAAATGGTGCACATTTGAAATTCAGTTCACCTCACTGTGGTTTTGAGCTGCAGCCAGCTCAAGGTTTTTTTGTTTTTTGGTACATGGAATATTGGTCCCCTAAAAGTGGATTTTATTTAATGGGCATTTTAAAAGACAAGTTGGAGAAATAAATCGTGGCCTGTTTCTCTCCACATTGTCTCTTTTCTCCAGGATCAGGAGACAAATTATTTTTAAAAAGGCAAAAGGGGCTGGGCTGAAACAGAAGCATCAACCCTGCAGTCCATGTGTGCTGGGGCTTTGCCCCCAAGCGGGTTGCAGGAAAAAAACTGCAGAACCAGTGTGTCGTTGCACAGTATTGGGTATGTTCTTGAAGGCCAAACAGGGGCCTTTTCATCTGCCAGGGAACTGTTTTGCTGTATCAAACCAAAGCGCATCTCACCCAGCATACTGCTTCCAGTAGAGGTCAGCAGTGACTGCCTTTCCATTTGTTCCCAGAATCAGATGTTTGAGGGTATACTGCCTCTGGACATGGAGGTTCCATTCATGCCACATAGCCATGAATGTATGACCCTGTTTAAAGACACCAAAGCCAGTACAACGTCCCAGGACGTGCTTTGGCATATAACCACAACATACATCAAATCAGACCATCGCTCCATGTAGCTCAGTATTGTCTACAACTGAGATGGCATACTGTGCATCTGTGCTCCTATGGAACAAGGTCCTTCCTGGCAAGCCAACCACTGCCTTCAATCTCACATACTTTGCACATCCTTGATTGCAACAACCCTGACTCCTGCATTGCAGGGGGTTGGACTAGATGGCCACTGGGATCCTTTCCAACTCTACAATTCTGTGCCTTGGAACGTAACTGGGGAGTTTTTATTATTCGCTTTGTTGCTAAGGTCTGAACTGCTTTGGTATTTCTTTTTCCTTCTGCAAACAAAAAAGCAGCATAGAGATCTATTTAACAAATTATATGCCTCTGCAAAAAATACATTGACTGGAAGTGCATTGGCTCAAATGGAGAAAATGCCTTACATTCAATAAAGGACGTGGTCCAGTCCCTCAAATTAGGAAGGGGTGGATGGGGTAGAAAAGTCAGGGGAAGCTTGACACAGGACCCCCAGCCTCACCCCTCTTCTGCTTTACCCCACACCAAGAGACATGAGAGGCAGCTCTTCTTGCTAATTCCTCTGTCAGCTGGGGAGTCTCAAAGCATCTTTTCTCGACTTGGAAAGATGCCCTAGGATGGAACTAAAGAGCCCTTGGAGTAGCAGACAATCACTTCACTTTTTTTCCCCCGTGTGACCATTCATGCTGCGTTGCCACCTGCATTCATCCCTTTCAACCATGGAGCCAACATATATCCACACAGCATAAATCCAGGCGAAAAATATGAGGGGAGTTTGAGGGCAGAAGTTAAGCATGGCAAAGAGCATGGGGATGCTCCTGGCAAAAAATGGCAACCCAGCATTGACTCCTTCCTCTCCCCTGAAACGAGGAGTAAATGATGCCTCATCATCACTTCCCCCAGTCATTTCATTGGCTGTGTTTGGGAGGGGAAGAGAAAAATGTTAGGTGATGACCATCATCTCACACATTGTTGTTACTGTACATTATATAGCGAAAAGAGTAAACCTGGCATAGGACTGCCATTTTCGGTACCTGCCCCCTATTTCCCCCCCTCGTCTCATCAGGGCAGGCTCCCGATTCGGGATAGTCCTTAGCAAAGTGCACTCTGGTGGCCCTATTATGTGGGCAGGTCTTGGCAGGTAGCAAGCAGTGCCAGGTGACTCGGAGTCATTTCATAATTTCCCACAATGCCCCGAGAGCAATGCTTCATTTAAGATCGCTGTGAGAAATCAAAATGGCGGCTCCCAGACCTAATTGCCCAGTGCTGCTTGGACTGCTGTTCTTGTTGCTTTGAAGTAGAAGGTAGGACAGGAATAAGTGGTGGACCCTGCTTAGGGCAGGGGTAGCCAAATTGGTGCCCTCCAGCTGTTGTTAGGACTACAACTCCCATCAGTCCCAACTGGCATGAACAATGAGCAGGGACGGTGGGAACTGTAGTCCAGTGTCTAGTGGGAATCACATTGGCAGCCCCTGCCTTATGTGAGCAACGTCTTTTGTCCTCTTGCCTCAAAATCCACCAGATGTACAACTAAGGACAGCCAAAGCTGTGCCTGTTGCAGCAACCACCACAGAAGAACATACTAAGTAAATCCTGATTCTACACCATAGCTTAGTTGAATGTGAGCTTTCTTGTAGATCAGCTTTCTCCAACCTGGTACGCTTCAGGACTACAATTCCCATCATCCCTGACCTATGGTCATACCACCTGGGGATGATGGGAGTCCAAAACGCCCAGAGGGCACCACCAAGTTGGGGAAAGCAGCTTTAGATCATCTCCTGCAGCATGAGATGAAGTGCTGCAAGATCCCATCTCTGAAAACAGAAATCAAGATTTAGAAATCCATAAATACTTATGCAGTTTCTTGCCTTACATCCCCTGCCTTGCTTTTCTTCACAGACCTGTTTATTTATATTGTAAGTCTGCAGATAGGGTTTTGTCACAGTTAATCTTATGTTAGCATATTGTACAGTGCCTTGCTTTAAAAAAAAATGCTTCAGAAATAAGATATTATTATAATATTGACTGTAGCGAGCTTTCTTGTTTTCTACTTTGCAACAAACAAATGCTCACAAAAGGTTAGCTCCATCTTTATGAAGCCAGTAACCTTTGGAAAAGGCTTGACAGTATTAAAATTCCAAATGATGCTACCTGAAGTATTAGGAGCAAGCAGAAAATATGGACATGGAAAACAGGATGTACGTGTGTGTGTACATGCCAGAGCAGGGCAGAGGTGAGAATTTAAGTCAAACAGCCAGAGCTGTACAATGTGACTATACATATTGGCACGTGCCACTCAAATTCATTCATTCGTGTAAACATTACTCAAAGCAATGCTTCCACATATGACTTTAAAAACTGAAAGTTTGCAAACACAATCTGTGCTTTTAGAACTAAGATCAAAGTTCCAGAAAGAAGGGATTCCTAGCAGCAATGCCTCCTTAACTGCATTACATTTTAGAGGATTAAAAGCAAAGAATATGCAGTTCTGCCTATCAAGTTTGCAGAAGTCCCTGACAGGCACAGGCCAACCCTTTGCAATTTATCAAAAGAGATTATAGTGGTACCTCAGGTTAAGTACTTAATTCATTCTGGAGGTCCGTACTTAACCTGAAACTGTTCTTAACCTGAAGCACCACTTTAGCTAATGGGGCCTCCTGCTGCTGCCACGCCGCTGGAGCCCGATTTGTGTTCTCACCCTGAAGCAAAGTTCTTAACCTGAAGCACTATTTCTGCGTTAGCAGAGTCTGTAACCTGAAGCGTATGTAACCTGAAGCGTATGTAACCCGAGGTACCACTGTATGAAGTTTAATTCTAGAACCCCACTGGCCTACTGAGGCAATAAGATCCCCACTGGCTCTTGCACCTGAGAGAGACCTATCTGATCTAATCTGTGTTAGATTAGCACAATGTGTTTTAAATGTGTTTTGGGAAAATATGACTAGTTCAGAATGCAACAACTGGGATACTGACAAATGTTCATCAAAAAGACTGGTGCTGAAACAAACTGCACTGGCCTCCAATTTATTTCTGGGCGAAAGTGCTGGCTGTGACCTATAAAGTCCTAAGAGGCCCTTTGTCTATGTGAATCTGCCAGCCTATTAAGGTTATCTTCTGAAGCTCTTCTCTGAGCATCTCCCTATTCAGTCGTTAGGTGGGGTCTTCTTCCACTGGGGAGCCCTATTTACAGAACAGTCTCCCCATGGATGTTCAGGAGACACTTCCTTGATTAATGTCTCAGGCTGCCTTCATAAGACATAAGAAAAGGCCTGGTGGGTCAGGCCAAAGGCCCATGTGGCCAGCATCCTGTGGCCAACCAGATGCCTGTGAAGAGCCCACAAGCAGGACCTGAGCACAAGAGCATTCCCCACCCCCCACCCCACCCCAACCGTTGTTTCCAGACACTGGTATTCAGAAGCATAGCCTTTACCATCATGAACTTTGTCTAATCCTCTTTTAAAGCCATCAAATTGGTCACCGCCACTGCTTCCTGTGGCAGCGAGTTCCACAGTTTAACTACATGCTGTGCAAATAAGTACTTTCTTTCACAAAGAAGCATTTCCCAATCTGAAACACCACAATTCTTTAAGCCTCCCTCCTCTGGAGCCCAGCTTACTTGACATGAAAATTTGTCTACACAAAGCATATTCTCGCCACATTATCTTTAGAACTTTTAAAGGTCACAAAGACATGTCACTGCCACTTCTTGTACACCCCTGGCTACTTGTGTTTGGATGTACTGGGAATCCATGGCACATTCAGCACCACAGAGACACAGTCTACTGGGAACATCTCTTGTGCAAGATAGCACAAGAAGGCACATAATGCATTTTTGACATGTCCCCCAAAGCACGATATATTTTAACAACAACCCCCTCATTTCCATGAATAACGTCAGGGATGGGGAGCCTCAAGCCCTCTAGATGTTGCTAGACTACAATTCCCATCATGCCAAGCCACTGGCCATGCTTACTGGGGCTGATGGGAATAGGAGTTCCAACACCACCAGAGGCACAGATTCCCCATCCCTCGAGTACACATAGATGATGTTTGCACACTCTTAAAAGAACATGGCTTTTCAGAACCTTAATGCACATGTGTTAAAACTACAATTCTCAGTGATATTCTCCAGCTAAACAACACTCAGTTATCAGCATTTCAGATTCCAAAATAACGTATTAAAAATAAAAATAAAAAAGAGCTAGAAGATGTTGAACAGCTTGTATTCCCAAGGAACAGAGGGTGGGATGGGATGAAAGCTCCATGAGAAAATGAAAGCTGCTAATCTGTTTTCCAAGTGAAACATTTGAGGTGATTGCTCTAACCTGGGGCACAGTACATTCTCTCTATGGCATCGTTGTCACAGGAATCTTCAACCTCACTCCACCTGCTAAAATACGTTAGCTGAATGTGTCCTAAAAACAAAACGACAGGAGAAATCAAAACATTTTTCCCTTCCATTTTCTGCAGAAGTGAACTGTAATTACTCCTTTTGTAGCTAAAAACAGTATCATTAAGAATAATGGCATCATTAAGTACTAGAAGCTATTACTGGGGGTGAATTTGCTGCATTGATAATGAAGCTCTAGACAGGAAATGAAGATACTAATTACAAGATAAAACGCCTACTCAGTTAATTGGAAGCAACAGCGAATAAAAAGAAATGCATTTGCAGAAGTTCCTGACCTCGATCATTCAATAAGATGTTGTTTGGGTTCAAATCACGGCACACAATTCCTTCTCGATGCAAGGCATCAAGGGCTACTACCATTTCAGCTGCCCATCTCTGAACGCAGCCCTCAGGGAGGTAAAATCTGGAGGTTAGCGCTAATCTCTCGTCGAGGTCCTGAAATATCTGGTGTATCTCATTCTCTCCTCTGCCCCTCGCACCCGACTCTTTGCGTTCTGCTTTGTGCAACATAGCAGAGGCGGTTTCCTCTTTACTCAAGTCTTCCGCCTGATCAGAAAACAGCAGAACAGCTTCGTTGTCCAAATCTAAGCTGCGTTCTTCAGCACCCGCTTGTGCCTTAGAAGTCAGCAACCTTCCCTGCACACTGAATGCGTCCAGTGATGACGCAGAGGCTGCTCCAAGCCCTCGAAAGAGAGTCCTATCCCCAGAGCCAACTGGGTCACTAGCAGCTCTGTGGAATGTCCTGATCGCTTCCTGAGTGTCTTCTCCCTCCACCTGGTCCACCTTTGGCTCAAGGCCTCCTCTGCATTGCTCTGCGCTGTTATTCAGTTGCAAGACGTCAGGGGTTTCCAAAAGTTTGCTCTCCAAACTGTCACCCTTCTGCTCCGCCAGCTTAGCCGGCCCGTCTGCCGTGGCTTCTTTCGTCTGCTCCGTGAGGCCTGGCAGGTTGACCAGAAGGTCAGGTCTTCCTTCGTCCACGCTACTCACATCGTCAAAGGCAACGTCCTTGAAGGAGATCACTGGCACTGAGTCATTGGAGCCCCTGCTGATTGTGTCCTGGTAGGCAGGGCCCAGCTTGGTTTCTATGGCATCGAGGCTCTTATCCTGATCTGGCATGGACAAAAACTGTTTCAAAGACTCAGATTTTAAGCTGGAAAGTTTCTCTCCAAAATCCAGGCCCAGGTGTTCACTGGCACTGTCTTTGCTGTCAATTCTGAAGAATTCCATGGGGCTGTTCTTGGATTTGCTTAACGATTCTGATATTGGGGTGGGACTAACAATTTCTTGATCAACGTCGTCGGCAAAAAAGTTTACTTCCTGAGATGTGAATGGGGACCCCAAATTCCCACTGGCAGGCTCATCACGTGCCTTGATGCCTCCCTGTTCTTTGGTAATGAGAGTGCCATTGTCTGTTTTCAGAATAGGCTCCTCATTTAACGATCCGGGGTCGACCTTTTCTTGACCATATTCATTGCATAAGGTTAGGTAACTTGTAGTGCATTCTTCCTCTGAACTGGACCCCGAATCAATCCACTTGAGAGAACTTTCCTGGCCATCTTCCTGGTTACTACTGCCATCTTGAGAACTTGGAGTGAGACTGGTCTTCAGCGGTAACACCTTCAGCATGTTACCACCATTGCTTCCTCTAGAGTCAATGCTGCTGCCAATATCTTGAGGACTAGGAGTTGCCTGGTGCAAATGTATTTTGGTAGAACTCGATCTTCTGGATTTGGGGTCTTCAAAGCTTTCTTCGGGGCTTCTGTTGAGGAACTTACTGATATAAGACCACAGCTTGCCTCCTACAACAAATAAAGTAATTGGGATTAATTGTGTTTCCTTTACAGACATGCATGTCAGGAAAACATCAAATTGCCCTTGGTTCTAAATGCTAGGTTAAGAAATAAACAACCCTAGCTTGTTGCACCCATGGTTAAGAATGGCTGAAATCAAGAGAAGAGGTTGAATGCCCATATGAAAGATAGTCCATACTACGTCCCAGTCTGCTTCTAATTCTCTAACCCTGCTTAGACAAATTAGCAATATATCTGCAATGACCATCTTGTCAAGCCCTTTCCATCTCCATCTCCTTACTCTTATCTTTATATGAGCATCAATTAGCTTTAAGTTGGACCCCAAATGGAAGACTTCAGGAAGCATATTATTGCCAGTTGACTGTAACTGTTTCTCTCTTGTGCATTTATATATTATTACACAAATTTGTATGAAACGTAAAGCATAAAATCTCACAATATATAAAAATATATACCATGCCATCAGGCAGTAATAAGCGAATGCTATCAAACCGGGTCACACTTCAGAGAAAGCTTTTGTGAACAGGGAAGTCTGACACAATCATCTGAAATCATCTCTTTGGTTTGGTTTTTATGATCTAATATATTTATATTTATGTTTTTAAATGTGCTGTAGGAGACCTTCAGGCAACAAGCACCTAACAAGCGTAACAAATCATAAACATACTGCGGGGAGGACGAGGAGGAGCAGCAGCAAGAGGAGGAAGAGGATGTTTGATTAATATTAATAAGTAGGTAGGGAATACAATGTGAAATATCACTAGAAATTCTTTTGAGCTGTCAGAGTCAGGGGCATGTATTTACCTAAAGTCCAACTGTTAACATTTACTTTTACAAACTCGCCCACCTACCCATTGTGTCCCTTCCTTTCCATGGAGGTTTTCTAGTTCTTAAATCCTTATGAACATATGATGCTACCTTATAACATCTGGCTTTTAATCCACCTAGCCTTGTATTGAGTATTTTGGCTGGTGTCAGGCAGTAGCCATTCTTATCTCTTCCTACCTTATTCTTCTAAACAGAGTTGCTGGGACCTGAGACCTTCTGCATGTGCTCTATCCACAAGAATTCTATCCCTTAAGAATTCATACCTAGCGGAAACAAAGCTTAAATATGTGCAACTGGATTTGCTTGCTTTCAGCTACTTACTCCCCCCTCCCCTGCCTCCTTTCACTGTGTCCCGCCCATCAAAATTTAGATTTTAAACTCTTGGGGGAAAGGGATCTGCATTTTGCTCTACAAAGTGCCATGTTTACTGATGCCGCTTTATAAATAATTGGCATCATCATAAATACAATTCTAAGCTCTTAATTTCAGATGCTTTCTGAAACCTGTCATTACTCTGATCAATGCACTCCCAAAAGTTAGGAAAAAACCACCGCACAACTGTTTTTAGAAGCTGAGAGTGAAAATAAAGGAAAACCCCATTTTTGATGTTGATGCACACCTCGATGTTCAACCAATGAAAATCATTTGAATATATCGTCATTTCTGTATGAATGTTATGGGAAAGGCACCAAAGTAAAAATATGTAAACAATTAAAAAATAATAATAGTTGGGTTAGAGAGAAACAGAATCAAGGATTTTATTGCATACAAAGACACCTCAAAATGCCCAATCTAGGTTACAGAGGAGCAATATTTCCTTCTGGGTATGTAATTATGTCTTTATGAATGACACACTAATAATCTTTTCTATCTTGTACTGTGATGGATAAGATCAATTAAATGCATTAGGCAGAGCTGGTGCACTACTGGCCATCTAATGCATGTAAAAATATCAGGGGGTTGGGGAAATCAATTGATGCAAAGGAGTTTCCTTAAATATTGCACCTTATTAGCAATTAGGAAAGGTTCGTAGGTAGAGGGCATGCTTTGCATGCAAAAGGTCCCAGGTCCAGTCCCTTGCATCAGATGTCTAATAGACACTTTCCATGTCAGCATCTAAATATCCATGTAGCTTCCCTTCAGTCATTCAGACTTTTGGGCTGGGGGGTTGCTGGGGGGGCGTACGCTGTTGCTACTATTGATATTCATTTTTGCATCTTTACTGTTAGATCTTATGATTTATGATTTATATGGATATTGTTCAATTTGCTTGTGTACTTTTTGCTCTGTTTTCCCTTGGAGCACAACTGGTGAGGCTAAGATTGGGGTCTTGTCATCTGGGCAGCCCAGGATCTCCATACACACTGCCCAGGTTTGCACCCTGGAAAGGTCACTCCAGTACTGCTAACACAGTGGTTTGACTTCACCCCTGAAGGGACACTCCATTGTCTCTTGAGGCAGATGGACACCAACACGCATCAACTTTTGGATGTGTTTTATTTAATATTCATGACTACTTTTGTTATGTTTGTAATTATGTAAATCTTCTCATGTTGTAAGCTGCCTTGAGACACACCACCAAGCTTGATCCAGGTAAGGGCCATCCCTCAAAAGTAGTTTATATTTACTGAACAATCTTTGTGTCAAGCTAAAAAGAGTCTGGGGGGGGGGGCACACGTGCTTCCTGCTTTCTGTCCATGGAACAAAATGTACGGTTGGCAGTACTTCTGACTAGAGACATCAGAGAAGTCTACTGAAAATGGGGATGGGGAAGAGATTGAAGGAGGTTCACTTATTTGTCCCCTGTCTGGAACAGAAATCAATCCAGGGAATATGACTGATATTCACTGTTGTTTCGCTCAGTGCACAAAACAATACACAATTGATTATCCCACCACCACTCAATTTACAGTGTGCTTCCTTTGCACTAAAATGAACAGGTCAGAATAATTTAATGGCAAGATAATGTGACATGAATAATGTACTCTGGGGCAGAAGATGAACTGCAGTGTTAAAGAAACAGTGCTGCACTGAGACGAAGACACGGCAGAATGGAAAACAGTGCCTTTCTACATCCACACGCGTGACCCTTAAGACTGTAGACAGGAAAGATATAAGGCTACTATAGTATTGTCCTGCTACAATATCAGCGTCTGCTAACAGGAAACATCTTCATTTTGAAGTTTCTTGAGTGCTTTCCAGATGGATATGAACTCCAGCTTGTTTATGCTTAAAAAGAGTTGACACTTTCTAACAGCCACTTAAACTCCAATATCCGTCAAAGCCCTTCGCACCCCTTGCCCCCCAGACTGTTTTAAAGGAGTCTGGGGGGCCAGGGGTGGGGAGGGCTTTGACGGATATCAGCGTCTAAGTGGCTGTTGGGAAGTGTCAACTCTTTTTAAGCATAAACAAGCATCTGTTTCAACAATTTCTGGCACTGACACCGCTAAGTAGTAGTGAAGCCTCAGATTGGCTTTCCATCACATTACATCTAGCCAAGTGCTTTGTGACATAGCTAACAGACACTTTATGGATGTCCTCGTCTTTAACAAGACATTTAATACATCGTGACCAAGATGTTGCAGGAGAGACGGGGGGGGGGGGAAGAGAGAAGAGATAAGGTTCTACTAGATTGATCTATGATGTCTGGATACGACTATAAGAAAAACATTGTCACTGCTGCTTTCTGTTGCTTGGAGTCTGGTTTCCAGAATGCAGCTCAGGATTTCTAAAACATGACTGGATGGATATATTCCGGAATTAAGTAAAAGTGAAAAAATAGGTGGGGGGGCCAAGAGGAAAAAGATTTTGGCAATCCCACCCACCATTGCACCAAATGTGTTTTGACTACATGAGATTTTGGCTTTAGGGGCAATCCCCGGAACGTAACCCCACGCAAACTGAGGGATTGCTGTATTATATTAAAGCAATGTATTTTTTTTAGGCTCCATTCCATTCTGAACAAAGGAGCTAATTAAAAGTAAGAAATATTTAAATCCCTGTGTTATTCAGGTGGGCGGGGGGAGTTAATAAGTAATTATTCTTTGCCACCTGTTCCCTGAACATACCAGCAAATTTCCTAAAGACACGGAAGCCACCACTCTGCTGTGCTGCTTTCAACTCCTATGTGATGCCATTGGCTATTTTTCCTTTTAGAAAACCAGATCAGTTGCTGCGTAAACTGTGGAAACTCAACAAAAAGCTGGCTTTAAAAAATAAAATAAAAATAAATAATAATTAAAAGCAGCAGTGATTATTCTCGTATGGATGCTAGGTATATTAACCACAGAACAGAAACCGGCTCATTTGCCGAAGATTACAAGGGGTTTAACTTCTCCCATGTTAGGAACAGCCATGCATTTAAGCACTAGCCTGGTAGGCAAGGGCAATATGGACTTGTATGCAGGCGAGTTCAGGGAACTAGCATGGGCTAGTGAAGGGAAGGCAGAGTGCTCTGTCTCTTGTCTGCATCCAGCAAGGAAACCAAGTGGGTTGTCCAAAGAAGGAAGCCCTCAACCCCAACATCCAGCATGGAAATGCAGCAGGGGCTGTAAGGTGAACAGAGTTCTTTGTCCTGCCTCTGCAAGCCTTCAACAGGTAAGCAGGGCCGTCCCTAACCATTAGGCAGAGTGAAGCGACTGCCTCAAATGTCAGATGCCGGGAGTGCGAGAGTGAGACAAGAGCTATGTGTGCCACACAGCCTGCCCTGTGCCCCCTGAGAAGAAGAGAAGAGTTTGGATTTGATATCCCGCTTTATCACTACCCGAAGGAGTCTCAAAGTGGTTAACATTCTCCTTTCCCTTCCTCCCCCACAACAAACACTCTGTGAGGTGAGTGGGGCTGAGAGACTTCAGAGAAGTGTGACTGGCCCAAGGTCACCCAGCAGCTGCATGTGGAGGAGCGGAGACGCGAACCCGGTTCCCCAGATTATGAGTCTACCGATCTCTGCTATTCTCTGGTGAGGTGGGCACTGCCCCATCAGCATTGCTGAAGTAAGTTTCAACTCTGACTATGGTCAGTTTCTGTCCATGGAATGAGGGGTTCGGGGGGGGGGACCAGCTTGCCCTTCACTTCATCAGCAGCAACTGTGTATTGAGGAAGTTAGCTATTTTTGCCAGCTGGGGAGTTCTGCGGGTTTATTTACCAGGCTGCTTTAAAACAGAGCCATGTTCAGAGGTTGCCTACCTGCTAAGAATCAGACATGGGGGGCAGAGGTCAGGTGTTGCCTTCAGAGCCTGCTTTTGGGATTTTTAGAGGTATCTGGATGGCTACAGTTGGAAATGGGGTGTTGGACCAGATGGAACTTTGGATCTGAGCCAGGAGCACTCTCCTTATAGTCTAATGGCAGGAGCAGGGAACATGTGGCTGCCCAGATGTAGCTGGGCTACAACCTATCTGAGAATATCATCACTGCTTTGCACAACACATTTCATTTTGAAGGCTGATTAAGCAGCCACCTTGCACACACCATCGCCTTGCACACTCACAGCTAGGCTGGGGGTTTTGAGCACTGCCACTTTTGAAATGCAGCAACGAGCAACATATTGGAAAGCCAAAAGGGTTCTGCTGTCATTAAGAAAATGCCTCAAAGTAATGTATATATCACAAACTCAATAAAAATTTCCGGGACAGGACAGGGACTTGCTGCCTCTCAATATGGGTCAAAACATGGCAAGTGCGCCTTATTGCTCCAGAAACAAATAAAAAAAAAACACATTACAAATCCCAGGTGCACGACTTGCATAAGAGTTTCATATGCACAATCCATGAGTTAGCATGGCAGTACAAATGCTCAGGTTGGCTGGGGTTTAGTGCCAGCAGTGGTGAAAAAGGCTTCCCCACATCCCTCCCCCAAACTTTTAACTGGTACTGGGGTCCTCTTAAACTTAAGCTGTTGCCCTCCTGTGTTTTGGTGCTTCAGGAGGGTTGGGGAAAACTTCCAAGACAAGCGCAAAAATGCAAAAAGTGGGAACTGCACATAGCAAGCGATTCAGAAAGAGGTGTGTGGCATTTATGTGCTTTGCAGCCGTGCCTCCAAAACCTCTGGCTTGAAAGACAGCCCAATAATTCCGGGATGCTGCTGACTGAAAAGCCAGCATCGTTCTCCTCCTCCTCCCCTCCCCGATCCCTCCTGCAAGAGATCTGAAGCGGCAGACCCACCTTCCGCATGGCGCAGTACAAGGAAGACCGACTCCTCCGAGATGATGTACTTGTGCAGGGCCACCATGTTGGGCACACAGCGGGGGATGATGGTCTTTCTCTTCCTGCTGTACTCGCTACTTTTCCTTAGACCCTGACAGAGAACAAAAAGGTCAGTTGTACCCTCAGTTGCCTTTGCAGCATGCTGTGCTTGGTGTTTATCAACCAAACTAATCTATCCGAGTTACTCCAGGCTTCAGAGAAGCCACTCATCTGCTGCTCTATGGCCCTCGGTCCCCCGAGGCCTTGCTGATGGCATCTGGCGCAGGTCCAGAGAACAGAAGATGGCACAAAGCTCCCATTAAAATCAATTACATGGGTCAATGTTTTCATTAGAATCTCTCGCAAACCAAGTCATCAGGATGACACTCTGTTATTTCCCCGTGACCTTTTTTAAAAAATCTATTTTGGAGGGTGGGTGGGTGCCGTGCTTTAAGTTGGAGAGTAAGGTGCAAATTTTTACATCCACCCACGTTTCGTAGGCAAGCCTTCCCCCCTACACACACACACACTCCGACCCACTTTTAATGGGTTAGGAGCAAGCACACACCGCTCTGTCTTTCCCTCAGCTTGATGGCGTGACACGGTTTGTTTCCCAAAGAGGTTATTACTTCAAAAGGTGGCACGGGCAAAGGGAAGCGTGATGAGGGGAGCCTTGCTGCTGGTAAACACACAGATAAAATGTGTTTCAGGAAACTAAAGCAGGTTTTGCCAGCCTGGTGCCCTCCAGATGTTTTGGAGTTGTGGTCCGAAAAATCTGGAGGGCACCAGATTGGCAAAGGCTACACAAAGTTCATAAGCATCCATTTGATGGCTTCACATTGCACATTTTGTTTTACAAACTTGCTAAGAGGAGACAGGAGGAGGAGGTGTTGCATTGCCATCCTTAGCTAACAAAGACCTTATAGAACACCTTTTCCTATCATAATCTGGGGCACAACAATAAAAGGCATCATAGATGGTTCAGGGGAGGCGGATATCCTGAAAGTGGAAAGTGGGGGACTTTTCTCAGCCTGATGGTGTCATGCGATTTCCCCTTGTATGCTAAACTCCACAAACAGGATGTAAACCAGGGGGGCTCATAATCGCTTCTGGGGGCCACACGCCAGTGGTTGGCAAGGCCAGAACCAAAAGCCGTCAGAGGTAGGAATGTAACATTTGCCTTTGTTCAGTATTATTATTACTTATTAAATTTGTATACCACCCTATACCCGTATATCTCGGGACAATTCACAACATAAAGCTACAATATAAAAAATACATAATAAAAATAAGAACAAAGACATACTCCTCCCCTTCCACAACACATTTAAAGGGGTATCGGATGTTCAATCAGCCAAAGGCACGGTTGAATAGGAACATTTTTGCCAGGCATTTAGAGGGGTACAATGAAGGCGCCAGCCAAACTTCCCTGGGGAGAGCATTCCACAAACAGGGAGCAACTGCAGAAAAAGCCCGTTCTCGGGTTGCCACCTTCTGGAGCTCTCCTGGAGGAGGTGGGCGAAGAAGGCCATCAGAAGGTGATCTCAGGGTCTGGGCAGGTTCATATGGAGAGAGGTGGTCCTTAAGGCTCGTTTCTACACACATACCTCTCTGTCCTCCATGCAGACAAGCAAGAGACTCTATTTTGTGTTGATGCCAACTGAGCCTCACCAACTCAGGGGACAACCAGCAATACTCTGAGCGATGATCTCAGTGATCAAGCTGGGTCCAGGTGGGCCCCTAAGGTACCCTGGACCTAAGTTGTTCAAGGCTTTATCAATTAGTGCCTGTGGCACTTTGGGGTCTTGATTTTGTTGACTGAATCTGTGGGCAGGCGAGGAGACAAACATCAGCGCGCCAAATGATATAGGAAAAAATAATGACTTACCTTCAGTATAAATGTCTGCTGTGTCCTAGTATCCATTACCAGCAAAACCTAAATGAAACCAGCAATTACAAAAATGCAGGCAATTTGTATGAGCTTTCACGGAACAGCTCTTATGGCTTCCTCTCTGCATATCAGAGAGTACAAGACCCCCGCAAAGGAACTCTACAAAAACCCTCGAATACAGGCAACAACTCATTGCATTTTTAGAAAAACAGTAATGCTGCAAAGGCTTAACAAGACAGTGGGTAGTTCAAGAATGCAACGTGATAGTGGGGTGTATTAGCTTTTACACACCAGTACACAACTCCCACTTGATTTTAGAGTGTTTGCTATCTACTATTTTAGTAATGTGCATGTTCCCACCCAGGGACCACGGACTTTGCTGCTTTGTTTTGAGAGGGGCATTACAGAGAACCAGTTTACCACAGCGGGAGAACAATGTATGAGCTACAGAGGATGAAGCAACTTTTAATAGGAGTCTTATCTGTTGTGCAAATCAGACCCTTTGCAGAATATGATTGCATCAGCTTAAAACAAAATCGAGAGAAGTCCACTTTCTTCTCAAATATGATGAACACAGCTACACCACCCTCGCCCAGTGTGTTAGCATTACCTTTGTCAACGCTAATGTCCTGGTTATCTCATAGTCATAAATGTTTGGGCGATGAGACCTAATCTGGGCTTGTATTTACTGAATATCCAAAGTGTAAACTTACTACAGGGAAGCCCATGGTTAGCTTCGGTCCTTATTATCCAGTGGCAATTATCCAGATACTCTGAATGCAGAAACCTGCAAGTGGTCAGAACTTCCAGAATCTTGTTTGATCCCTATACCAAGATTTCTCCCAAAGCTAAAGAGCTTCTGTTGCAGAACTCATTCAGAGCATGATCCATATGCGTATTGTGGACATTTAAAGATCTCATATATAGTAGGGCTGCCATACATCCGGAATTTCCCAGTCATAGCCGGGATTCTTCCGCTGAAAATGGTGTCTGGCTGGAATTATCGGGAAGCAGCTAAAATATCCAGGAAAACCCGGGCATATGGCAGCCCATATTGGCAATGTTGATTTTTTGGCGATTTTCCTAGAAAATATAGGGAAAAACTTCCATTTTATTTTATTTTATTGAGGGGGGGAAAGCTCAACAACTTCTGCATCTGGATTTTCACTTTCTGAAATATGGCAACCCTAGTATATAGTTTATTTGTGTATTGTAAATTATCTATCATTCTATTATTTATCCCAGTTAATACAATGAAGACTTCTAACAACATGCAATGAAAACATTCAATAAAAGTTCCAGGACGCTAGGTAATAATTCTATCTTCATGAAGAACAGTAACAAAATGGTGTGGCATATTCATGTTCACACCCAGAATAGTCACTCTATTCCCTCTTCCACCCATTTTCCACAGCCCCCGCCTCTGCCAACGGACAGTCATCACAGCCCATTGAACAGGCTCAGTCCTTGCCATGTTGTTTTTGAGGTGTTCTCCCTCCCCACAGTCTCCCCACTCCCTGGAAATATTATTTGTACTTCGGAAAACCCTAGGGTTCGTTCCCAAGCAGGATGATACTTTTCCTTGCAGGAGCGTAGTGCCATTTTGGCTACATGAAGAACTGCACTCAGATAAATGAATTCACTTCTAGCATACACATACACACAAGTGCTGATTTTACGTCCCTAGGTTGGTGAGTTTCCCATCAAGATTTTATAAGATTGCAAATCAGGGCTATTTAAAAGCAGACTAGGAACTGATAGGATAAATCATAGCAGGAAAATTGAGCTGTGGTCTCCCTGTTTAGCCACAAGGCAAGGGTGGAAAAGACATGCCAAATTAAAATAGATAAAAATGCTTAGAAAGTGATACATCAATTTTCCCAGGGACTTTGTCTTTTCAACCAAGTTTGTTTTCAGCTAGCTAACATTCACATTGAGGCAGTAAATACAAGAACATATGTGATTTTTTTTTAAATGTGCCCTTTGACTGTCAATTTTTCCCAAACAGGTGTTGGTTAAATGATTATAAATTGGCCCCTGGATACACCTCTTCAACTGAGCCGTACAGGACTGGAGATAATATAATTAGAGTAAAAACATCAGGCTGGTGAATGCTTTCCATCTGCTTGGCAATAATGTTTAGTTAACAATAGTCTTTAAAAAGAAGCACCTTCAACTTCCCTTCTTAAAGTTATTTATAGGGCCATTCTTAACACCCCAGCACTCTTGCTAACAAGAGCTTTAGCCACTTGGAAATTATAAGCCACACGGCTAATTCCGAAAAAGAAACGTCTGCACACAACATCTGCAGCTCTCCAATTTTAAATGAAGCAACCTCATTTTAGAGTCATTTCTTAATGAATGGGCCTACGACTCTGTATTAATATTATCATTGCATACACAAAGATCATAAGGAGCCAAGCATTTATTTGGGGGGGGGGGGATACCAACACAAGGCTAATCGGTAGTGAAGCCGTCAGCATAAAGGACAGAATAATAGCTTCTTTAACCCACAAGAGGGCTGGATCATTTGTAGGCTAGAACATACCAATTTAATAACACTGCTCATGGCTTTGCTCACCTTTATAAAGACAAAAATCTAATTTGGACTAATTTGATATGATCGTCTTCCCAATCAAAAGCGCCCAACACAGACTTTCATTTCAGGATAAAACAACTGCTGTAACCAAGCCGTCATGAAATAATTACCTTTGATAGCATATCATTATTGGGACAAATACCATTAAAAGAATGCTCCCTTTAATTCCTCCTGTACCTCCCAACTAGTATGTGGGGTGGCTCTTAATTGTCTAAGCAGGAGCAGGTCACATGCTGACCACAAGCCACATGCAACCATCAGGTGCGTAGTCCAACTCTTCCTCCACAAATGACCTTGAGCACAGCTCACCCACATCCTATTCTAGTCAACTGCAGAAGCGCCATTTTTGCTGAGCTTTGCCAACTCAAAGCTGGAAACAATGGCCAACCACTTCGTCAAGCACTGCTCTCCAATCTTCGATCTCCTCCTATTGTTCATGTCATTCCATCTTGATGGAAGCAGGCACCAATTTTCTTGCAACTGTGAAAATTCTACGCTCAAAATTCACCGGCGAGGTAAAAAGAGGAAAGCCAATCCTAACAATACACACTTCCATTTTGTTTTAACAGAGAACTGTTCCTTTTAGCAACCTTTTTTTTTAAGTAAAGGTAAAGGTAAATGACCCTTGGATGGTTAAGTCCAGTCAAAGGTGTCCGTGGGGTGCGGCATCTTGCTTCAGACCAAGGGAGCCAGCATTTGTCCACAGACAGCTTTCCGGGTCATGTGGCCAGCATGATTAAATCGCTTCTGACACATGAGAACATCGTGACGGAAACCAGAGTGCACGGAAACGTCCTTTACCATCCCGCCACAGTGGTACCTATTTTTCTACTTGCACTGATATGCTTTCGAACTGCTAGGTTGGCAGGAGCTGGGACAGAGCAACGGGAGCTCACCCTGTCACATGAATTCGAACCTCCAACCTTCTGATCGGCACCCACATCTCTTTCCTTTTTTATTAAATAGCGTAGAAGCAGATGCATTGGTATAGCCACAGAAATATCGTCTATTTTTATGAAGGCTCTGATATATGTATCACTAATACATGTGGTAAGATCACAGCATACCACCTCCTGGCTCACGTCAGATTTCATACGTTTCCATGGGCGGTGAACCACCATTTTGTCAGCATTCATGACTTGCCAAATGGCCACATGCCCAAGAAGCCACCATTATCTCAACTGTTTGCCCACCAGTGAAATTCTAGGCAGGTTTACCCAGAAGTCAGTCATTTGTGTTTAATAGGGCTTTCCCTTGTTTTTATGTCTTTAGGGTTGCCATCTAAATCTTCACCTGACAAAATTAAGATGTTTTGACCAGGGAGGCTTGAGGAATATGATTTCTGTGAATTCCGATGTGAACTGACATGCCCTGCTGGATGAATTGTGAAGATCAGAATATAATTATCCTTCTGATTTTGTACTTCCCAAGATTTGGTGATACGGTTCTCAGCTAAAAAATTAAATGCCCATGCAGTTTTTATTGAGTTAAGAGACTCCATCAGTGTGATACATTGCCTGGCTGTACCTGTAAAGGTAAAAAAGGTAAAGGACCCCTGGATGGTCCAGTCAAACTTAACTGTGGAGTGTGGCGCTCATCTTGCTTCAGTTAACGTGACATCTGAAAACGAGCCCTGATTAAAAAAAAAAGCTTTCTGAACACAATCACCTCATACTTTAAACCCCTGATTAGCTACTACTTGTACTAGGACGGAGTGAAGCAGCATCTCAACCCCACTGTCAGCCCTCAAAGGAGTCTGCTAGCAAGTTCTGCCACTAAGGATGCCAGCCTTCCTCACCATAGCTTAGTGGTAAAGAATCTGTTTTGGATAAAGAAGGTTCTAGGTTCAATCTGCAGCATCCCCAGGTAGGGCTTGAATAAACCCTTGCCTGAAACTCTGGAGAGACTCTGCCAGTCAGTGTAGACAATACTGAGCTAAGTGGACCCATGGTCTGACTCAGTACAGTCGCATTCGGAAGTTGAACGCCTTGCGAGTCGAATGTTTTGCCTCCCAAATGCCGCAACTCTGGAAGTGAGTGTTCTGGTTTGCAAACTTTATTTGGAACCCAAACGTTCGATGTGGGTTCCGCAGCTTCCGATTGGCTGCTGGAGCTTCCTGCAGCCAATCGGAAGCCGCGTCTTGGTTTCTGAACGTTTTGGAAGTCGAACAGACTTCCAGAACAGATTCCGCTCCACTTCCGAGGTACGACTGTATAAGGCACCTTCTTATAGTCCCTTTGCTCTAGTCTAGATGAGCAAAGCAGAAAGAAAAGACTAGGCTATGATCCCCAAAGCGGCTGTATTTGGACAGGGGCCTCTGGTTCTCTCTGGTTTGCTTTCAACTGCTCTGCAGCCAAAATGGCACCTCTCCATAATGGCGCCCATCACAGTAGGACTTTGGGGCCGGATTCCAGGGTCCCACACAGCTATGTGGGGCAGAAGGGACAGAAAACACAGCAGAGCCGGCGTTCCGCATTTAGAAGCGAACAATTTGATCCACTTTACCATCTAAACAGGGTGTGGGTGTGGGTGGGTGTCCCCATTAAGACCATTAAGCACTGAGCCTAAAATGACCAAACTGCACAACTGCCTCTCCGACAACTTAGTGAGGTTTTTTTTATTAAAAAACCCCAGCTGACTACAAAACCTTTACTAATGCTTTAAAGACAAATATACAGATCACATTGAAACAGTAAGAGGAAAATCCAAGTCAATGCCTTCAAAGGCCTCTTTGTGCTTTGACAGTAGTTTCAGTCTCCAAGTCAGCAGTATAAAGCTCTAAAAATTGCATGTAAAATTAGGACAAATTATTGTAAGTGGAGCAGCAAGGGAACATTAACGATATCTAAGACAGTAACACGGTAATTTCGGAAGAGGGCAGGGCTGCAAAACAAGAAATAAAGAAATAATCCCATTTTATTTTTACGTCCCCATAGTTGAGGATTGACACAAATACTGTTATTGTAACTTTGTAACTGTGCAAATGTGTACCGTATTTTTTCCGTGTATTAGACGAGGTTTTTTGACTAAAAAATTGTGTCAAAAACTGGGGTTGTCCAATACACGGGTAGTGGGGGGGGAGCTACACGCCACCAGCCAGCTGGCTGACGGGAGCGCAACTTCCCTCGATGCTGCTGCGTGCGGGAAACAATCTAGGGAGTGTTTCCTGCCCGTAGCTGCATGGGGAGAGAAGCTTCGGGCCGTCTCCCCTCATTTTCTTAAAACTGAGTCCCCAAAAATAGGGGGGGGTCCTTATACATGGGGGCGTCTTATAGATGGAAATTTACGGTACTTAACTGGAAATCAAGGAACCTGCAGCCCATATGGATGCTTTAAAAACATTTCCACTGAAATAAATGGGGTTCAGTCCCAGGATTGCACAGCATTGCAGCCTTGGCTCCACATGAAGACTTAGGCTGGCAAAATCTAAATTACTCCCCGTTCCACCCTGTCACTATAAAATAAAATAATTGGGATCGAACAGTTTTGTTTACCAAAAAAAGGAGAAGGGAAGACAAGTTTTGTGAAAATAAATAAATGCATTTTTAAAAAACAAAAACTGGAGGGTTGTTTATTTGTTTTTAAGCTGGAAAATAACCACAATTTAGCCTAAAGAAAAGAGTTGATTTTTTAAAAAGTAAAAAAACCTTTAAACACACAGAAATTAGCAACTGTTTCGGTATGCTAATTTTTTTTAATTAAAAGATACTTCTGCAGCAAGAGCTCTTTCATATGCACTGCTGACTCTTCATCAAAAGCAAAGTTTCCAACTTAACACCAGCCTAGCTGGTGGCAGCCTGAAGGTTTACCATCTGCTGCCACCCCAAGTCACGGTGGCCACCTTCAGAACATATGCATCAAAGCGCCAAGATAAGAGACAGAAGGAATGCTGCAGAAGTCAGCAGAAAGGGAGGGGAGCCGAAAGCCCAGAGGCGGGCAACAGGCAAGCCACCAGAAAAGGGAATATGGCGAATCGCGAAGTCACCTTATTCAACTCCCAGCCAAGGTCACAAGGAACACAACTAGATGAACTACGAGCCAGGAATAAAATGCGCCTGTCTCCAGTCGGTTTTTCCTTCAACAGAAACTTGCATAGATGGATTCGGAGGGACAATTTGCGTATCAGGGGGTAGTAAAACACCCCACAGGGACTTAATTCTGCTTCCCTGGATCAGTTTTTGTTTGCAAAACCCCGTAAGACATTCAGTGCTTTATGGGAAGAGGCGTAGCTCGGTGGTAGAGCATCTGTCTTGCATGCAGAAGGTCCCAGGTTCAATCCCTGGCCTCTCCAGTTTGGGCTGAAAACCCAGAGAGCTGCTGCCAGTCAGTGTAGACCGTACTGAACTAGATGGACCAGTAGTCCAACTCGGTGTAAGACAACGTCCTAGGTCTGCACCTCAATACTTTCCATTGGCTGGTGTAAAACAGAATCCCAAATGGAGACCCAGGGAGTATAAAATAAAGAAATTTCACAAAGGTATCTCCATCGGTAAAACGTGAGACTCTTAAATTTTAGGCTCATGAGTTCAAGTCCAATGTTGGGCAAAAGATTCCTGCACTGCAGGGATTGGACTTACGATGACCCTTGTGGTCCCGTCCAACTCTACAGCTCTATGCTCTATGAAACTGAGGGTCAGAGTACATGTTTTATGTGAGAATGTGGCGATCACACAGGGTCCCCGGACGTTTGACGGTCTATTAATCCCTGTGCCACCACTGTGATTGCTTCCCCGCTGCCACCAACCCGTTTCTCTCGGGTACACACTGAGTCCAGGCAGTTGTTAACCTTAAACCAAATAAACAAGTTTATTTTATAAGCCTTAACAAGTTTATGGTTTCAGATGGTTTCTTGTCAGTCTCTTAATCTTAGGTTCTTACCGGCCTATACCTTCCTAATAACTTCTAACTAATTATCCCAACTGTCTATCTGACTCCTCGTAACAGATTCTCTCATTCTCTCACATCAAACTATCCCAACCCACAGACTTATCCTCCCTCTCTCTTCTCTAACACCCGACTAACTCCTTAACAACACTAACTCTAAGTCTAACTCCTCCCCTTGGGTTCCCACTAGCCAATCACTTCACACCCATTTAACCCTTTCCTTATGACCCAGTATGATGTCACCTAGGAGGGCAAACGCCACAAAGAAACCTGTGACTGGATTTCCCGTGTCACCTTCTTTACTTCAAAGCAGATACACGAGCTACTAATGTGATCTGATAAGGGGAAGCAGCGCTGCAGGGGAAGCATTTACCCCCTTTCCCCCATGCCACCACCACCCCGATCTATTTGCTCCACATACAATGAAGCTGCTGCTAGGCCCAGGGGAAAGGGGCATATGGGCACCATACAGGAATTTGCTCTTTCCAAGAACTCAGAGAACGAACAGCATCTTTGCCAAGTTATAATTCCCATGATTCTTTGGGCAACACCATAAGACATGTATTGTTTGCTGCACGGCCTACACCTAAAGCAACCAACTTTTCTATCTCTGGAAACTTTTCCCCTGATGCGGGATGGAGAGGGGTGTATTTTCACCACACAAACTGGCCTCCTCGCAGACACGACTGCCAGGGTATTGAATTGCAAATCCAAAGAGAGATTTAATATTAAATGGGGATTGAAGTTCTTATCTTACAAATGTGGGAAACCCCCTTGCTTTCCTTGCAATTCGCTTTCGTCATCTTCTCCTTTTTTCCGCCATGCATTGATTAAAGAAAAGTAAGACCACAAGGAGCTAAATAAAACTGGTTCAGTCTCTGGTCTGCCAGTTGGCTATTCCTGGCCCTAGACCACCTGCAAAAACCTCCTTCAGGCGGCAAAAAAATCCTCATTTGCTGGCTGCCCTTTCTTCCTCTTGATTTCTGCTTGCCAGCAAGTGAGAGCAAAAGAGAGGCTGAGCACATCTGGCAAGCTCTGTATTTGCTGATCTTGGGTTCTGTTTTTCCCTTATTTGCAAGACTGGCCTAGAAGGCAGTGACTGTTGCCTTCCGCTAACAGACTGCCAGCATCTCATAGGTCTCTGCCGCTGAAGTGCTCAAGCTCCGTCCTGCTCCTATGCAAACAGTTCTGGCTTGTGCACCAGCAGTGGATGAATCCCACACATGGATGCACCCCAAGACTTGCAGCTATCTGCTCCATCCCTCCTGGTGAAGGATTAGGAGGTTAAGTCGTTCCTGGACCATCCCACCGTCTTACAGATTTATACAGTATACACAGCTGAAAGCTATCATCGGCTTGGTCAAATTGCTCTTGCTGTCTAGGCTCTTTAATAAATACGCAAAGAAAGGAACACCAGACCAGATCAGACCCTTATAAGCAGATGAGAATGAAAAAGACGTTGACTTACAAGCCTGACCTAGTGACACTGGAGGAAATGGAACTAAATTGACTCAAATCTAAGCGCTCTGACCAAAGAGGTCTGCAATCCAGGCAGCAAGACATTACTGAGAGGTCTCCTAGCATTGCAAGCTTAATGCATCATACATCGCAGCGGAAAGGGAGATGTTACTAGTTATTCCCAAGGCCACACGTTTTATCGCACTGACATCCATCAGGTATTTGTATTTATTTCTTGTGTCTTTATTTCTGGTCTTTATTTCTAACCAACAAGCAGTGGGCTGCCCACTCCTTCCCAACAGCAATCATATTTCTGAACATGGACACGGTGCAATAAGAACATGATTATCAGTGCACAAGGTCCCTTACAGGGTAGCAAGAAGAAACATTGGTAGTCCCTGCCTGAATAGGCTAACAGCATGAAATATGACATAGAGGAACACCAGAAGTAGAGGGGAATATGAGAGACAACGGTTATTGGAGAAGGATTCAGTTCAGTTTTGTGAGGAGTATTGTTTTTGCTTGTTACTGTGTTGTGTATTTTTGTGTTTTTATACTGCAAACTGCTCTGTGATCCTCGGATGAAGGGTGGTATAGAAATTTAATTAATACTAATAATAAGAAATTTGAGCCACTTAGAATCATAGAATCATAGAATCATAGAATCATAGAATCATAGAGTTGGAAGAGACCACAAGGGCCATCGAGTCCAACCCCCTGCCAAGCAGGAAACACCATCAGAGCACTCCTGACATATGGTTGTCAAGCCTCTGCTTAAAGACCTCCAAAGAAGGAGACTCCACCACACTCCTTGGCAGCAAATTCCAATGTCGAACAGCTCTTACTGTCAGGAAGTTCTTCCTAATGTTTAGGTGGAATCTTCTTTCTTGTAGTTTGGATCCATTGCTCCGTGTCCGCTTCTCTGGAGCAGCAGAAAACAACCTTTCTCCCGCAAAGTCCTGATCTGGCAACGGGTGCAAATGGCTCCAGAATCCAAACAGAGTGTTGGGACCTTGGCTGGGAGGGCTGTACAGAAAGAAACCTGCTCCCTCCCCTCAACAGCCATCTCCATTTCTAGCAAACAGAGGACAGTTTCAGCTGCCAGAAGAATTCTAGTGCATGAGCCTAGTTCAGGCATAGGCAAACTCGGCCCTCCAGATGTTTTGGGACTACAATTCCCATCATCCCTGACCACGGGGTCCTGTTAGCTGGGGATGATGGGAGTTGTAGTCCCAAAACATCTGGAGGGCCGAATTTGCCTATGCCTGGCCTAGTTCATATGCTTTGGGAATCTGGCATTTTCAATATTTTGGATATTGGAGAGTTGGGAATCTGTAACCGCCACTCCAAGTAAACTGTTATGCAAGTCAAGACTCTTGACTTATATATAATATATGACGACTCTTGATTTGCAGTGTGTGTGTGTGTGTGTGTGTGTGTGTTATTTCTATAGCAGGTCTCATACTTCTTATTTGTTACAAACACACCCTGCAGGTCACACATCCTCTGTCCCTGGTAACACTATCCTGTGAGAGTATGTGACTGAACTGGCATATGAACCAGGCATTTCCACCTCACAACTGAGGTGCTAAACTCAGAATTTAGAGTACAGATCAAATGCACACATTATGAAAGGGCAGACTTAAAATTTTCAAATAAATGAAAGAAATAAACCTCATCTGAGTGACTACAAGGAACCATCAAAAGGTTGGCAGATTAAATACTGAATGAAGAAGTGCGCCTTTAAAAGTTAAACAGCCCATTTCATTAGCATGTCACCCAAGTTTGACTTGGATCACTAATTGGCTATACTTAACCAGGGCAGTCACTTTAATCGCAGCATCTCTTTGGTCTCTCAATTAGGCTTACAAGAGCCACATCTTGTTCATAAATGTTTACTCAAGACAAAACGAAATTACCCTGGATGGAATCTGGAGGTATTTTATCCCACATATACTAAAAATAAGGAGGCAGGGAACCATCATTTTCTTCCCCATAGTTTTTAACTTGGGGGGGTTGAAAAGAACAAGGAGAAACACCTTTTTAAAATTCACTTTTATTCTCCTCTGTTGCCCTATGCCACACACACACACACACACACACAAACCTCCAACTAACTCCCCAGACTCTCACACCAACTCCACTGAACGTATATATATTTTTCCATGTTTCCGTCTCACCTAATACCGAAAGACCAAAACTGCAGTCTTTCCTAGAAGGTAAGAAAAGCCGTGCCGGATCAGGATATGTAGCCCATCTAGTCCAGCATCCCATTCACACATGTACTTTGTACGTATGCTGTGTACGCAGCCACAAAGTGTTTGCCCAGCTCCAAAACGGGATGTGGGGGGAGGGAGGCAAAACTGGAGCATAGCAAGTGGGGAGAGAGGACCCATCCTAGAGGAACTCCTGTTTTGAAGTTACTTCTGGGCCTTCCTTCAAGTTGCACCCAAGTTTAAAGTAAACAAAACATTCATGCCTTGAGAACCTGTTTGTCAGCATTTGCAGCATTTACACTTACCTTTTGAGTAAAATCGGGGACGTCATCTTCTGGGGGGACAGGATGCACAATTTTCCATCTTACTTTCTTTCAAAGCTGCCATTTCTGGAAGCAACCTGGCACCTTATTTGGCATGTTTTTAGCTACAGCATAATAGCTGGGGCATAGCATTTTTTTTAAATATAAAAATTTCACTGGGCCCTTTTTGCAGACTGGCACCATATTCTTTAGCTCAAATATATTTTGCATGACCTTACATGAATTGCTTAGATAAAAGCCTTTCCCTCCCCCCTTCTACTTTTGTTATTTTAAAGTGCAGATGCATTTGAGTCATTTTCCCTCTTTGTTTCATATCCTTAAGATCCGCAGCTTCAAAGACAGAATGTCAGCATGCAGTCGATTTATGACTGAACTCTTGAAGAGACACTGAAGAATTACCTTGTCAATCACCCCAAGGACTCTAAAGGCCTTCAGTTCCTCGGCAGGGCTCCTTAGGTTCCAAGAGGGCCTTGAACTTAGTGATCCTGGAGGCTAATGGAAGATATCAAAGATTACAACATCAATCAGGGTGGTACTTGAAGGAAGACTGCCTGCTGGAGCAAATGCCAGGCTGAAGGAAACTAAATTTATCATAAATCAGAGAGAGGGAAGATGAAAGAAGTTTGCTGTTTGTCCTTAATGCAAAAAAGGAAGCAGGGGGAGTTGATAGTAAATAAATCGCTGGGACACTGAACATGGAAATGTGGCAAAAAGGAATATTAATATTTTAAGAAAAAAATATTAAGAATTTAGACACTTCCCCAGTTCTTTGTGCATGCAAGGAATCTCGGGTGCATTGCTATAGAAACCCCACCCGTATCCATTACTCTGGGTTTGAAGGAAGAGGAACAAAAATAAGAGTGACAAAAGTATAGCAGGGAAACTACAGGCAATGTTTTGTGCCATTATTCAGTCTTTACTTTCATTAGAAAAACAACAACCCTAAAACCAGAAAAGTGATTTGCTAAATAGCCTGACTTTAAACTAATTATGGATCGTGAACCTAATTCTGGCTCCCCAACCATAAACATATAAGTAAGGGACGCGGGTGGCGCTGTGGGTAAATCCTCAGTGCCTAGGACTTGCCGATCGTAAGGTCAGCGGTTCGAATCCTCACGGCAGGGTGAGCTCCTGTCGTTCGGTCCCAGCTCCTGCCCACCTAGCAGTTTGAAAGCACCCCTAAATGCAAGTAGATAAATAGGTACCGCTTTATAGCGGGAAGGTAAACGGCGTTTCCATGTGCTGCGCTGGTGCTGGCTCGCCAGCTGCAGCTTCGTCACGCTGGCCACGTGACCCGGAAGTGTCTTCGGACAGCGCTGGCTCCCGGCCTCTTAAGCGAGATGAGCGTCGCTTAGAGTCGGACACGACTGGCCCGTACAGGCAGGGGTACCTTTACCTTTACCTTTAAGGGACATCCTTTCCCTCCAAGAAGCACTTAGTGGTCACAACTCCAAGTGAGGCAGAAGAGAGAGTTAATCTGCCACACCCCCAAATCAGTCACATTTTGACAGAAGGCAGAAATTCCCTAATTAGATTAGTTGTTTAAAAAAAAAGTAAAGGACCCCTGACAGTTAAGTCCAGTCGCAGACGGCCCTGGGGTTGCAGCGCTCATCTCACTTTACAGGCTGAGGGAGCCGGCGTTTGTCCGCAGACACTTTTTCTGGGTCACGTGGCCAGCATGACTAAGCCGCTTCTGACGCAAAGCAACACCGAAACCAGAGCAGCGCAGGGAAACGCCGTTTACCTTCCCGCCGGAGCGGTACCTATTTATCTACTTGCACTTGTCCGGCGTGCTTTCGAACTGCTAGGCTGGCAGGAGCTGGGACTGAGCAACAGGAGCTCACCCCATTGTGGGGATTCGAACCACCGACCTTCTGATCAGCAAGCCCAAGAGGCTCAGTGGTTTAGACCACAGCGCTACCCACATGTTAGGAAACACCAATTCCCCTCAAACAGCTGCAATTCCCAGTTAACTTTTGAGGAGGGATTGAGTGTTAACCCACTCTGAGAGCTACAGTGAGGTGAATGGGGGGTCTCCTAACAATTCTCAGCACCCTTGGAAATGACAGCTCCCAGAATTCTTTGGGGGAAACCATGATTGTTGAAAGTGCTTTGAATGTGTGGTGTGAATGTGGCCTTAGTAAAAACCCACGCCAATACCTCTGTGCAGACCGTCTACTTCTGTGTCAATGCACAAGAGAGCAGTGAGGTTAAGCCAAACAGCCCTTTCCCCCATTTTATGCTCTAAGAAGTTACTCCTCCTGGTGTCAGCACAAATCTCTACAGGGAAGTGCAGCTGTACGCATGAAAGCTTCTATTTGCCCTGCTTAAAAGGGAAAAAATGGTTCTAGTTTGTGGGGAGGTTTCAGGAGGGCAAGGTGCAAAAATAAACAAATGTCTTTTTCTTCTTTCTCACCTCCCTTCTCATAAGCCCTCAAAAACACTATGGGTGGGGTTCAATTAACGAATCCTGTCAGCAGAGGGCAGAGCAAGGACTTCCGCTGGCAAAATGGGGGCTTCCCCACTCTACTCCCTCCATGCTCCACAAAATTGGGCTGGAGCCCCAGAACTGTGAGCAAGGGGAGGGGAGGGGATCTCATCCCAGCTTTCCAGCCGAAATGCCTATCTTGACAGAATCATTGACATAGTGTGACATGGAATTTTTCCCTACATGGGGACCATTCCAGGCTGACAGAAACCCCAAACATGAGCATACCAGTTGGGGGCCAGAGATGCAGTGTGACATTTTGTAAAATGTTAAACCTGCCGCCTCTCAGCCATGACCCTGGCTGCAATCCATTTAAGTTTGTCCCACAGAATCCAGTGAATAGTCCATAGGGTTTTATAAATAGGAGGCGTAAGGTGCTGCCAGGCGCCTCCTATATAGGCCAGGCCGCAATGTTAGGCTCTATGCTGATGCCTTTCTCAAACCACATCCACCTTTGACAAGATACTTGAAATACTTGTGGTAATTATACAAATTTCCACACAGGAGTTCCTGCTATGCAATCAATTTAATCTTTGGTTAAGTGGACCTACATTCTAAGCTTGGAAAGAACCTGAAGGGAATTTAAGGCCAACCCTGTCCCGTAACATCTCAATGCACAAATATACCGCTAAAAATTAAGCAGTCCTCAGGTGGGGGGGAAAACGTCCTCCAAAGCTCATCTGGGGAGTTCTATTGCAGTAGAAGAGGCTTCTTTTCCCTGTTTTGTTTTTTCTCGCCCCCAAAACCCTCCCTCAAAACAGAAAACAACAACAAAAGGCAATCACCATTCAGCGAGGCAGAGATTAATTTACCCCTTTGCCTATTCACAGCAACTAGCTGCCTTCAACTATTCTTAGGGTTGTTCAAAGTAAGATGAAAGACTCATTTGCCCTTTTTTGTCCTTCTGTGATACAAATGTAGACAGACAGGAAGTTTGGAACTTTTAACGTTTGCTACATGAGAGCAGTCATCGACAATCACACACAGTTTTGTGTGACTGCAGCAAAAGACATCTAAGCTAAGAACAGAAAGGTCCTCGGGGAATCTTTTATTTTATTTTTTGGCTGTTGCCGAAGAAGGGCAAAGTCAAGATTTGTTAAAGGATGTATCTCGTTCTCTCAGTTCCAAGTCCAAGAGCTACCACCCCAGTTCCTGCAAATGTTTTAACGATCACTCCTCGCTGGAAAAATCCCCATGTAAAGATCGCACTGAAGATGGCTTCAGAAGCGCCTTAATGTTCAAAGACTATCATATCACCAAGGTGTCCCTTATCATTACTTTAAAAGAACATCTTCTCCTGTGCAATCCTGTCTGCTCGCCTCCCCTCCAAATCAGAAGGAAAGGCTCCTCCGTAACCTCCAACTTAAAAAAAAAAAAAAAGCTGGGATGTGAGATTGTGCTTTTTCTATTGTTGCATCTACAGTTTGGAAGTTAACACCTGAAGAAATCCACCTGCAAACTTCCTTGTTCTCACCCTGCCCAAACAACCCTTTCCTCAGAGAGTGGTGCTACTGCCGTTTTTGTGCCCCCGTTTAAGAATCATGCAGTCATAGAATTGTAAAGTTGGAAGGGACCCCAAGGGTCATCTAGTCCAACCCCCTGCAATGCAGGAGTCTCAGCTAAAGCATCCATGGCAGACAGCCATCCAACCTCTGCTTTAAGACTTCCAAGGAAGGAGAGTCCACAACCTCCCGAAGGAGCCCATTCCACGGTCAAACACCTCTTACTGTCAGAAAGTTATTCCTGATGTTTAGTGAAATATCCTTTCTTGCAACTTTAATCTTTTGGTATGGATCCTACTCTTCAGAGCGGGAAAAAGAAGCTTGCTCAATCTTCCATGTGACAGCCATTTAGATATTTGAAGGTGGTACTCGATACTTGGGACTGGCCTTTTTATTTTTTTATTTTTTATTTTTCATTTGTGAATTGCGATCTTTAATCCAGCATTATTCTTTCTTAAGCTAAAAATCCACGAATAAGCTAAATAATTGCTGATGGGCCAAACAGGACAGGGAAGCTATGGTCTGCCTGAAGCAAAAGTCAAGATGGTGCCCACCAACACCCCAAAATACCACGCACAAAAACTGGCAGTAGACTCTGACTCCAGTGCTGATGGCCAAACACCATCCTTCCCTGCACCTGAGGACAGCACGTGGCACAGTGCAAGCCACATGGCAGACACAGCTATGTTTCCCTGGCATTCCCTGCCCCCAAATCTGCCACCTGAGATAGCTGCTTCCCTCTCTCTAATGGCAAGGATAGTGCCTTAATTATGGGCAGCCTTCCCTCTCCACTTCTGCAATGCTTTGGTCCAAAGCTGTACATATTTGCTTATCTGGCAGAATCCTGCTTCTGTAATTCATAAGGAGAAGCAAACAACTATGCATGGAACACATACAAACACTCCAAGAGAGATTACAGTCGTACCTTGGAAGCTGAACGCCTTTGCGAGTCAAACATTTTGGCTCCCGAACGCTGCAAACCCGGAAGTGAGTGTTCCCGTTTGTGAACATTCTTTGGAACCAGAATGTCCAACAGGGCTTCCGCGGCTTCCAATTGGCTGCAGGAGCTTCCTGCAACCAATCGGAAGCCGCGCCTTGGTTTCCGAACGTTTTGGAAGTCGAATGGACTTCCGGAACAGATTCTGTTTGACTTCCGAGGCACAACTGGACATTATTTTGCATTTTGTAAAAAGAAAAGAACCTACTCCAGAAACCGAACCGTCTTCTGATGAGGGTTTACAATAGAGGCTTGAAATTTTTTCTGCTCTCATCAGATATTCCGAAGTCTTCCTCTTCACTGCTTCGCGGCGTGTTGGACTTGACTCCCCTGTGTGATATAAGACAAGAGTGTTAAAAATCTGCCACCTCTGAGATTTTGTCTTCCTGTAGATTCAGCTCAAATCAGTGGGCTGCATCCAAGGCTGTTTTTCCGCTAGAAAAGTAAAGTTCTACTCATGCAGTGGTTCTCTCCTCTCCCTTACAGAGCCTACACACCGCCTCAAAATCTGCCTCAGAGGATTGGAGGATCTTCTGGAGACGATTTTACAGGCGCACAGGAAGGGAAGAGGAAGTCCAGTTGTGCGAGCGGAATACCACATGTTCAGTGCTGGCAACAACCCAGTGGTTTTCCATTTGTATTCGAAATCATAGTTGTGAGTTGCTGGAAGCTTCCAACTACTAAGTAATTCTACCTAGTAGTATTTACATAACCTCCAACTACTACTGCTCAATTTGGCTTCAGTATCACAGATATTCATAAAATTCATCTGGGATTGTTTGAATTTGCATGATTCACCTCTATCAGGAAGTTTTTTTTAATGTTTGGCATTTTACTATGTTTTTAGATGTGCTGTAAGCCACCCAGAGCGGCTGGGGCAACCCAGCCAGATGGGCGGTATAGAATTAACGAAATTGTTATTGTTGTCACCAAATTCTGGACATTAACATCTATTACACACACTCACTCACATACACTCACACATATAGAATTTAATATCTCATTCAATGCTAACATTTTCTAGCTTAGAATTTTTGAGGTGTTAAGGATAAAGTTGAGGATTCTATTTTCCTTATTTAAATGAAAGAGACTGCTGCTTACAAACAATATATTTTGAGTTTGTAACAGCTAAAAATTAACATGCTGCACATGCCTCCAATTCTATTCATCGCATAAACATCAAACACAAGACAAAGAAATTGCCAATTATTATCAAATTGTAACAATTCATATTTCTAGCACATATCTTGAGGTATTCAATAGGCATTTCTCCTAAGTTCACCTTAAGAGGCTTCCTTTTTTTCAGTGCTTTGTGGGTTCATATGTATATAGGAATACAAGTGTTAACTGCGTTAAAGCTTTTAATTTTTCTTGATGGCAAGATCATGCAAGGTCACCCCACTTCAAACAAAAGATTCATTTTCTATTTAGTTGTTTTCCAAGATACCAGCAGATATTTGTGTTTCATTTGATAAAGATCAAAGCTTTTCACCTAAATCAGTCAGATTCGAAAAAAGAAAAGAAAATGAGCAATGTCATTTTAAATGCTTGAAAAAACTAGCCTCTTCTGAAGAAAGATATAAAAAGTGTGTTAATGCTGATGACAGAGGCCTTCAAATAAAAAAAAAACCCTTCGAGATTCCTCTTTTCTCTCTCTCTCTCTCTCTCTCCCTCCCTCCCCATTTGCTATACAGCAGCTGTGCCTCACGCAAATTCACATGAATGAAAATATTTGGGCGAGAAACCACCCCCTTAGCTTGTTTTCCATATGACTTTCCTGTAATTATTTTGTAAACTGTTCGCACAACAATATATAAAAACATCTGCAAAAACAGGTAATTAATGTGTCAAGCTAAACTAATGCATTTTTATGGTGGCCATGCTTCGTCAACTGTAATTATAACTCTTTTTAAGCAAATGATGATGTGTTTGTTGCAATGTGAAAGTGGTTATTTTAGATGCTCTGTTCACCGTTACTGCAAACAGAATATTAAAAAAAAAGGAGGGGGGGGACTCGACACAGCTTACTACGCAACATATACAGGCTTCTAGCAATTTGCTTCCCCTCATCGCAAACCATCTTGTTGCGCTTAAAGGGTTGATCTTTCTTTTATTTGGAACAGCATCTGAGCTGGTCAGGTCAAATTGAATTCTTCTTGGCCACAGAAACAGAGGTCACTGCCTTGTATTGGCAGTCAGACCCTTGGTTCATCAAGCTTAGGATTCTCAACAACGACTGGCAGCACCTCTCCAGGGTTTCAGTAAGGGGCAACCCAAAGTCCTATCTACTTGGGGACCATTTTGCCTCCAAGGGCCAGATCTTTATCAGGATCTGCTGCAAGGGTTAAATCTGACAGGCGGGTGGGGTTTCAAAGCATGTTGGGACTTCAAACCCCATCGTTCTGCCCGGACACTGAGATCCAGCGCCAGAGCCTTCTGATGGTTCCTTCACTGCGATAAGTGAGGTTACAGGGAACTAGGCAGAGGGCCTTCTCGGTAGTGGCGCCCACCCTGTGGAACGCCCTCCCATCAGATGTCAAGGAAATAAGCAGCTATCTTATTTTCAAAAGACATCTGAAGGCAGCCCTGCTTAGAGAAGTTTTTAATATTTACTGCTGTTTTTAACACTCGATTGGGAGCCACCCAGAGGGACTGGGGAAACTGAGTCAGATGGGCGGGGTATAAATAATAAATTATTTATTTTTATTTTTATTTTTATTTTTATTTTTATTTTTATTTTTATTAGTCAAAGCGCTTGGCAGGCAGCAAGGCAGCAAGGCGATGCTAAAAGGCTTTTTGCTATGTTTCAACAGCTGTTTCGATGCCAGCCCCTGGTTGCCATATCCTGGAAGCTCCGGAAGGGGGTCGATCGGCAGGGCCAAGCCTCACCCACGTATGAGTTCAGGTACAGGGTACATGGGTGTTGCTTGCCCAAACTAGCCTTGCAGGCCAAATGGGGAAAGTTGCATCTATGTGGTGCAGATATCCCAACCCTGCCCTACCTTGGAAATAGCGAGGATTGAACCTAGGAACCTCTGAATGCAAAGGAGATGCTCTACCACCGAGCTACAGACCTCCTTCTCCAATCAAACCTGGGATCTTCTGTATGCAATGCGGATAAGCAGAAAAACCTGTCTCATTCTCCACCCCCTCCTTCTGCCCCAAATATCCAAGGGCTGCCTCACAACCTTATGCAGGAGCAGTGTTTCCTGCAACGACGCTAGTTTCGACACTGGTTTTTTTGTACAGCCAATACCTCAAGTATGATGGGCAGAGTATTTAATCTGTCCAGTGTTTAAGCTTAATAATTCATTAAAACATTGGCTGTAACTGAATTACAGCATGACCTATGGTGGGTCAAAACTGCAGCACGAACCAACTATAGAAAGTTAATATTGAATCTCGAGCCTTACTTACAGAAATAAGATAATAATTTGAAAAACTACCCTATAAAAGCACACTAACTGAAAACAAGATGAGAGTTGCACTCATTCATTTATGGTACATGTCAACTACATTCCTTGGTAGGCTTCAAAAGCAAATGAGATAATCAATTTGTGTTGTTGTTTTTATCAATAAAGAACTCTGTTAATTTCACAGTAGAGGCTTCAGGGCTCGACAACTGCAAGCAGAGGGATGAGGCGCTCTCGGTGTGAAAGTCATTTGTTGAGGAGAGGCCATTTGAGGGAAGTAGCATTTGATCATCAATAAACACCAGTCACATTAATAATAATAATAAAAGATTAGAAGCTCTAGAATTGCCTTCCCCCAACCTGATGTCCTCTAGATGTTGTTGGAGTAGAATTCTTATCACCCCTAACCCCTGGCAATGGCTGATGGGAATTGCAGTCCAAAACATCTTGAGGATTCCTGGATGAGGACACCCTCTTGAGGAATCCAGTGCATGTAGGTTGCTAGACTAAAAGATTTACGGAAAATGTTTCGGAGATGTGATATAAACTATAGCTCAGAGAAGTCTTCCCACTGGCACCAGGCACCATTCTGCACGTCTCCTTGTTTCTCACAGAAAGAGTACAGTGGTACCTCGAGTTACATACGCTTCAGGTTACACACTCTGCTAACCCAGAAATAGTGCTTCAGGTTAAGAACTTTGCTTCAGGATAAGAACACATATCGGGCTCCGGCGGCGCGGCGGCAGCAGGAGGCCCCATTAGCTAAACTGGTGCTTCAGGTTAAGAACAGTTTCAGGTTAAGAACAGACCTCCAGGACGAATTAAGTACTTAACCTGAGGTACCACTGTATTTCAGCTGCAGCATAGTAAACATAACTAGTTTTACCATGGCAGGCGCTCTCTCAGAACACACAACCTCTCCTCACTTTAAAATGGTAGCAAAACAACCTGGTTGGATCCTATGACAGGGTATCAGGCAATGTCTAAGGTTGTGCAAGCAGGGTTCATTTTGCCCAGTAGGACTTCCCTTTCCTCTCCCTCCTCCGCCACCCCATACCACTTGTGCCCCCAAAACCTGCTTAGGTGTCCTCCTTTCCACCACTAAGCATTGCAGCAGAGCAGAACACAGCTCCATTTAGAAAACTAGAAAATGCTCCACTGTAATTTTGAAATCCCACTCCTAACGTCCATTTATCTAGTTATTCAATGTATTTTACCCCGCTCTTTAGTACACACACACACATACAGAGCTTCCTGAGAGATTTACAAGAACAGCTGTAAGACAGTTCCTGCCCTCAGGTTTCAAATATAAAAAGACACAAGGGAAAGGGGAGAGGGGTGGAGAAAGGGGGGAAGCAAGCTGAGGCTGGGCATAGCCTCATCAGATAGCTCTGAACTACTGTCCAAAGGCCCTTTAAGGAAGACCCATTGAGGTGGGTTTTTCCCAATTGTTGTTGTTTAGTTGTTTAGTCGTGTCCGACTCTTCGTGACCTCATGCACCAGAGCACGCCAGGCACTCCTGTCTTCCACTGCCTCCCGCAGCTTGGTCTTCAAATCACAGCGGCATGAGAATCATGCCACAGGGCAGGAGTCCCCTCGCTGCTGGTTCGGGATGTAAATAAGGTTTGGGCCTTCTATGGAGAAGGAAACTTTCCTTTGACTATCTCTCAAAATCAAAGATGGAGCACTTCCCAGAATCACTACTGCCTCTTTCTTTAGGCTGGCATTTAAAGGATCCGGTTAAAGGTGACGTAAGATAATTTTGTTTCCTCTTCTTAGCTGGTTCTGTGACAATGGGTGCTTTATTGTGCTGGTTGAAATTTCAAATCTGGGCTTTGGATCAAGACAAAACAAAGAGGGAGAAGCAACAGCTTCTTACTGCCGACAAGAAAACAAAATGGTGCCAGAAGCGCTCCATGTTCCAGCATAAAGACTACAGAAACAGGAGGAGGCTGTTTTCATAGCCACATTCTGAGGTTGTTCACACACAACCTCTGAACAGTGGGGAAGGAAGGCGCAATATTTTCCAGTTCCCTTTGCATTCTGTTCTGGAAGAGCTTTCAATCTAGCAATGGCAGAGATGGCCAAGAATCAGAGTAGCACAAAAGGAACTTGTTAGGCAACAAAGAGGAACCTAGCAGACGCCTGATCCTGGGAAACCGGCTACAGCAGCTTGAACAGCAAACATAACTTTAGATACAGGGGCTGCAGGAAAAATATTTGTATTACACGCTTCCTGGAAGATACTGAAGTATCTTCTTTTTTCATTTTTTGCAAATTGAATTGCAAAAAAGGGTACAACAGGGAACCTGTGGCTCTCTACACTTTTGGACTACAACTCCCATAATTCCTGGCCACTGATCATGCTGACTGGGGCTGATGGGCCTCAGATTAGCTACCCATAGCGCTGGGTGTACTTTGTTGCCTTTGTACTAGGACCTCTTCACACACAGCCAAACTTCCATAGACAAGTCTCTTCCATGCAGGAAATTGTGAGCCGGTGTGGCGTTGAGTGTCAGTCTAGGGATGGGAGACCAGGGTTCAAATCCCCACTCAGCTATCAGCCTAACCTACCTCAGACTGTTGTTGTGGGGATTAAATAAGGACTGGGGAATTATGTGTGCCACCTTCATCTCCTTGCAGGGAAAAGGTGGAAGATCAACACAGTACATAAAGCAAAATAGGAATAAATAAAAAGCAACCAGATGGCAGGAGAAGGGCAGTGGAGGTGCTACTAGGGAACACTACCCAATAGGCCCATGCAATGCTTTGTGAGAAATGGCAACAGGGCCCCAGAACATTCCCAGGATGCTCTGTGGCAAGCAGAGATTCCGCGGCCAATATTTATTTATTTAAAATGGTTTCCATTCCCTGCTATCCTCCAAAATGCTCAAGGCACCTCACCAAATAATACAACAGTACCATGTCAACTTGGGAAGAATTCCCTGAAGGGGGGAAATAAACAAATAGGAAAGCCATTGCCTTTGCTTATAAAGGAATCAGATTTCTCGCTTGTTGATTTTTAAATCAACATTGAAGACAGGGAGGGCAACGTAGTTATGTGGCACATGGGTCATTCGAGGACTACCGCAAAGGGTCAATTAAGAAGGAGGCTGCTCACTAAATCAGAGGGCGATCAATGGGCCTGGAGGGGTGTACTGACCTCAGACTGCTCTGCAAGCAGATCAAAGACAGGAGGGGCAGCAGCAGGAGGTCCGATCGTGACTTTCTCTACAGCTGGAGCTGCAAAGTGCAAGCAGAGCCAGTGCAGTTCCACGGCAGGGATGGGGAACCTATGCCCCACCAGGTGTTGGTGGACTACAGCTGGGGCTGATGGGAGTTGGACCTGGCAACATCTGGAGGGCCACGGGTTCCTTATCCCTGTTCTGGCTGTTGCCATGTATGCCAGTGGTAGTCAAGAGGATGATGGTCTCCATCAGCCCCAGCCAGCCTGGTAAGTCGGGTTGTAGCAACATCTGGAGACAACCATGCTGGACATCCCTGAAGTAACCCATCTCGCAGGGTTGTGAACTCTGGGCCTCAGCCATGCAGTTACATTAGGGGTGAGGAGCCTTCGGCCCTCCAGATGTTGTTGGATTACAGCTCCCATTGGCCTTGACTACTGGCCATGCTAGCTAGGGGCGATAGGTGAAAGGGGCACGAGTGGCAGCTTCACACACGAGGGTTCCTAATAGATACATGTGTGACAGATGTAGTTTAGGAACATCTGGGGCCCCACATTACCCCTGCCAAGTATCTCCCTAGTCAAAACACTAGGACCGCCACCATGACACGAAGGGGTTTCTTCTTATCTATCGTCCTTTTGTTTTGTCTTTGTTTTGAAGGTCATTACCCAGCCTGTGCTTTAGGGTTAAGTCGGATTTCAAATATATAAACACACAGCTGGATCATTTCCAAGCCAAAGCAAAAAATAAAATCCTTCCGTCTGGTCCTGCTCTCTTGTTATTTCACTGGACACCGTTGTTCTCGTTCTCTCTCTCTCTCCTTGGACCATCCCCAAGGAACAGAATTTGGGCCAAGAGGTTTCACTCCTTGTACCTGAGCCTTGGGCAGCCATCAGGCGCTACTAGTTTTCCAGCTTCCAAACGGAGACTGGCAGGCGACCGCTTTCGCCCTGAAGCGACAGGCAGATCAGTTTTCTTGGAGAGACTTGTAAGTGGAAACCATGTGACAGAAGAGCGACGAGGGACGGCGGAAAACAACAGCAACAATGCCTCACCACCAAAGGGTTCCAAATCCACTGATAAGCAAGGGTAATTTCCTTGACAGTTCTGTGCCTCGGAAGATCTGGCTCTCTTTAGCAACTTGGCACCATGGCCAACATTTCTTGGTAGAGCTAAGCCCAGGATGAAAGAGTGAAGCCACAGAGATATAGGCACATCTCCTTGAGTTTCAATTTCTCTTGGTTGGAGAGCACGTAAACATTAACACCAAGGGGAGGGTTGTGGCTAGGAGCATCTCTGTTGCACACAAAGGGGTGTCAGGTTCAACATGTTGCCAGTTGATGTAGACATGGAGGTGAACCGAAGCTTCATATGTAACCAGAAAGGCTAGTTCAGATGATGGATCCAAGGAGGAAATAGCAATGCTTGCTTCCACTGTTGAGTGCTGAGTGATGAAGAAGCTTTGCTCTGGTTATCAAGAAACAGGGAGGTTTACACTGATGGGTTTAAAGCAGTGTTTCCCGAAATGAGAGATGCCACCCTCTGGGGGGCGCTGGAATGATCCAGGGGGGCGGTCGTAGCCTCGGATGCAATTGCGGGGCGTTGAATAAAAATAAGGGGGCAGCAGAAGCAAAAAGAAAGACGGTTCGTCCTTCTCATTAGGATTATTTTCAATGCTATTCATAGTTTCTACGTTAATATTATCCTTCATTGTCTTAATTTTCTGTGTGCAATGTGAATGTTACTATGGTTGATTTTAATAAATAATTTTATCACTTCAAGCTTCAAGGTGTCTTTTTTGCAACAACATCTTTCTTTACCATGTCATAGGATGTAGGTAGAAATAGAGATACATAAAAGTACGCAAATTTGTCACTGCATCTTCCTGCCTGTTCGCTTAAAGAAGGTAGATTTCCGACCAAATAAGTTTGAGAGCCTCTGGTTTGTCACTCTCAGTGAGCCACACTGTAGGCTGAATTTTAGTCAGAATAAATGTTGTTCCTGTGAGTGGCATTTGGCATAGGACTGGACTGTATCAAGGCTGCAGGGCCTCACACCTGAGGGTGTAATGCAGCCCTCCAGACCTCTCTATCTGGTCCTCAGGACTTTCTCCAGGCCACACCTCCTCAGCCACACACTCCACTCTCCTTGAGCATTTTTGCCTTGCAGGAATGTGCCCCTGAATGCCCCTTGCTTGCCTGGATGGGGGGGGGGTGATACTGTAGAAACTAGCCTGCCACTCACAGGTAAGATTTATGGGTTTGCTGCTTTGCCTACCTTTTCCTCTGGCCACGCACACCTGTGGCCCCCAGGAGGTTGCTCATAATGGAATGTGGCCCTCACTCTGAAAAAGGTCCTGTCCCCCGTCCCCTTGACCATATACGGCCATTACCCATCCTTGACAACATAGCATTATGAATTCTATCATGCTTTGAATGCAGATCTCCCCAGGTTCAAACCCGGTGAGCTCCAGTTAAAAGGATCAGGTAGCAGGCAACGAGAGAAACCTCTTTCCGCTAGAAGAAGAAGAAGAAGAAGAGTTTGGATTTGATATCCCGCCTTTCACTCCCTTTAAGGAGTCTCAAAGCGGCTAACATTCTCCTTTCCCTTCCTCCCCCACAACAAACACTCTGTGAGGTGAGTGGGGCTGAGAGACTTCAAAGAAGTGTGACTGGCCCAAGGTCACCCAGCAGCTGCATGTGGAGGAGCGGAGACACGAACCAGGTTCCCCAGATTAGGAGACTACCGCTCTTAACCACTACACCACACTGGCTCTTTCCGCTACCCTGGGAAGCTGCTTCCAGTCCAAGCAGACAATACAGTGGTACCTCGGTTTTCGAACAGCTCAGTTCACAAACAACTTGGAACCCGAATGCTGCAAAAACGGAAGGTGTTCCAGTTTTCAAACTTTTTTTTGGAAGTCGAACGTGCTCCATTTTGAGTCCCCCTGTTTCCTGTTGTGCTGCTAATTTGCGTCGCCCCATTCAAGCCTTCCATTTCCAACTGCAGTGTTCTGAGGTGATATTTGGAGCTTATATTTGGTGCTTTTGTTTTTGCTATTAATTTTGCGTTCTTTGTTTTGCGACTTTTTCAGTTAATTTGTTTTTGTGACTGTGTGGGTCCCAGTTCAGCTACTGATAGATTGAGTGAGTGAGTGAGTGAGTGCAGAAATGGATAAAAGCCCCCATCCAAACAATGACTATCATCAGTGCAGGTAAGAATAAAACACTAATTTTAATTTTTATCATCTACAATACTGTTTTATTTATTGTATACTACAGTACATTGATTATTGCTTTCATTTTATGGATCAATGGTCTCGTTAGATAGTAAAATTCATGTTAAATTGCTGTTTTAGGAATTGTTTTTAAAAGTCTGGAACAGATTAATCCGTTTTGAATTACTTTCTATGGGAAAGCATGCCTTGGTTTTGAAACAGACTAATAATAATAATAATAATAATAATAATAATAATAACAACAATTTATTATTTTTACCCCACCCATCTCGCTGGGTTTCCCCAGCCACTCTGGGTGGCTTCCAACAAAGATTAAAAATACATTAAAATGTCACACATTAAAAACTTCCTTAAACAGGGCTGCCTCCAGATGTCTTCTAAATGTCAGGTAGTTGTTTATCTCTTTGACATCTGATGGGAGGGCATTCCACCGGGTGGGTGCCACTACCAAGAAGGCCCTCTGCCTGGTTCCCTGTAGCTTTGCTTCTCGCAGTGAGGGAACCGCCAAAAGGGCCTTGGCCCTGGACCTCAGTGTCCGGGCAGAACGATGGGGGTGGAGACGCTCCTTCAGGTATACTGGACCAAGGCCATTTAGGTCAGCACCAACACTTTGAATTGTGCTCAGAAACGTACTGGGAGCCAATGTAGGTCTTTCAGGACCGGTGTTATGTGGTCTCGGCGGCTGCTCCCAGTCACCAGTCTAGCTGCCGCATTCTGGATTAGTTGTAGTTTCCGGGTCACCTTCAAAAGTAGCCCCACGTAGAGCACATTGCAGTAGTGCAAGCGGGAGATAACCAGAGCATGCACCACTCTAGCGAGACAGTCCGCAGGCAGGTAGGGTCTCAGCCTGCGTACCAGATGGAGCTGATAAACAGCTGCCCTGGATACAGAATTGACCTGCACCTCCATGGACAGCTGTGAGTCCAAAATGACTCCCAGGCTATGCACCTGGTCCTTCAGGGACAGTTACCCCATTCAGGACCAGGGAGTACTCCACACCAGCCCGCCCCCTGTCCCCCCAAAACAGTACTTCTGTCTTGTTAGGGTTCAACCTCAATCCATTAGCCGCCATCCATCCTCCAACTGATTAAGTTTGAGAACCAAGGTACCACTGTACTGGCCAAGGCAGTCAAACAGATTTTATTTGTTTGTTTGCTTGTTTGCTTGTTTGTTTAATTGAATTTGTATACTGCTTAATTGTAAATAAAACCTCTCAGCAGTTTAGAGGAGTTGGTAAAAGGCAGCTTCCTATGTTTCCATACATCTGAATGCCTCTGAATGTCTTGGATGCTTTAGTTGAGATCCCTGCATTGCAGGGGGTTGGACTAGATGACCCTCAGGGTCCCAGGATTCTATGCTTCCAAATAGTTTTCAAATCCAGCAGCCAACGTAATCATCAGCACCAGCATAATTTTTTAAAAAAAAAAGTCCAGAGCACTATAAAAATCTGCTTCCCTTTTTCTTTTTGTATTCTATTCTATCATTTGGATAATAAACTAGGTGATTGTATGTGCACATGTTAATTATGGAAAGGGAAGCAGATCCCCACTGTACTAAACAAAGCAGGTGGGAAAGAGTCCTTTTAGCAACTTACAGATACAGCAAGAATAAATGCTGGTTGAGCTACTGAGAAAAGGCTGGGTTCATCTGATTTTCACACTAATGTCGCATGTTGGCAAGATGGCAACCGTTTAGTACCACAAACTACTAAGGGCTCATATGCAAACCAATCTGAAGTTTTATTGCAGTCGTTTGGTATTTGATGCAAACTCCACTGAGGTAGAGAGAGCTCTTCTCAGGAGTTCCAAAAGTAAATGCTCATGAAAATATACCCCCTTCTAATGCACTGGCTGTGCTTAGGAGATCAAACATCTCTCAGATTATTATTATTATTAGAAGCAGAGCTATGACATGCTTTTTTGTCAGGGCATGCACCCCCTTTGTGGCACAGGCAAACAAACTAGGAAGTATTCAACCAACCATAGTTTCCTGTTACATCCAAACTAGGGGACTACGGTTACCAGCTTCAGAACAGTCAGGATATTAAACCAGTGTGAAGTTCATTATTTATCACTGCTTATTAATTTACATACCACTTGCCTGCCCAAATGGCTTCCAAGTACAGTGGTACCTCGGGTTAATAACTTAATTCGTTCTGGAGGTCTGTTCTTAACCTGAAACTGTTCTTAACCTGAAGCACCACTTTAGCTAATGGGGCCTCCTGCTGCCACTGCACCGCCGGAGCACAATTTCTGTTCTCATCCTGAAGCAAAGTTCTTAACCTAAGGTACTATTTCAGGGTTAGGGGAGTCTGTAAACTGAAGCATCTGTAACCTGAAGCGTCTGTAACCCAAGGTACCACTGTATAAAATCAATTATAAAGTCCAAACATAATCAAAAGCAGCTTTGAATTTCCTGGTTTGTTCCCAAACTGAAAATGGTAGTTTCCCAGTTGGGGGGGGAGGTGGGACTGGAAGCTTGTGGCTAATTAGAGGCTTCCGAGTTTGATAGTGGGTTGCCCAAATTCGCTCCCACACATACGGCAAAAGGTTTGTTCATATCTCAGTATATTAAGTCAAGTAACGATCACCTGAACGGGCAACGCTGTACCCCTTAAACTCACTGCACGTACAGCATATGTAATGTCACCATGAGATTCTTGCAAGAGGACATGAGAAGTGGCCTTTTGGACTATATAAATTATAAAACTTAATGCTGTGAACTAAACGAGACAGAAGTTAAGAGGCTATTGCACTATTACAGGGATATGGCACTGATAGGAGTCAATAGAAAGGAGAGATTTCTGCAAGGCACACTGCGAAGTAAAGTGCTCAAGATCAACTGATAGCAGAAATCATTAAGAGCAAAGATAAAAATCAAGAAGCGGGGCTTTTGGGTTTTTTTGTTCCCCGTGTTGCAACTGAAGTTTGGAAGCTTCAAATCCCACTTACTTGGCGCCACCATGTGGCAATAATCTGTATTGCCACTTTTTCCATCAATGGAGAATGGAAACTCTTGTTCACAAGCAAAAACATACCAACACTTGTGTAAGTCCTTCTATTCCTGAGGTCCAAACTGTGAAGTAGCAGCATAGAGGCAGTGTGTGGGGGTGTGTGGAGTAGCCTCTTATACATCTTTGAAGCGGGGGGGGGGGGAGAGACAGAGAGAAGGAAGCAAGCAAGAATACAGAGGTGGAGAAGGTAAGTTTTCTCTGACACAAGCCCACTAGGAAGGATAAACTCATTTGATAAATCCACAGGTAGATTCCTTTGTATTAGTGCAGATATGTAAATTCTGCAAGACTGCACTGCTTCTCATGCACCCGCATCACTTTCGGCAGACATTAACACATAAGAAGAGCTCTGCAGGATCTGACCAACAGCCTGTCTAGTCCAGCATCCTGTTCTTACAGTGGCAAACCAGACACCTGTGGAAAGCCCACTATGCAGGACATGAGAACAACATCACTCTCCCTTCTCATGTTCTCCAGCAACTGGTGTTCAGCACAGAAGCAGAAAATAGTTATCACAGTTTGTAGCCGTTGATAGGATTAGGCTAACGAAAGGAGGATAAGACTTTTTCAAAGCCATCCAAGCTGGTGGTTCCATCACTACCTTTTGTACCTGGCTGTGCAGTTCTGGAATGCTTACACATAAAGGTTGAAAAGCCAGGGTCTGTAGTGCTCAAACCTCACCCATTTACTAATATAAGAAACCAAAATGCGAGAGGGAAGCCCTGCTTGAGTGGAGCCTAAGCCTGGGCTTACTGGGATCATTCGACCCTAGAAATATTTTGAAGAAAGGGAACAAATGAATGAGGTTGAGGAAGCCACAAATTGTAAAGTTTCCGGTTTCAGCTAATGTTCCAAGGGAAAGGATTCCTCTAACTCTGGAGAGTATCAGGAGAACTGGAGTTTTAAGTGGCCCTTGTGTGGACTTGACAGCATCAAGAAGGCCCTCTTCGCCGGTAACCTGGGAAGGAAGTTCTCTTTTTGGAATATAGGCAAAAAGGATGCATATCCACAACAGGGGGATAACTTTGGCCAGCTTGCCTACTGCAGAAGCACGTTCAACTGAGCTGCACAGCCTTCTCCCCTAGATCAAGCTCGGAGGAAGCCAGCTCTGAAAATCAACGTGAGGCAGGATACAGATTCCTATGGGGCTGATTAACTGGCGGGAGCAGCTGTGATCTGTGGACAGCTGCCCCACGCTGAGCCTCTGAAATGCAGGTGACAGCTTCTCAGTGAAATACCCTCAGGCCCTGGAGTGGCTCCACCCACCCAGACTGGTCTCTGGATCCTCCTGGGCAGAAAGCTATGGAAGAAGCTTCTTGATCCAGTTGAAGAACAAACACTTCCTGAGCTCTGGCGTATATTCCCATATCCTTTCATTGCCCTTCGGTCCTGACCCCTGGGTTGTTCTCCTCAGTCCTACCTCCTGCTTCGTCCTTTGACCCCAAGGCTTCTCCATCCCACTGCTCCTGGCTCATTTCTGGCCGGCATCCACCATCCCAGCGCCAACAGTGACACAGCCCCTTTCCTCTTCCTCTCCAAAGCAGTTAAAGCATATAATATGACTTTTTGCTTTAATCACAATGTTTAGCTGGTGGTTTTTTTTAGTTGTTGCTTTGTTATCAGTGTTTTATGGACTGTTAATAGTTTTTACACTGATGATTTGCTAATTATTCCATTTGATTTGTGCTGCATTTGTGATGTTCTGTTACGTTCCATCATATGCTCCTGCTCTTTATTGTTTGTAAGCCGCTTTTGGGATTCACTTGAAAGGAATGCGGCCTAGAAATGCAAAAAATCAAATCAAATCGATTTTGGAACAGCAGGAGTCAGAAGATAACGACACCAAGGGATGGCCATACTTGTGAGTAGTCAGAGGCCATGTTCAGGGCTACCGATGGACAGAAGAGACAGGATTACAGTGGTACCTCGGGTTAAGTACTTAATTCGTTCTGGAGGTCTGTTCTTAACCTGAAACTGTTCTTAACCTGAAGCACCACTTTAGCTAATGGGGCCTTCGGCTGCTGCTGTGCCGCCGCTGCACGATTTCTGTTCTTATCCTGAAGCAAAGTTCTTAACCTGAGGTAATATTTCTGGGTTAGAGGAGTCTGTAAGCTGAAGCGTATGTAACCTGAAGCGTATGTAACCCGAGGTACCACTGTAGATGGTTTGATCTAGCAGGGCTACTCTGATGTCTTCACAGGGCAGTTTTCAATTTACACCACAGTTAAGGAACCCGTAGTTCTCCAAACTTCCCAAATCCCATCAGCCCTAACCAGCATGGACAGTGGTCAAGGATCATGGGAGTTGGAGCCCGGCAACATCTAGGAAGTTGCAAGTCCCCCCATTCCTACCTTATGCCAAGCCTAGTTCAAGACAAACCTCAGGCTTAATAATTTAGTTGGACTCTTTTGAGCACTTAGCAAACTAGCTATGCAGACACAATGCAGCTATTGACTGGGATGCTGAGTTTGCTCCCATTGGCAGGAGAATCCCCTGGACAGAGTTCCACACGTGGGATCTTCCAACCGGCGGAAGGGAAGAGGCAACTCTCCCCTGAGGTTGAGACTCTGGAGGGCAGCAGGCTGGCGAAAGCTGAAGCAAGTCAACAAGAAACGCAGCCAAAAAAACACAATAAGTAAAACCATACCTTGCACCCCTTCCAGGAGCAGATCCACTCCTTTCCTATAAAAGCCAAAGGCAGCCTCATAGTCTTCCTCTTCCTCCTTCTTCAAGGCCAGCTTTATCAGCTCCCCTGCCTTGTCCAGGTAGTCTCGCCTGCCAAGCTTGGCCTTTAAGCTCCCAGTGAACAGGCCCCGGCTCTCCCTCTCGCCATCGGGTTTGCTCCATTCGTGGTCCGAAACGGCAGAGGCCTGCGCCAGCGGTTCGGAGGGAAAGCTGAGGCTGAAGGATCTGCTGGGGGAATTCTGGTTAGATGCCATTCCATCATCTAACTCAGCAAGAGAGTCCACATCAACGGTCAAAGAGATCAGGTCGCTGTCGCTTGAGAAACCTGAAGGGCAGAAGGAGAATGGAGTTGCAAAAGAATCTGGTGGGTCAACATGGCATCTTCCAGCCGCAGGCAAATCTTGGCTGCCAGAGGGTCCAATTTGGGCAGTGAGACCCATGTCCAAGTGTCAATCAGGTGACGTCACTGGGTGATGTCAGCTGATAGGCAAGGGGGCGGGATTTGATCCTGCTGGTGAAACAGACCCCTGCATAGAGTAGGACTGAAGTCTCCACTCATCTGCTGGTGAGCAGACAGTTCAGTCCTGCTGGGTGCTGCTTCACCAGTACATTTTCTGAGGGCAAAGAAGACCCCCCCCCTCCCCACATGACACAATCCAAGATTTCAGCTAATCGCAGAAGCAACGATCAGCACGACGCTGCTGCGTTCATGACCGAAACTCAAATCAACCAATCCTTACTCATGCTTACCTCCATACTCTGACTGGCTGAGTGTCACGTCATCGAGGAGACCGGCATCCTTCCGAGCTTGAAACCAAAGGGAGGGAAGAGAGGGGAAATATATAGAAGGGAAAGTGGGTGAGTTTCTGTAGCCCAAGACAGGTCACAACTCTTGAGATGATGCCTGCATGTGTTATAACTGGGATACTGAACCCTTTCTCTACTCTGTGTAGAAATCAAATGACCTTGGCCGCATTCATAGCTCAAAGCACAATAATACACCGCTTTAAACAGTTGTGGGGGAAGCCATGAGTATTTAAAGTGGTACCACAGCACTTTAAATGGTGTGAGAAAAAAGGTCTGAGAAACCAACCCCTCATGAACTAAAACAATATAAATGAATCACATGCTTATTAAAGACATTGCAGATATGCCAAACTACAGACTTACAGCCTGGTTCTAGGCACTTTTGCTCAGAATCCCCACAGCTTTTTAACAGAGCTTATACCCTAAACAAGCATGCTTAGGGTTGCAAGTGCCTTTTACAGAAAGACAGCTGCATTAAGGTATCTCAAGCTCTGGCATTAGCAGGTTTTATCCCATATCAGCGAAGAGCAGCAAGGTTTGGGACTCCATGCATGCTAACACCAACTACGTTTACATGTTTGCATGGACCAAAAAATTCTAGCTGAAATGCTAATGCTGCCATCTAGAGGAGATGAGGAGGGAAAAGGTGAGCTTTTAAATTCCTTGACTATGCTATAAATCATCCTACTTGGTAAACTTGGGCTGGAGACAAAATTACGAGAAGTAACACGGTGGGAGCCAACCTTCAGAACTGCAGACCGACAGGCTGTCTGTCAGGGAATCCGACAGAGGATCTGCAGGGCCAATCAATTCGGACCCAGCATGTACTTCTCCATCCTTGAAAGAGAAAGAGAAATTAGGACTTATTTAACTGTTACTTACTATGGATTAACGCAACTTCCACTTTCACCAAGAAAAAGAAAAGAGCTATAGATAAACGTGGCCAGGCCACAGAGGCTTCACACCCTCTCCATTCAAAACCTAACTTCTTAAATAAAAGGCTCACTGGTATTTTCACCCATCTAGGGAAAGGAAAAGTTATACCTCCCCTCCCCACAATGGAAGCCCCCCACACCTGAACGGTATTTTTTTAAGCTCATAGTTGCCAACTATGCTTCTCATAGTTGAGAAGCAGCCTTCTCAGTGAAGAAAAATATCATTTACTTTAATAATAATAATAATTTATTATTTATACCCCGCCCATCTGGCTGGGCTTCCCCAGCCACTCTGGGCGGCTTCCAACACAATATTAAAATACAGTAATGCATTAAACATTAAAAGCTTCCCTAAACTTTAAATCACCCTGCTTGCCTGCAGCCCTATTCCACAAAAGAGAGCAGTTCTGAAGCATGAGTGCATTCTGGCTGCACACAAGTGTCTCCTTTGCGGGCATATTCCCATTTATTCATATATACAACACACCAGCACCTCTTGCAATTCATGGGGAATACATGGGTAGCCACTTAGACATGGTGGCTAGCTATTACAGCCTCCACTGTCGGAGGCAGTATGACTCTGGACAGCAAGATGCTGGGCACTGCAAGAGGGGTGAGTACTGTTTCACACAGATTTCCTCCTTGCAGGCTTCCCACGGGCATCTGGTCGGCCATTTTGAGAACAGGGTGCTAGACTAGATGAGCCTTTGGTATGATCCAGGAAGAGCTCTTCTTAACACTTTACTGACCGTGCTAACTGTGCAAGGGTTCCCAGAATCTGGTATATGGGTGTTTAAAGACAGGCACATGTCATTCATGCCTATATGTATAGGAAATGAATGGCATCCCTAGCTAGCAGGACCGGTTGTCAGGGATGATGGGAACTGTAGTCCAGAAACAGCTGGAGACCCAGGTTTGGGAAACTCTGCTTTGAGCTTTTACAAATGCAGGCAAACCAAGGTTCAGAGCTGTATTTCCTAATACCACTTCATTTATTTTTAAAAATAATTTTTTAATTGATTTTCCAATATTGATCCAATATTACCACAGTTTTGCCAATTATGCAGATTCCAATTAATGTCAAAATAATTCCAATTGATTCCAAATTTATACAATTTAATCAAAGTGGTTTCCCGCGCTCCTTGATCAATTTTTTTTATGCAGTCCTTATATTGTTGCAGTTCATTTTTATTATTATTATCTAATTACATTTCAGTTGGTATATTAATCATTAAGATAATGGCTGCATTTTGAGCTATTAACTATTTGTGTTAATACCTTATCTAACTTTCCAAGGATTTCAAATCAGGTGCTCTAATTATTTTCCTCTTCTCTGCATGTGTCAGTCTGAATATGTTGAATGATAAACCCCTTGGCCACTAACACCACTTTAAATAATCACAGTTTCCCCAAAATAATTATGGGAACTGCAGATTGTCTAGGATACTTAGTTGTGAGGAAACCCCTGTTTGCCTCCCACATTTATAATTCCCAGAGTTCTTGTGAAGAGGGATTGACTGTTAAACCACTCTGAAAATTGCATCTCTGTGAGGGAAATAAGGGTCTCCTAACAACTCTCAGGGGATGCAGGTGGCGCTGTGGGTTAAACCACAGAGCCTAGAACTTGCCGATCAGAAGGTCAGCAGTTTGAATCCCCAAGACGGGGTGAGCTCCCGTTGCTCGGTCCCTGCTCCTGCCAACCTAGCAGTTCGAAAGCACGTCAAAGTGCAAGTAGATAAATAGGTACCGCTCCGGTGGGAAGGTAAACGGCGTTTCCGTGCACTGCTCTGATTCGCCAGAAGCAGCTTAGTCATGCTGGCCACATGACCCGGAAGCTGGACGCCAGCTCCCTCAGCCAATAAAGCGAGATGAGCGCTGCAACCCCAGAGTCGGTCACAACTGGACGTAATGGTCAGGGGTCCCTTTACCTTTACCAACTCTCAGAAACCCCACGACGGGGTGAGCTCCCGTTGCTCAGTCCCAGCTCCTGCCAACCTAGCAGTTCGAAAGCACATCAAAGTGCAAGTAGATAAATAGGTACCACTCCGGGAGGAAGGTAAATGGCGTTTCTGTGCACTGCTCTGGTTTCGCCAGAAGCAGCTTAGTCATGCTGGCCACATGACCTGGAAAAACTGTCTGTGGACAAACGTTGGCTCCCTCGGCCTGTAAAGCGAGATGAGCGCCGCAACCCCAGAATCATTCGTGACTGGACTTAACTGTAAGGGGTCCTTTACCTTTACAGTTTTAACAACTCTCAGAACCAGGGTGTTTTTTCAGCCAGAACTCACCGGAACTCAGATCAGGCAGCTATCAGGTGGGCACCACTGCCATGATAAGAGAACAAGTGAGGCATTCACAGTTCCAGCACCTCTTTTTCTAGAAAAAATAGCTCTACTCAGAACCTTTAATAAGCTACAGTTCCCAGAATCCTTTGGGGGAAACCATGACTGCTTGAAGTGGTATGATACTGCTTTAAAGGTATGGTGTGGGTGTGGCTTAAGTTCTACTCAAGAGTAGACCCACTGAAATTAATGGACCTATCTTACTAGGTTTCTTTCATTTCAATGGGTCTATCCCAAGCCCATCTTGGCCAAATGCCACCCCACATATAAACCCATTTAAAATGGATCCCTCCTCCTCCCTCCTTTCCTAAGGGAGACCCTGTTTATGTCGCCTTGACCTGACTCTCAAAAGAGTAGCTGCCTTAAAGAGCGAGGCTGTTGCTTATTCTGCCTAGTGGCATCACTGACGAGGCGTGGAGCGGCTCAGAAGTTATTTAACCTTAAAGAAATCTTCAAGCTGCTTGCTGTTAAAGAGCGCCGGGATGTTGGCAGAGAACTGAAGCAAGTCTTCTGCGCACTGTCTCCTCTCTTCAATCACACTTTCTTCAAATCGCCCTGAAACATAAAAAGCATCAACATTCTGAGAAACAATTAAGCCTTTTCTTTGCTTTATCAAAAAACAAAAAAAACCACCACCCAACGAGAAGAAAGCCCCCAATCTATGAAGACGCATGATCGCTTTGGGAGACAGCGACAAGCTTCGCACTTCTCAAAATGCCCCCTACAATCCTGCCTTCTGCAATCAAATGATATAATCTGGCAGCGGCTCGCAGAACCCAAGATTCCACCCTCTTTAAAAGACGTGCGAAACAACACTCCAGATTATTCAAGAGACACAAGCATATGTCCATCAGTTTCCAGAAGCTAAATGTTCTAATCCTCCTTGTCACATTATGGATGGCCACATTCTGCCTTAGCTACGGGCCTAACCCTGCACAGACTGGATCGCCACCTAGCAAGGCTCTAACTGCACGTGTAAGTCAACGATTGCTAAAATTAAATACTGGGCGCCAATGGGATTCTTCTTCTTTTTTTAAATTTCCCTTCCCCTAATGGTAATTGCCGCACCAGGATTGGAGTGGAGGGGGGGTGGATTTTACAGAGTTTGCAGCTGGAGAGGGAAAGATTCTATTTCACCTTCCTGAACGCTGCAATCTTGGTACCAGGTGTGGGTCTCCCCCCAGACAGTTATTTAATTTTTAAAGACACACAGCGCGGTTACTAATCGCATCATTAACATCACACGTAGTTGGGCCCTCAGCTAACATAAAGGCAGAGGCTTGGATGGATGTTGAGTGGAACTCTGCTTATGGGACGCTCCCATCAGAAGGAAAGGCAATTTTTGCCCGTTTCCCTCTCCCACCTGCAGCCCCTGTGCATCCCAACTCCCCAGCCCGGAAATCTGCTCCGGAGGGCTGGAGGACTGCCCAGAACAGTTGGAGGTGCAGGAGCTGCTGGGGAAAATGGGAATAGTTAGAAACTGGCACCTCCTCCTCCCATCAAAGAGAGAGCCCCCACTGGATTAAAAGTTCTTATGTAAATAGGAGTCTTCCCCTCCACAGAAATGTTCTAGTCTTTTTTATTATTATTATTATTTTGTTCCCCAAAAGTGTGGTTCATTGCAATATATATGTATTCCGTATCTGTTGTCTGATTTTGACAATTTCGAGATAAGACAGAGTTATGAGATTTGCAGCGGCGGCCCAAAAGCGGAGGGAAAAACTAATGGAGGCTAATATGGCAAAGCACGATAATTTAATTGGATGATTTGATTTAAACATTTATCTGGATGCCTTTAAATGTATCAGCTCCCTTGACCATTTGTACTCTAATAAGTATTTTTGTTTTATTATTTTGTCATCTTTTGTATGTTGAATATTTAGTAGTAGTATTTTGGTCTGTTTTAATGTAAAGATAATATTAACAGTGCACATTTCATTTCATTTTTTCTGTGGTCAATAAGACCATGATGGCCAAAAGAACAACACAAAACAGTAGTAATATTTATATTCTGAAATGCTACATAAATACTTTATCTTTCGCTTTGGGTGATGAATTCAGCTTTCTCAACCCCGCCAGCCTTCATTGTGGGGGTGAGAGGGAAGCAAGCTTTTAGACCTTGGCTGGATCTACACAGATATAAAAAACTATTTAAAAAAAGCTATAAAAAAATACAGCTCCAGTCAGGGAACTGCCATCGGAGCTAGAGGCGGAGGGAAGGCTCCAAAGGGATGCAGGAGAGGGTCCCAGTAGGGAGAGAGGCAGCCCATCTGCTGGGGAAGGAAATCAGCGTAACACCAGTGGAGAAGAGGGGCAGGTGGGGGAATCGGGGAGGAGCCTCCAAGACTCTTCGCTGGAGACCAGCAGAGAGAGTACGGGTACTCCGCTGCCCACACCCTCCCTGCGCAGAAGACTTCCGCGCAGGGAGAGTAGGAGGAGACTTGGCGTCAAACAACTTTTATGCTGGAAAAGGTTTAAGAAACGCCCACTGACGGATTCTGCCAGCGACTGAGACAGTCACGATGCTGGAGGCTGTTCAGTCAGAAAGGGTTAACCAGGTAACCTAGCCAGGAGTGGCAGCAACTTACGCACGAGCAACCCCTAAACCCATTACAGCTCCCTATTGAAATTTTCACACACTTTGGATTTCTGCTCTATAGCGGGATCTGGTGTCACATTTTTATGATGCATTTATAACGTTATAAATTCACCTGTGTAGCTAAGATGATTATGATGACAGTAATAATAATAATTTTATTTATTTATTTCCCGCCCATCTGGCTGGGTTTCCCCAGCCACTCTGGGCAGCTTCCAACAAAGTATTAAATATACAATAAAACATCAGACATTAAAAATTTCCCTAAACTAGGCTGCCTTTAGATGTCTTCTAAAAGTCAGATAGTTGTTTATTTCCTTGACATCTGATGGGAGGGAGTTCCACAGGGCAGGCACCACTACCGAGAAGGCCCTCTGCCTGGTTCCCTGTAACTTTGCTTCTTACAGTGAGGGAACCGCCAGAAGGCCCGCGGCACTGAACAATGGGGGTGGAGACGCTACTTCAGGTATACTGAACCAAGGCCATTTAGGGCTTTAAAGGTCAGCACCAACACTTTGAATTGTGCTCGGAAACATACTGGGAGGCAACGTAGGGAGCCAATGTCCCTTAAAGGTAAAGGGACCCCTGACCATTAGGTCCAGTCGTGACTGACTCTGGGGTTGCGGCGCTCATCTCGCTTTATTGGCCAAGGGAGCCGGCGTACAGCTTCCGGGTCATGTGGCCAGCATGACTTAAGCCGCTTCTGGTGAACCAGAGCAGCACACAAAACGCCATTTACCTTCCCGCTGGAGCGGTACCTATTTATCTACTTGCAGTTCGTGCTTTCGAACTGCTAGGTTGGCAGGAGCAGGGACTGAGCAACGGGAGCTCACCCCGTCGCGGGGATTCAAACCGCCGACCTTCTGATTGGCAAGTCCTAGGCTCAGTGGTTTAACTTTGCAGAAATAGGCTTGAAAGACTCTGGGTAACGGCTGACAAAATCTTACAGGAGTGGCCAAGTTCCAGCCATCATGGAAGCAGTTCGAGGGCTTTGTATTGCTTTGCACACTTCCACATGACTAGCAAAAACAGACTTCCCCAACCCTGCTGGAAATACACTTTTATTTATATAGTAGCTGTAATGTTCCTTGGTTATGCAATTTTCCATGCAATGCATCTCTTTGGGGGGGAAATATTAAAAACACAACCTTTAAAAAAGAATGAGACAGATGCATGGAAGGTAAGCTCCGCCTCCATAGCTGGAGACATTGTCCTTCTGAATACCAGCTGCTAGAACCGTGAGAGGGAAGGGTGCCAATAATAATATAATAATAATAATTTATTATTTATACCCCGCCCATCTGGCTGAGTTTCCCCAGCCACTCTGGGCGGCTTCCAATCAAGTGTTAAAAGCAATACAGCATTAAATATTAAAAACTTCCCTAAACAGGGCTGCCTTCAGATATCTTCTAAATGTCAGGTAGTTGTTGTTCTCTTTGACATCTGATGGGAGGGCGTTCCACAGGGCAGGCGCCACCACCGAGAAGGCCCTCTGTCTGGTTCCCTGTAACCTTAGTTCTCGCAATGAGGGAACTGCCAGAAGGCCCTCGGTGCTGGACCTCAGTGTCCGGGCTGAACGATGGGGGTGGAGATGCTCCTTCAGGTACACATCTGACTGGCTGCTATGAGTAGAGGGTGTTGGATGAAATAGGCCACGGGCCTGATCCAGAAGCCAGCCTCTTCTTGTGTTCTTAACTTTATACACCGAAACAGGACTTTTCACTGTAGTGTCATAATCAGTGTTCGAAATTAGCCAGGCGTTGGCGCATTTTGCACCTGGTTATCAGCCACTTGTGACCAAGTGAAGATATCTGGGTGTCAGGATGGCATCCGACATCTCCACCATCCGGACCTGCCTGCCTGGGTTTCCTTGGATCTGGACCGTTTTCACACACTAATAACCACACCCTGTAGAATTCTATCAGTTACATTTTATCTGCACAAACAGAATGAACTGCAGGAACCAAAATGCTTTTTCTGTGCAGCCTCAGCAGGAACAGTGAACAACATCATGGTTGTCACTTGTCTTCGCTTGCCCCACCCCACTGCCCCGCTCACGGTTGTGAAGAATGTTCTTACGTTATGAATGGTCCGTGTCACCATTAAAAGAGAGGGGTAGGAATAGGCCAAGATATTTGTGGATTGTCTCTGGGTTAAGCGGCTTTTCTTCTTTAAGTTCTCCAAGTTCTTTCAGTGTTTCTCAACCTGTGGGTCCCCAGATGTTGCTGGACTACAACTCCCATCATCCCTGATCACCAGTCATCTGAACTAGCCAGATGTTTAACTGAGAATCAATCACAGTCAGTCCATCATTTGAAAAATAAGACTTTACAGCCAGCTTGCCCAAAAATGGCAACTAGACATTCGGTTTTGGCGACTGAAACCTTGGTTTTAAGAGCCATTCGGCGCCTGGTTTTTATATCTGACTTTCTAACACGGGTCAGATATAAAAGACTATGCCAGTTACTATGGCCAATTCACTTCGGCCATTTAGAAAAGTTGTAGAGTCTGGGTTTTTTAAGAGGACTTTTGCCTCTGAGTGAGAGAGACGCATTATTGCTCTGTGACACATTGACTAGGATCACTGTTTGTCATTGTGTATTAGCTGTCTCTTCAATGAATGAATAAAGCAGGAGCAGCCAATGTGGTATCCTGACACCACAACTCCCATTATCCCTCAGCATTGACCATTCTGGCTGCGGCTGGCATGAGCTGTAGAGATCAAGTTGTAGAGGGAAAGGATCTTATTTGTAATAATTCAAAAGTCACTAGGAGAGAGCCTCACAAGGAAGGGGAACAGGAATTTAAAATACTGGTTAAGGCTACCCTCTGACATGCACACTTAGGAGTAACTCAGCGGCATTCACTTTTGAGGAGGTGCATATGGGGTTGTAAGTTACTTTGCTGGAGCCAGATCTGGGAGCAGGACCAAAGATCAAAGAAAGCTGAGCAGCTGGGTCTATTGTCATTAACTTTTGGTTTCCATGCTCCGTGCCAGCATTGTCTATCCAGTGGAGAAGGTGGAAAACTCCAAGCAAAATTCAGGAAAGCAGCATGAACTCTTTCCTCACCATCAAAGGGTTCTTATAACCCCGTGGTGCACAGGTCTCTATTGTAGCAGCACTGAAAGAACAATACATTGGCTTTCCATCTTTGAAACTTTGTGGGAACGGGGGAATTCTTAGCTCTCCACCCATTTTGCAAAGGGGGACAGGGTGCAGAGAGAAAGGAATGTAGCAGCTCTTCCGAACTACAGAAGTATTTAGAAAACATTTATTCAAGCTTCTGTGCTGCTACGGAGGTGAGGAGAGGAGAATGGGCACACTCTGGCTTCCCTCATCACCCAGAGAACTAAGCCTTGCTGGAAGTGGGCTGCCTTTTTGAGATTATTCCCATAAAGGGAAGATCAGATTGGCCCCGAGTAGTTTTTGAAGGCTTAACAACTTGCCTCGCGACGTAAGGACTGGCACTCAGAGAATGCGTTTAGGTTCATGAACGTGGCCTGCAGATGTTTGGTGGGCCCTGGTCCAGTGGTAACCAGCACTGCCTTCCACGCCTTTTCTTTCAACGTGGGGTACTTAGGTTAATTGTTCTGTGGATATTCTGTTCCGTATATACACCAAGACAGGGCTAGCCAACATGGTATCCTCCAAATGGATTCCAACCCCCACCATCCCTGACTGGGAAGGTCTACAGAACAAACGAGCACGTAACAATAGGTTTTCGTCCCTATTTTGTGTTAGAAAATGTCTTGAAAGCAGGGGAATTACTTTTTGCTTTTTCAAAAAATAAATGAGAAAACTAACGAGCAATAACTGTCAGGCACATCGCCTTAATTTTACTATTCCAAATGCGCAAAACATTCCAGTCTTACTCTCATCCTTCCAAATATTCGTCCGCCCTTCTATCGGGCTCTCGCTCTTGCCAACTCTTGTTCCCAATGCAAGCTGTTGTTAAAAAAAAACACACACACATCCAAAACCCACAAAACCCAATCATGACGTTGAATATTTTACAACCTCTGCTTGAGCAGAGAAATTAAACAATGCCACTTTCAGAGCACATTTTACCCAGGATTCTAATCTTGCTCATGCAACTCAATAAAAGCATCCAGGGAGGTAAGGAGATGATGGTTTGAAGGGGGGGGACTGTTTTATTCATCATTGCTTCCTTTAGGGAACTCCTCAGAACTGCTGTATTATTACAAGCATGCTGGAAATTCCATTAGAGAATTGGGACCTGCAACAAAATGTTGCAACATCAAGTGCTCCTGTTCAGAGCATCAGCCAGCCATGACCTCTTCCAAGACACCCCATTCCACCCTCCCTGCTTCCTCCACCACCAACAGACACCCAATATCCCATGCTCCCTGAGTATGATCAGTCCTCATTGAGCAGATCTGTGCTTCTGCCAACCTTGAAACTCCTCCAAGCCTGCCAGCATCTTCCTCTGGGGTATAGATGGTGCCATTTTGGCTATCTGAGGATCAGCAGTTGGAAAAAAAAGCCCACCTTTTTCATTAAAAAAGAAGAGGGCATTCATCCAATTCCCAAGTTCACAAGTTTCTCTGGGGAGAGGGAGCCCTGATACTTCAGATTTGGAAGGCAAATGTAAAATTAACATGGGGGATAAATGGGGTACCTACCATGAGCAATTAGATTTTTCAGAAGGAGAACCAAAAAATGAAAAAATTAGAAGAGATGAAAGAATATGTGCCAGACTGGCTAAATTATTATCCAATTAATTCAAAATTTAAGGCAAAAAAACTCACTGGGATTTAGAGAACAACAATCACTTTCAATGGCATCCCCATATCTTATTCTTATTCTTTATTAAATTTGTTAGCTGCTTTGCCTTGCCCAAGGCAACTCAAAGCAACTTACAAACACCTGCCCTTACCAGCCAACTGTACCCAGTAGGATGGAATAATACTTGCCAACTTAAATGTTTTAATACTGCTACCCTCCATGATCAGCACATGCCTCTCACAATGGCTGGCATAATCATATAAATGGATAAACAACAATGAAGCAGTTTGACACAACAACTTGTTTACACAGTTTACAAAAACCAGTAATAAATAAATAAAAATCACAATCACACCAGCTAATGTGGCAATCAGAATGCTTTCCTAAGCAGGAAGATTTTGTCTACCCTCTGAAAGATCAATGATAAAAGGAAGCCAGCCAGATGTCCCTCTCGGGGGGGGGGGGATTCCCAAGGGAGAGAGTCATTGGGGAAAAGGTTCGGGATCTCCCATCCACACAACAATAAAGGGAGGGGTTGGTCAGGGCCTCCTGGGCTGATTTTAATGAACTTTAGGTGAATAAAAGGCAGGAGATGCTCTAGAACTTTTGTGTAGCTGGCCATCTGAAAAATCAGTATTTTCATTGAAAGCCAGGACAAAAAGTATACAGGTGTATATATAATATCTGCATCATCTGAACCATGTGCTACATAACTTCTGACACGGGGCAGAGAACTTAGCCAAATATACATGGGAAAGTGCATACTCTAATATCATCAAACATGTTTATACAGTGGTACCTCGGGTTAAGTACTTAATTCATTCCAGAGGTCCATTCTTAACCTGAAACTGTTCTTATCCTGAAGCACCACTTTAGCTAATGGGGCCTCCCGCTGCTGGCGCACAATTTCTGTTCTCATCCTGAAGCAAAGTTCTTAACCCGACGTACTATTTCTGGGTTAGCGGAGTCTGTAACCTGAAGCGTATGTAACCCGACGTACCACTGTAATGAAAATGTACGAATGTTATCACACTGCAGCTCACTTGGCCACAGACCAGTGGGGCAATGAACTGCACCATGAGAACAAACTGGGCTCTCAGGCATGCTATGGGGGGTGGGCAAGAAGGGAGGGAACTGGAAATGGAGGCAGGCAAGCAGGCCAATAGGCAGCCTTCTTTCTCACACTTCCCACGGCATTGGCAGGTGGAGAAATGAAGGAGAGAAAGAAGCTTTGTTCTCTCCTTCATCACCCACCCACCCCACCTCCAGGCTAGCAGGCTTCTTTCTCAGGCACCCTCAGAGATAGTGGGTGCTTAGGAGAGGCAGGTTGGTGAGAAAAGCAAGTCAGCGGGTGGCCCAGGTGAACTGAGGAACTTTTGGGAGCTCTAGCAGAAACAGTGTGTGTGTGTGGCTTTGGCAAGCGGGGTTTGGTAGGGGGCAGGTGGGGTTGGTGAGCAAAGAGAGCAAAAGCGTAGTCCCTAATAACGAATATAGTTTGATGGGCGGCATCATTATTTGCACATATGGCACATTTCTAAGTGGGTCCTCAGCTTGCTACCTTTAAGCGTCCACTGAGTGCAGCACAGAGGTGATTCATCTCACTGCTACCTGACAGAAGATTGCAAAGATAGCACCAGGTTCTCTTCTACTGAACTATGGTCTCCACCATGAACATGGCCTTTGCATTCAGCAGGAAGAGGTGCAATTGCAATAAGAAACTGGGGAAGCCCTGGTGCATGTATTTCAAACGTCACAGCTGCCTGCCACTTTAGTGATGCAATAATTTTGTCGCTTGCTTTTGGACCACTTGCTCAGCAGCTCTGTATACTAACCAGGATGACTTTTACATTATAGAAATACATTGGCCACCCCCCTCTATTTGCCAAGTCTTTTGGGCACGTCAGCATCATGTCCTTGAACTTTATAAAAACTTAACGCTCTGTGGCAATTCGGTAGCCAAGTGTGGCCCAATCATGTTCTAGGCACGGCATGAGCATCGCAAAAAAACCCATTCAGTCTGGGCAAATATGTTATTCTGCAACGGAGAAACCCAGAGAAACTGCAAAGCTCAAAGGAAAGAAAGCCTTTCTGCAGCCTGATACAAGGCTCCTTCTTGGTGCTAGCAGAAGTTGTGAGACCTAGCTAGCTCTCTCTCTTATTATGGTTGCTTTGTCCTAGCGATTCCTCTCTTGTTTAATTTAGTACAAGGGCAACCAACAAAGTGACCTTCAGATTATGTTGGGCTCCAACTCCCATCAGTCCCAGCCAGGGTGACCTGACAAGGAAGGTGTGTGTTGCAGTCCAACAACATCTGAAAGGCACCATGTTTGCCACCTCTAATTCAACAGCAGCTCACCCAGTCGGGCAGAGCCACAATGGTAGCTTTCTGACTGCGGCATTGCTGTCACTTACTGGGAAGAGGAGGTAGCAGAGAGGTCAGTGCAGTGTGTGAGGGCAGTGGTGAAGTCAATCCGGCACTCCACAAGTGCATTTGCACCATGCCACCCTCCCAATCTTCTCTGGTAAGCTGCAGCAACCCTGCCGCCAGGAAGCTAACACTGCGGCTCTGACCCACCAGGTGAGCCCCCTCTGCCCTAACACGGACAAAATACTAAAATTTCTTATTTTTAAGAAGATAATCACACTTGGAAGTATAGAAGCCCTTTCTGTGCAATTGGGGTTATAATACCAGGAATGCTTTGCATCCTCAAGCCCATGAGATTTCCCTTTCCTAATAATTTTTCAGAGCTAACACATGACTAACCACAGTTATCTCAACTCACAGATCAGCACAACAGCCAACTGTGGTTTGGCGCTAACCCCGTGGTTATTAAAAAACACATGAAGAAATTATGGTTAACGGCTAACCCTTGGTGCGTTTCAAAAATAAAAGGGAGGGGGAATCTGCACAAATGAAGGAAGTAATAAGAAAGGCTTAAGGAACTCCGGGATATGAAAATATGAAATAAAATATTACATATGAAATAAAATATTAGGTAGTGTTGGGTCTACACCGAATCCACAGAAGTGTCTCCCTGCAAAGTTTGCAGATCTGCACTATCATTTATGTCTAAGTTTCTACAGTCACTAATAAAACTTAGCACGTGTTATAGACCAAGTGTAGGGGGTGAGGAGAGGTTTGTGGGTTTTTGTTTCCTTATGCAATACCAGTTACTAGTGTTTAAAAGAGTGGCTGGGGAAATCCAGCCAGATGGGTGGGGTATTATTATTATTAAACTGATCACACACAATATACTTCAGTTACTATGTTGCTTTTGGCAGAATCAAAACAATGCTAGCACAATACAGAACTCTGAAAATCCACAGATTTATTCACCAATCATTCCCAAATGATTTTAGCAAATTAAAAAAAAAGTATATATGCTTACCAAATACTATTGCTTTAGCAAAAGGAGGAAACAATTCTGTATGCCTGAATAAGTGTTTATGAATCTGCCAGAGTTCTTTGTGCAATTTCTTAAAGTCACTGTATCTCTTCCAAACGACTATCTGAAGTGAAAACAGAAAACAAACACCCATGAGGCAATCATTCCTGCTAATTGAGCATTTACCAAGAATGGCAGAAACCAACACAGTAGCGTATTATACGTGCCCTATGAGATCTTTTTAAAAGTCACTAAACTCTTTAACTGCAGCTATTAATCAAATCTTGCCCTTGCTGTACACCCACCCGCATCCCTGCGAAGTATCGTTCAGCCAATATATTAAGCAACAATTAATCTCCAAGGCAGTCCATAAACTACTTAAACTACGCAAGCAGCTGCTGTGCTTGAACTTAAGCAATTTCCACCCCAATCAACCAAAAGGGCATTTGTGGATTTTGGTTAATAGAAGAAAGCTACTTCATACTGAGTCAGACCACTGGTCTATCTACCTTAGTATTGTCTACTACACTGAGTGGCAGCAGAACTGCAGGTTTTCGGGACAGTCCCCCCCCCCCCATTTCAATTTGCTTTGTATTGTGCATTCATGATTACAGCACAGTCAGCAGAGCATGAAATCTTTAATCTCAGGGTCTTGGGTTCGAGCACCACGTTGGGTGAAAGATTCCTACATTGCAGGGGGTTGAACTAGATGATCAATTCTGTGATTCTGTGATTTGTGGTATCAGGGCAGTTATACACAACCTTACTTTCAATACTATTTGCACCTGCAAAGGTTTCAAGGCAGACATGTTGCCTCATTCCCAATATGTGCATCTCCTGCAGCTTCCTGCTAAAATCCTGTGACTTTTTATATCATGAACATCCCCACAGGTGTGTGTCTCGCTTTTGTTGCACTATAATAACTCAAAGGTGCCCCTCCGAACAGCAATAGTAGCAGTAACATTGCGGGAGCATTGCAAAGCAACAAATAAAGCAGAAGGATGCATAGACTATCCAGTAGAAATCCACCCCAACACTCTATTATTAAATCAATGACATGCTGCAGAATAAACCCGCAAAACAAAGACACACAAAAACCAGAAGTCTGGAGGGGCCCAACATTTCTTGTCCAGTCCTACATGAAAATGTCAGGGATTTGAACCCGGGACATTTGGCAGGCAAGGAAGGCTCTACCACTGAACTACAGCCCTTCTCTCAGTTCCTCTTTTGCAGCTCAAACATTATGCAACATGTATAAACATGGGCTGAAGAACGCCAGGAAAAGACACCCCCAGGACACATAAAATGATTTCAGGTTGCCTATATAAATTTTACTTTATACTATCACAGGCTCCTCACTTTGCTGGGCAGGAAGAAGTTCCAGGCATAGCGCTAACCTAGGGATGTGACTTCCTTTCGAAGGAGAGATCAATGGGGACTTGCAGCATTCTGTAATATCTGTTTTACTTACAAATATAAACACAGCATTCTAAAATCAATTCATTCTAAAATCAATTCAAAATCAGATTAATGGCAACCACTGGGCCAGAGCTCCGCGAAGATTGCCGAGGGAGGGAGTCAGGCTGTGCCCTGGCCAAAGGCCTGGTGGAACAGCTCTGTCTTGCAGGCCCTGCGGAAAGATGTCAAGTTCCGCAGGGCCCTAGTCTCTTGTGACAGAGCGTTCCACCAGATCGGGGCCACAGCCAAAAAAGCCCTGACTCTGGTTGAGGCCAGCCTAACCTCCCTGTGGCCCGGGACCTCCAAGATGTTTTGGTTTGAAGACCGTAAGGTCCTCCGTGGGACATACCAGGAGAGGCGGTCCCATAGGTACGAGGGTCCTACAAATGCTATTTCTACAAATGCTAGAAAACACTCTTTTTGAAAAACAAAATAAAACCGAAAGCTTGGAATCCGGAGGTTACAGTTAACTGCTGAAGGGGCAACAGCCCGTGTTGCCAACCCCCACCCTTGCAGTCACCCATAGTTGGAGGCAAACAGTTTGGCCCTCTTGGCAGCACAGCCAGCGACAGCCCTTCCGTTAGACCAGGCATGCCCAACAGGTAGATCACGATCTACTGGTAGATCGTGGGGTGTTCCTGGTAGATCTCTGGCTCCTCCGTGATCTATGGTACTTCCCCTCCCCTAAAAGCTCAACAACTTTGGCCTCCCCCAAAAAGCACAAGAACTTTGGCTTCCTAAAAAAAGTTCTCAACAACTGAGGTCCATCCAACGACAATGGGTAGATCACTGCCAGTTTTTTTATACTGTGAGTGGATCACGGTCTATTGGGAGTTGGACGTCCCTGCATTAGACAGAGTGAGGCAGCTGCTTCAGGCACCAGGTGGTTGGGCAGTGGTGGCAAAGTATCAAGGGACAGAGATATGCCTTTGCCCCCTGAAATAGCCTGCCACACCCACATGTGGTGGAGGCCGCTGTCCTCCACTACTGCTGAAGTAAGATTCGATTCAGCTGCCAGTCCAGCTGGATTCTGCACACAGAATTTTGTTTGGAGGGGTGTACCTTGTCCTTTGCCTCAGGTGGCAGAATGCATTGGGCTGGCCGCAAGGGAAGTGAAGTCACTACATCTAAATTAGAATCTCAGAGAGGGACATCACAGCATCCCAAAATGCTTCGGTCGTCAGCCAACTTTGTTTCAAAATCTATGTGTGTGTACATGTGTGTGCCTATGTCTGCACACCTGTATGACTTGGTCCCATCCACTTTGGGTTTGGGCCCTGTCCATACTGCAGACCATTAACCCCTAACAAAAATGGTGGCTGGCACAGATTGACCACTGAAGCATTAAGGAACAACAACCAGCTACTATGGCCCTTTGCCACCCCTTGGTTCAAAACCTCAACCTCATTTGCACCAGTTATGTAGCAAACTAACATCTTCGAGCGGATGATACAGCAGAAGAGGAGGGTGCTACAAGGAATGCTAAGCATGGCAAAAGGGTGCTGTCTTATTGTATTTCTTTAACAGCAACCAAAAGGAAAGGGATAGGGAGAAGAATAATGTCCACCCACAAGAACAGAAACAGAAAATCCACCACTAAAAATAATGATATGCTAAGAATAAGTGGTCTTTGCCTATTCCACCTAGTTACAACATTTTTGCTGGAATGAAATAATTAAGAAACCGGAGCAGCTCTTTGGTTAAGATGAAAACAAGAAACATTTGCCGATTCTTATGGTAAAGAGGGGGGGAGTAGATAAAATTGATAAGGTGTTGAAGTGAGCAAATACAATGACCCAAATTCACTGAAAAAAGTGAATCATGAAAGGTTCTTACTCTGAGGGAGGCCATTCACTTCAAAGATTTACATCGAGACTCATCCCTTTAAAGCTCTTACCACTTTACCAGAGAGGGCCAGCCCTACTATAAGGCAGAGTGAGGAAGCTGCCTCAGGTGGCAGGTACTGAAGTGTATGAGGAGCATCAGAAGAAGCCCCCTTCTGATGGGGGCAGAGGTATGTGTGCCAAGCGGCCAGCCCCGCACCCCTTAAGCTAACTTGCCACCCTTAGGTGTGGTGGAAGTGTCAGTGTTGAAGTAACAGTAAACTTCCAGCCCAGTCAGTTTCTGTAGGAGAAATGGAGATGGCCGCCATCTTGTCCTTCCCCTTAAGACAGCCCTGCCACAAATTTCTAAATAGCCACCCACTTAAATTGTCCATGGTAACAATTCTCTGAAAGCAACTAGACACAGAAGCTGCTGGGGTACTCAAATTGCAACACTATTCAAATTAAGAATAGGCTTTCTGGTGAGAAAACTCAGTGCTAATTCAGAAGATAATAATAATTTTTTATTTATACCCCGCCCTCCCCAGCCAAGGCCGGGCTCAAGCAATAATAAAAACAAGATGAATGATTACAACTTAAAAACAAAAATAAAATACAACATTAAAATAATGGAACATTAAAATATTAAAATGTAGCCTCATCGCAGGAGGAGAAGGAAAAGAAAAAAGAAAGAGAGGGAGGGAGGGAGGGAATCAAATTGGCTCCAAGCCAAAGGCCAGGCGGAACAACTCTGTCTTACAGGCCCTGCAGAAAGAAATCAGATCCTGCAGGGCCCTGGTCTCATGAGGCAGAGCGTTCCACCGGGCCGGAGCCAGAGTTGAAAAGGCCCTGGCTCTGGTTGAAGCCAATCTAACTTCCTTAGGGCCTGGGACCACTAGGGTGTTGTTATTTATGGACCTTGAGGCTCTCCGTGGGGCATACCAGGAGAGGCGGTCCCGTAGGTATGAGGGTCCTAGGCCGTGAAGGGCTTTAAAGGTCAAAGCAGCACCTTAAATCTGACCCTGTACTCCACCGGGAGCCAGTGCAGCTTGAAAAGCACTGGGTGAATATGCTCCCATGGCAGAGACCCCGTGAGGAGCCTCGCTGCAGCATTCTGCACCCGCTGGAGTTTCTGGGACAGCTTCAAGGGCAGCCCCGCGTAGAGCGAATTACAGTAGTCAAGCCTGGAGATGACCGTCGCATGGATCTGAAGTGGACTGTTCCTTTTTCTAGAGCAATAATCAGGAGCAGACTGAGCAGGACCCAGCAAACACCAGGACACACCAACTAAACATAGCTGAGGGCCTCAATGCCTTGCAGATTGTGTTGCCTCTTTCCAGTCGCAATTGGCAATGTGGTTTTTAAATTGCTTTTTTCTCTCCAAAGAATTGGAAAAAACAGAAAGGGAGATACTGTTCTTTCCAGATCTTGACACTTCTAACCCTAAGAGTAAAATCTGGATGATCATGGTTCATTTATTATTATTGTTGTTGTTATTGTTATTTATTATGTAATATATATTTTAAAATATACTGCACCTAATACTAGCTTTAAGCAAAGCCAACTGGCAATCAAACAAAACAATTTAAACACAATTGCACTATCTATTTGCCAGATAATTTCCCTCATCTCCAAGTTTGGAAGTCAGGCATTCCATATGGACAAATGGCAGGTTCTTTTCTGACAACAAACAGCGCATTTCACCCTGTATCTGGGCCAAAGTTTACACGTGAACAACTGTTTGGAAGCAAAGGTCACTAATGGCTCCAAAATTATAAATTATGTGTGCTGTTGTTGCTGCTTTAAGAACACAGAAGAGGCCCTAAGCCAAATGAAGGCCTCTAGGCTTCTCTATCTTGCCCTCAGGACTCTCCCAAGGCCACATCTCTCCTGGTCATACTTTGAGTCCTCCTTGAGTGCTTTTGCCAGGCTACAATGTGTATTTCAACTCTGATAAGTGCTTCCTCCTTGCCTACATGGGGGATTAGAGGGGGATGTGTGAGTAAATTAGCATTTGCTCCTGGCCCCACTTAGCACAGACCCGTGGCCCTCAGAGTGCTACCTAGAAGGGAATGCGGCCCTTGAGCTGAAAAAGTTCACCACCCCTGGAACAGTAGGTCTTGTTTACATTTCCAACAGATTAATGGGGAGGGGGAATCCCACTGGAATCACATCTCTGTTTAAAACAGAGCCTGTGCAATGAACTGGCTCACACAAGACATTAAGCCAAACCCGTTTGAAAAGTAATTTTATTTCATGCAGAGAAAGGTTTAGGCATCAGTCTGAAATAGTAAATGTCTTACAGTCAACTGCTGCAAACTTTCACATCAGCAGCATTTGCTGCTGCAAACAAATGCTTTTTGTATACCAACATTATTATCTGCCTTCTGCATCTATATAAATTAAAACTCCCTGGTGATTTACCATGTATGGCACCTTAGTGTTTGCACTTTCAGAAACCATTAAGGCCCAGAAAGGAAATGCATTACTATGCTTTGTTAATAAAGCCCTGGAGAAATGTCAAGGTTTGGGGATGGGAGCACAGCAACAGAAAGTAAACTTACAATGGCTGATAAACTTACAATGACATATCATAAGAACATAAGAAAAGCCCTGGTGCATCAGGCCAAATCCCCATATTATGCAACATCCTGCACTCACAGTGGACAAGCAGGTGCCTATGGGAAGCCCACAAGCAGGATCTGACCTGCTTTGAAAAGCAACCCAAAGTCAGACTACTTGTGTCATCCAAACCCAAGCTTGTGGTTTCTTTCCTCCAAATAAATCATGTGGCAAGCCAAAAACAAACTTTATCTTCTGCTTATGGTTTGTCTAGAGAGAAACAAACCAAGAGCCCAGGTTCAGATGATGTGGCAAGCCAGACCATGGCTTGTGTATTTTAACTATGGTTTAATGGGATGTGTGAACCAGGCCTCGGTGTGGCTAGTCTGACAAAATGGCAGCTACGCTCTGCCTCCATAGTCGGAGGCAATAACGCATCTGAAACCAGTTCCTGGAAAACGCAGGAGGCAGAGAGTGCTCTTGTGCTCAGGTCCTGCTTCTGGGTTTTCCACAGGCATCTGGTTGGCCACTGTGAGAACAGGGTGCTGGACTAGATGGGCCATTGGCTCAATCCAGCAGGCTCTTCTTCTTAGGAAGATGATAATGGCAACCTGTTTTCACGGGTTATTTCCAGTTCAGGATCCTCCTTGGAAAAGGTGAACAACAAGTTACAAACTAGAAGACGACAAATCTGGAAGAGAGTTCATTTGCTGGTCTACCTTTGTCACAGACATAAAAGGTGAAATAGAAAAGGTCTGAGAAAGCTCCTGTGATCGATGCAGGGATGGGGAACTTGTGGGCCTTCAGATTTTGCTGGGCTCCAACTCCCATCAGGTCAAACCGGCCTGACCACTGGGCCAGGCATTATAGAATTTGGAGTCCAGCAACATCTGTGAAGGCTGCAAGTTCTCCACCCCCCACTGGACAAACAAGGAAAAGATTTGGCAACTTGGTTTTACCCTTGCACGCAGAAAGTAGGAAGCAAACAATTTGACAATATTGGGATAATGTTTCTGTAATTAATCCATTTTTATATTTGTTCTTACTCAATGATCTATATGCAAGGACTGTCAAAATCAGTCAGGTTGTTTCAAGTTCAAATTTCCCTCGTTGATAGATAGATGATAGTTGTTGATGATAGATAGATAGATAGATAGATAGATATTTTACTAAATTTGCTATAAATAGGTGAACCAACTGAGTCTATGAAAAAATGTTTTATTTCTAGATTGTGGGGGAAGTGGGAGTGCATAATGCATCTTTCATTACGGCAAAGATCTTATTTTCAAATATTAAATATACTGTAGAAGCCACAAGGGAGAAGGCTTTGTGATATACCTACCCTGACCATCTTCCCAACTTCCCCTTCCACCCTCTTTCATCATTTCAAAATGCCTCTGCTAGAATCCCATCTCACTGAAATCATACCCACTTTATTCTCACTAAGCCTCTACTGCCGGCATACTGCCAGAACCTTGTGTTAAGCACTCCCAACTCTCCTTGACCTTACTCACCCTTTCTCACTCACCCCTCTGCCCACAGACCCATCTGCCCTTTTCAGTCCCTCTTGTCTGATTCTGCCTGCACCTTCCTACATGCTGATTTCTTGCATCATGCCCAGAAGTCTACTTCATGTGCAGAAACAGCTTTCGATCTAAAGAGAACGTGTCTTTCTCATGCAAAACATGTCGGGAAGCCTTGCATGAGGAATGCGGCAAGAAAGATTGAGAAACATTGGTTCTTCTGTTTCATGCAGCCGGGTGAGCACTTCAGCAGTACAGGGGCTGAGCATTTCCCACCCCAAAACTGCACAAGTGGAATTATATTGCTCTGGTCACAGCCTCAGGACTCCTGGCCTATGCCTGGAGGATAAAGCTATCAATGGCTACTAGCCATGATTGCTATGTTCTGCCTTCACTGTCAAAGGCAGCATGCTTCTCTACACCAGTTGCTGCAGCAGGACTCAGGTCCTGTTGCAGGCTTCACATGTGCAGATGCACATGTGGTCACCATGACAAGATGCTGAACTGTTTTCACAGCCACACCATACATGGTTTCTCCCAAAGAATCATGGGAAGTGTAGTTTATCCCGTCACAGAGGGACAAACCCAGCACCCTTAAGAAAATACAGTGCCCAGGATTCTTTCTGGGGAAGTCATGTGCCCTAACTGCATGGAATGGATGTGACCTGAATGGGCCTTTGGCCTGCTTGTGTTCTCATAAACAGCCCTCCTCCACTCATCAAAGCTTTTGCCCGAAGGTTTATGTGAAGACTTTCTCAGCTGCAAGTACCGTATTTTTCGCCCTATTGGACGCACCGGCCCATAGGACGCACCTAGTTTTCAGGGGGGGAAATCAAGGAAAAAAATATGATTTCCCCCCCGCAGCTCTGTGCGCTACTCCAAGACCTTCTCCCTGCTTTTGCGGGAGGTGGCGGAATTCCCCCACCTCCCGCAAAAGCCCACAGGAGCCGTGCGCGACTCCTATGGGCTTTTCGACCAGGAGGGAAAAGAGACTGAAATGGCCAGTCAGTCCCTTCTCCCTCCTCGGGGAAAAGCCCCCAAGAGCGGCGCGCTCTTCAAAGGGTGCGCGGCTCCTGCGGGCTTTTCTACAAGGTGGGGGAATTCCCCCACCTCCTAGAAAAGCCAGCAGAAGCCGCGGAGCCCCTTTAAAGAGCGCGCGGCTTTTGCCTGCTTTTGCGGGAGGTGGGGGAATTCCCCCATCTCCCGCAAAAGCCCACAGGAGGGAGAAGGGACGGACTCGGCCAGTCAGTCCCTTCTCCCTCCTCGGGGAAAAGCCTCGTCCCTCCTCGTAGCGCGCCTTCCCGCTGCCCCCCATCCTCTGGGGCTGGAGATGGAGGAGGCGCTGCTTTCCCCCACTGCCAGTCTCAAAGAGCAGACTCTCCTGGCTTCAGCGGAAGCAACGCAAAGCCTCCGGAGCGCAGGCTTTTTGGAGGGGGAAAAGTGCGTCTTATAGGGCGAAAAATACGGTATTTTAGATTGTTCCGCTTCCCTTGGGAAAGAAGCCGTAGCTCAGTGGTAGAGCACATGATATGAATGAATAAAATCTCAGATTTCATCCCGGAAATGTTCAGACAAAAAGTAGGATATTATATGACAGACCTCTCTACCTGAGGCTCTAGGGAGCTACTGCCCGTCAGAGAAGACGGTTTCCTACCTTCCTATCCTTATTTTTCCTTTTGTCAACTCTGTTTTGCATCCTGTTAATCTTACATAATCACTTTCACCGTCTGGTGTTCAGATGGTTATGGATCACATCTCTCTCCAATTCTCCATTCATCATTCTGGTATTTGTTGTAGATAGGATATTAAATAGTTTCCCTGACTCTTAAGATGTTTTCAGAAAGTGGTGCTGTGCTTATGCTTTGGGCATTGTTTTCTTTCTCTCTCTCTCTCTCTCTCTCTCTGTGTGTGTGTGTGTGTGTGTATGTGTACTGTATTTGTCATTTTGGGAAAACTTCATGGCCACCAGGAGTTCACAGTTATGTTGGGTAGGTAACACACCCAAGGTAGGACTGAGGACCTCACTAATTTAATTAGAACTGTGCTAATTACACAATGGTAACTTGAAAGAGAAAAGTGCATTGCTATCCATTTCCTTAACAATCCATTAGGACTCTCTTTCAAATATCAGATAGATGATGAAGAACGTGTGTGTGTGCGTGCGTGCGTGCGTGCGTGTGGAGGTGTGTGCACACCTGCACAGGAGGATCCCTAGACTTAGCCTGCGAGCAAATGACCAACTGAGGCAGTAGAAACAAGATTAGCCATCAATTGCCAATCTAGTCACTAAAACAGGAACAGAACTTACTTGTTCTATTTTGCAATATAAAAAGACATCAGTTTGTGCCATACCTATGTTAGAACCAAAGATGCTTTAAAAGAAAAAGGTTTACCTCTTGGACATCTTCTGGATTTTTTCGAGAAACAATCTGAAAAACAAAAGCAAAAGCCCTGTCAGTGCTTGAATTTGTTAATGAGAGACACAGAGAGAGCACACAAAAGTGCCCAATGATCTAATATTGATTTTTAAAAACCCTTTCTTTATTTGGGGCTATGCTTGATTAGGATTATACTCATCCATCCCAGTCTTGATATCCACACATTCCAGCATCATATCTGCGGAGGGGTTTACACATGTAGAAACCAATTCATGTGAGTCCCATAGAGTGCAGCTGACACCTATGCAGATTGAATTCAATGCACTTCAGACCGTATGAGAACATCATGATCCAACGCAAGGCAGAGCAAGAGCACCCAATCCTATTACTCTCAGTGTGTGTTCTTTGCAAACTGTCTTCAAAATAACATGCCATTTACAACACCACATTCAGCGTATTTTTGTACTGTAGGCAAAAATGCAGAAGTGCAAGGGAACAGAAAGGCAAGTCATTAAACAATGGAATTCAACCACACGATAAGAAAAGAAACCTCTTTTTCCTCTTCATCCTCCTTCTTTCCCTCTTCATCAGTAATTTCCAACTTTCCCCCACACCAATCTACCAATAAGCCCCTGTGTGTCCAACACAGAAGCTCCCTGTACTGTACCATATTCTAGGGAATATTCTAAGGTGCATCGTCAGTTCACAAGACAAGCAGGCCAAGATCTCAGCATTGCCCAGTACGAACTGAAAGTACACCCTAGAAAGCATCCAAAAGTCTCCTGCTGAATTACTAAAGTCGGAAATGTTTCTGACTGGTCTTTCCCGCTTGATGGGAGAACAACCATAATAAAGGTAAAAGGAGGGGTGCACTGTAGGTGAAACAAACCAACAAGTCTGAATGCATCCACTGGAACCTACTTACATTTTTCTTTTCTTTTTTAAAATTTTATATTTTTCAGTGTTACAATTTTTTTTCAAAACCACATTCACATTAAAAGAAAAATTTCCCCATTCATATCTTTCTTTAAAATAAACCGATCATTCATGACTTCCCTTCTTCCCTTTCCCTGGTTCCTTTAATTTTCCCGCATATTTTTGCATAGCCATTTAACTCCCTTATTCCTTTATTACTCCTTTGTTATGTGTTATACTGTTGAATTTACCTTAATCCTACTAACATTTTCACATGTTTACAGTTGTTTTCCAGATACTACACAAAATTTGTCCATTCCTCTTTATATACCTGATCTTCTTGTTGTCTTATTTTACTTGTTAGACCTGCCAGCTCTGCATATTCTGTCATTTTAAATTGCCAATCCTCCTTACAGTCATACCTTGGAAGTCAAACGGAATCTGTTCCGGAAGGCTGTTTGACTTTCAAAACGTTCGGAAACCAAAATGCGGCTTCTGATTGGCTGCAGGAAGCTCCTGCAGCCAATCAGAAGCTGCGGAAGCCCCGTCGGACATTTGAATTCCAAAGAACCTTCACAAACCAGAACGCTCACTTCCGGGTTTGCGGCGTTCGCCAAAATGTTCGACTCACAAAGAGTTTGGCATCCAAGCTACTACTGTATTTCGGACCTCACTCAACCGCCATTTCTGGGCTTACAAACCTACTGATTTTTTTGTTCTGCATGCAGGACAAGCAGCAGCAGCAGCAGCTGGAATCTTAGGCAGATACTGGGGTTCCAGTGCTCACTGCCAATACCAGGTCTGAGACCCCCATGCAGGCAGTTTGACCTTAGAGCCACAAGCTCTTTAATTAGATGCCCCAATCCTTAGAAGGCCGCAAACAGGCTGCAGGGCTCAAGTGATACAAAGGCTAGCCCAATATTATGAGGGGAAGGGGCCTTTTTTTAATTCACTTTCTCCACATCCGAGATAATTTTATGAACTTCTAGCATGTTGTCTCTTAAGCAGAGGTTGGATCGCCATCTGTTATTTATGCTTTAGCTAAGATTCCTGCATTGCAGGGGGTTAGGCTAGATGACCCTTGGGTCCCTTCCAACTCTAAGATTCTATTATTCACCTTTTCTTAAAGCTAAAAATTCCCAAGCTATTTATTTCTTCGTTTGGGCATTTATATTCCACCTTTTTGTGCCAAATCAAGGTGGCATGCAGAATCTTTAGATATAATGGCATATAGAGATGGATGCTAAAATGCACAACAACATACTCCAGTAAAATACCGCAACAACACCAGGAACAGCAAATAAAAATGCATCAGCCCACAGGCTCTAATTAAAAAATGCCTGGTGAAAGGAAGTAGTCTTAAGAGCCCATTTAAAAGCAAGCAAAACAAAAAACAAAAAAAAACCACAGCCAAATCCTCAGTATGCATCCTCTTCAGGTGTTACTAAAGAGAGTTAACACAAGCCAGGGCTATTTCCACTCCAGTTCTCACGTCCCTCCAATTGTGGAAGTTATCCCTATGAAATGGGGAGCCTTCTGCACTATTAAAGGCTGATTTTCCAGCATTTTAAAACACAGAAACCTCCACAAGCATCACATGCTTCTGAAGGTCAGCTTCCACAAGTTGCGAAGGCAAGAAAGGTGCTGAGCAATATTGATTCATATGCTGTCAGTGGGCTCCTGTTGTTGTCTTGTTGGGTTGTGAAAGGGGAGCCACACCGGGGTGAAGGTGTCATCTTTTGTTTGTCCCCTACTGTTTCCCATATAGTTTGGTACCAGTGGTCCATGTTTACTCCTCACAGGTCCCTCTCCAGTGTTTAGCAATGATGCTACCTCTGTGATAGCTCAGTCAGTAAAGCATGAGACTCTTAAACTCAGGATCATGGGTTCAAGCCCCACGCTGGGCAACATATTTCTGCATTGCAGGATGATCAGTGTGGCCACTTCTTCCAACTCTACAATTCTGTGATTCCTGGCTACTGAGAGAAGGTGGCTTATGAGTTATTTGTGTTATTGTCTTGTAAAATATTCAGTAGGGCCAGTTCTGGAGTAGCTTCCAGTACCTTTTTTTGTTATTTTGCATATTTCTTGGAAGACTGGATGATCTGTTAGAAAGAACTCTATGAACTGATAGCAGTGACGCTGTATGTACTTTTGAAACCCAACAAAATCTTTAATAGAAACAATTTAAAAGAAAAGAAAGATGCGGAGCTAGTACTGTACATTCATCAACCCCACTGCCCCACACTCCCAGCTGATAACTTTTGCCAATTTAGCAAGAACTGAAAGCGGCCATAGACAAACCCAATTCTGCAGGCAGCTTGTATGTGATGGATCAGGGCAATAACCTTTGTACCCTTAAGGCAGCTCCAATCAACTCTTAATGAAAGCGTTCGGTGGTACTTGCAGCGAGTGGTCAGTGGTCATTAAAATGTTCCAATACCACTCAGAGTAGCATAGATAGTTGCCTTATACAGAGTCAGACCATCCATCCATCTGGATCAGTAATGCCTACACTGATTGGTAGCACATCTTCAAGGCTTCAGATAGGGATCTCTCCAAGCCGAACCTGGAGATGCCGGGGATTTTTTTGCATGCAACGTATATAGCACTGAACCACAACCCTTCTCTGCCTCCACTCAACCAACCGAGTACCCCACGGCAAGAAAGCAGCACACTTAAAAAGTTTAATTCAACAAAGGCTCTGATCGACTTTAGAACTAAAAACTGCTAAAGGTCTCCCAATCTGCTTTCATGCTGGGCTGCCTGTCCTATGGCTGCACAGCCCTTTGGTGACATCACAGCAACTCAACCAATGGCAGTCCGCAATTCCCAAGACTAAGCAATCCTACCATCACAGGAAGGCTGATTCAGATTATCACTCATTTCACAATACAACCTGAGAAGACTGAGAACATTCTAAGGAAGCTTACCGTCAAAGTTTTAACTCCAATTCCAGCATGTTGACATGTAAGCTCAGTTCATGCCAGCAGCTTCAAGCACCACCAGCGCTAAACTCTGTACTGCTGGCTGGCTCTATTCTGTGACAAAAAGGGGAAGACCTTGCGTAGATGCTTGTTGTTAACATTACTTTAACAAGCACTAATCCCCTGGTATTTGAAGCTTCGGATGCATTTGCTTTGATTACTCGGGAACCAAATAAAACCAAGGGAGCAATGAGCAGGGGGAGGAAAGGAATCCCAGCCTCTTTTGGAGACTGTTATTGTGGGCGTGAGCAGGTGCACTGGGTCTTTTCTTTAACCTTGCTTGGGCGAGTGCATTTAAAATCCAATTCTCTTAAAGAGCAAGGGCCTACAGGTATTAATATATTGATTTAAGAGCATTTATCTATAACTGTGGAACAGTTCTGGCTTTCACTGTTTAAATTTCACATGCCTTGCACAATCTTTATGCCCCTCTTCCTCTTTGTCTCTCTCACACACATATACCCCACTTCACCTCAGGCTTACAATGAAGTAACTGAATTGTCTTGGAAATTTAACAGCTGGGTTTTCTTATCTACCATCCTCCTGGACAAGCCTGCTTTCTTATCTCTTGAGAGAAAGGCACTGTGGAATTTACCACCAGGAATGGACAACAAAGGGCCCATCATCTGCACCCTACATTTAAAGTACTACCATACCACTTTTAACGGTTATGGCTTTCCCCCAAGGGATCCTGGGAACTGTATTATTATTATTACTATTACTATTTACATGTGTTGCCTCAGGAAGATTTTCAGTATCACATGGCAGGGCAGAGTTTCAAGCTAATATGTGCTCTTGTGGGCCCACATTCCCAGCATGTTTGCACTCCTATCTCAGCAACATCGATGCTGGCTTGGTCCCGTCCACAGAATGGAAGACAACAGGTACCCCAAAGGCGTGCTCTATGGGGAGCTGGCTTCTGGCACCAGGTTCACTGGCAGACCAACTCTGTGTTACAAAGGTGTTTGCAAATATGACAGGAAAGAACATCACCCCTGCCAGGTCCCAACAATGAAAACACTGTAGTTGGTTAAGAGTGATGGGAATTGTTAGGAGACCCCGATTCCCCTCACAGAGCTACCGTTTCCAGAGTTTTGTGAGGGGAATAAGCAGTGCTATTTTTCTAGAAAAAGAGGTGCCAGAACTCACTATGAATGCTTCCCTTGTTCTCTTATAATGGCAAAGGCAGCCACCTGAGATGTGCCGGAACTGAGTTCCAGCTGAAAGTTCCAGCTGAAAATAAAAGCCCTGGGAATAAAGGTTTCCTAACGATTCTCAGCACCCTTAACTAACTACAGTTCCTAGGATTGGGATGGAGGGGAGATATGACTGTTTAAAGTGGTATTATACGGCTTTAAATGTAGGGTTTGGGTGTGGCCCAAGAGACTTGTGGTACATTAAAGGCTAACCAACTTCTTGGGACAAACACAATCATGGGCTGAAGCCCACATCCTCAGATGCACAAAGCGAAATCTTAGTTGGCAAGTACAGTGGTACTTCAGGTTAAGTACTTAATTCGTTCTGGAGGTCCGTTCTTAACCTGAAGCACCACTTTAGCTAATGGGGCCTCCTGCTGCTGCCGTGCCGCCAGAGCACGATTTCTGTTCTCATCCTGAAGCAAAGTTCTTAACCTGGGGTACTATTTCTGGGTTAGCAGAGTCTGTAACCCGAGGTACCACTGAATACAGAGAAAAATTACAAGGTAGGAGTCAAATGGGCACCAAGATGCAAAAAGTAGAGGCATTTATAACTAGAGTTTAAATATTTGTTAAACCAGTGCACCTTTGATAGTAGCAGGTTGATGAATGTTGGGAGGAGCAGAGCAGATAAAAGAAAGTACTTCTTCATACAACACTCAGTTAAACTATGGCACTTGTTCCTACAGAAGGCAGTGATGGCTACCAACTTGGATGGCTTTAAAAGAGTAGAGAAAGTCAATGGAGGACAAGGCTATCAATGAATAGCTAGCCATGATAGCTATCTCAGCTGTCAATACCAATTGCGGGGAGCTGCAAGTGAGCAGACTGCTGTTGTCCTCAAGTTCTGCTTGCAGGCTTCCCATGAGCATTTGGCTGGCCTCTGTGAGAACAGGATGCTGAACTAGATGAGCTATTGGCCTGATTCAGCAGGCTCTTCTTATGTTAATAAAATACAAAAAAATAAAATATATAAGAAATAAAAGCAGCAATAGTAATGCTATGTAAAATCATTATGAATAATAATAATAATAATTTATTATTTATACCTTGCCCATCTGGCTGGGTTTCCCCAGCCACTCTGGGCGGCTTCCAACCGAATATCAAAAACAATACAGCATCAGACATTAAAAACTTCCCTAAACAGGGTCACCTTCATTTGCCTTTTAAAAGTAAAATAGTTGTTTATTTCCTTGACATCTGATGGGAGGGCGTTCCACAGGGCAGGCGCCACTACCGAGAAGGCCCTCTGCCTGGTTCCCTGTAACCTCACTTCTTGCGGCGAGGGACCCACCAGAAGGCCCTCAGCGCTGGACCTCAGTGTCCGGGCTGGATGATGGGGGTGGAGATGCTCCTTCAGGTATACAGGACTGAGGCAGTTTAGGGCTTTAAAGGTCAGCACCAACACTTTGAATTGTGCTCGGAAACGTACTTAATGCAGGCATGCCATGGAAGCCTGCGGATCACAGGTTGTCCACAGACCACAGTTTGGGACACACACACACACACACACACACACACCTGTTTTAATAACTACTGAAAGGAAAAGAAAGCAACATCTAATCCAGGCTGTACCAGGTTTATTTGACTGCAGTATCTCCGTCATCATGATTGAAAACTCACATTTTTTTCCAAGGACAGATAGGGAATCAGGTGGATACAATTTTAAAAATAAAAAATAAAATAAAATAAATGAGTATTTTATGGAAACCATTTGGAGGTTGTTTTTTGTTAAAAGATATATAAACCTTGCAACATAAATATATTAAATTAACACCAGTATAGCCTGCATAAAATGCTACTTCCTCCCAGCAGTGAGAATGTGGGCTGGATTACAGGAGAAGAGAGATGAGGGTCCAAGACTCTTAGCAGATGAAGCTTTCTCCCAAGTAATGTCTGAATGAGCCCTCGTCTCTTACCAGAGACGTAACGGAGCACGGAATTTCAAAAGAGGCTATTCTCTGATAGGTGCCAATCTATTATTTCTTGATTACTTATTTGTTGCTTTTATATCCCATGTTTTTTCTCCAAGGAGCTCAAATTCCTGACATAGTTCTCCCCCTTGTCATTTAATCCCAACAACCCTGTGAGGGAGGTGTGGCAGAGAGCCAGTGACTGGCTCAAGGTTACCCATTGAACTTCATAGCCAAGTAAGGATTTGAAACCTCATCTTCCAGGTCCTAGTCAGACATTTTAACCATTATGCCACACTGGGTCTCAAATAAATGTTTTTAGGGCAATGTTAAAATATGGGTGGGAAGATCAAGACATGGGAAATATGACTAATTTTTTGGCTTTCATTTGAGTTAGGCTGTCATCTGTGCAAAAAAAACAAAACAGCTCTTCCTTCATTTTCAGTAGCACAGATGAGAGGGCATGGTCTCTTTGAATTATACTCAAGGACCAGGTCTAGGAAAAAAATGGGTGCTACTACACCATCAAAACCTGGCTCTGCCCTTTGAGCTGGAAGCCCAGATCAAACCATAACCTCCTGTTGCCCGTTGGACAACCAGGCCCATGCATAAATCAGGCACAACCACAAACTGCTTCTCATCTCTACACCTATAGTGATGGCTGTCCCTTCTGACCTAGCCTTACATAATGCAGATTTTGGCTCTCTCCCCAAACACATCTCCACTGGGGGAAGCTCACATCCCTGACCCAATGTGCAAAGGGCCAGTCCCTCCGTGTTCGGCGGTGTTTATCCCAGGTTAAGCAGACAGAGGATTGCAGTGTTATTCCTACATCCCAATGCCCACTCCTCTGAAGATGCTGCCCTCCCCTCCAGATAAAACCCACCTGCATGGAAATGAGGGAAGAGAAGATCTGAGATGGAAGGGAGATGCTATGATCCCTCCTACCCCCCAAACTGGGTACTTTTGGAGTGGGGTCCGAGTGAAAATGCGACTGTCTCCATCCTACAGAGCAGGGGTCAGCAACCTTTCTCAGCCATGGGCCGGTCCACCGTTCCTCAGACCATGTGGTGGGCCGGACTATTTGGGGGGGGGGGATGAAAGAATTCCTATGCCCCACAAATAACCCAGAGATACATTTTAAATAAAAGCACGCATTCTACTCATGTAAAAACACACTGATTCCCAGACCCTCCGCGGGCCGGATTGAGAAGCCCACGGCCCTTAGGTTGCCTAACCCAGCTATAGAGCGAGGAAAAATGAATAGAGATGTCGGGGAAGAAAGAGAATCAATGCTCGCTCTGCCGCCCACTCACTCCTCTCAGCAGATGGGGGGGGGGAGAGAGAGAGAGAGAGATATGGGCATCTGCTTGCAGAGAGGACGAGCAAAGGCATCCCTGTAAGAGGCCATGGCGCTGTGGCAAAAGCACATGCCCGCCGAGCGTTGCCAAAAGAGGCCCTGGGTTCCAATCCTGCCTTCTCCGGCTTCGGGAGATGCCGGAGAGCCGCTGCCCGCGAGCCGCACCGACGACCTGCCTACTTGCCGGCAGGCAGGCTCCCAGGATCTCCCTGCCTGTGGCGGAGATCAGAAGGGGAAGGATCCCGTTCGTCACTATACCGACCCCCCCAACCCTAATCGAAGATTGCACGGAAGACGGCCTTCCCATTTCTCTTTCTCTTTCCCTTTCCCTTTTCTTCCCAAGGCTCACTCACCCGCGCGGTGACCTTATACAGGGTGTATCCCCGAGGATGGCGCTTGGGCTCGGTGACCGTGTAGAAGCGGGCCACGTCCCCGCCTCGTCCCTGCGGGGAGATCATCCTTGCTTGCAGCGGGCCGGCAGGAGGTGCGGAGGCCGTGGCTTCCTCGGCGCCAGCCCAGCGCCGCCAGGCTGCTGCAATGATCCACTCCCGGGTCAGGCCCGAGCCGGCGGCGGAAGCGATGGGAGAGAGGGAGCGGCGGCGGCAGCCGCTAAAGCAGCGCCTCTCCTCTCCTCCGCGTGGATCCGGCGCACGATGCAGGCGAGGGCGGCCCCCGCGACGCAGCTCGCCGGCCTGCCTCTCTTTCCTCCCCCACCCGCCCTGTCCGATCCTTCCCGCGGGGGTCTGGATGGAGCCTCCCCACCCACACACGCCTTGGAAGGAGAAGCGCCGGCACAGTCAGGCCGGCTGGGTTGTCCCCCGGAGTGTCCAGGGGCGCATGAAATGACTGTGCGCGCGCGACCCTTTTCAGGATCGAGAGAGAAAAAGGTTCCTCTGCTCAGAGTTTAATTTGAGAGAAAGCACGAAGACTCCGGGTTGTTGTCCTTTCCCACCACCTCTTCCGCTTTTGGGGGCGCTCTTTCCGCAAGCCTAAACATGTTTATTCGGAAGTAAGTCCTTCTTGCTCCCAAATAAAACGGTGCGTAAATGTGCAGTCTTAATCCTGACTCATGATTTCTAATAATGATGCGTTTTATGCAGCGTTTTCTCATGTTCCTGGCATGTTGTATACACACTGTCTTGATGTAGGCCTATGCACAACAACCCTGCAAGGGAGATCTGTTTAATTATTCCCAGAGGGGGGGATTAAGAGAGAGACTAAGGCCACTTAGTAAATCCAGGACAGATGTCTAGCCAGTAGGCCACATCAGTTCTCTGTATTTATTCAGTGGTGGCGAGTGAAATAGACTGCACCTGCTCTGGAAATTTAAATCTATTTTTATTTCCTACGTGCCAGGGTTTAATCTTGCAATTGAAAAAACGATGCCAAGACTGAATTAAGCCCTGTATTTATGCATGGGTGTAGCCAGGGGTGGGGCGGGGAGAGGCAGCTGTCCCCCATCAATAAAATTCAATAAAAATATGTAGCAAACAGAGATTCTGCAGCCCCCTAACAAAAGGTCTGCCCCCCCCCAGCAAAAATCCTGGCTACGTCCATGCATTTATGACTTCTTACATCTACGCATAGCTACCAAAGTTATAGAATGTTTAGTATTTATGAGGTTGGATGGCCATCTGTCATGGATGCTTTATGTCCCTGAATAACCAGTTGCTGGGATAGCACTGTAGGGGTGGAGAGCACTGTTGAACTCGGGGTCTGCTTGCAGACATCTCATGGGCTTGTGGTTGGCCACTGTGGTCAACCAAAGGATGTTTGACTAGGTTGGCCCTTGGCCTGATCCAGCAGAGCTCTTCTGACATTCTTAGGAAGTGCATATCCTTTCCAAAGGATCCCCTAAAAGCTTAAGGCTACAATTTGTCCTCTGGAAGAAAGGCTTTGTGGTCTCAGATGTGCTATTTTCTATGCACCTATTAGTAATCCTCTTTTTGCAACTCTGTATGTGAGCACTGTGAGCAGTCTGTTGAGTTTTAAAGGTGGATAACGGCTGGAGCATAACTCTGCTTGGAGGTCACACTCTCAGCACTAGAATCTCTGGCTAAGTGTATAACTTGACATCTGTCCCTGTTGAAAATCATTTCGTTAGTTTGGGTCCAGTACATCAATCATGATTTAGGGTGGAAAGAGAAGTCTGTATTCAAGAACCGATTAACAAACAATATTTATACTGAAGCTTGATCACTACATGTCAGGTGCATAGCTGTCAACTTTTCCCTTTTCTTGTGAGGAATTCTATTCGGAATAAGGGAATTTCCCTTAAAAAAAGGGAAACATTGACAGCTATGGTCAGGTGTGTAGCCCACAGCCATAGACAGGTCTAGTTTAGGAATTATTGGTCTATTTACCGGTAAATATGCATTGCACTTATACAGTATTTACCTTTCGTGCAATGATTGAAATATACTGTACACGCTATAGTTCTCTCCCTCCTATCCTCACAACTGTATGGCAGGTTGGACTGAGAGATAGTTACTGACCCAAGGTCACCCACTGAGTGAGAATGTGACCCTTGGACTCCCCAGTCCAAGGCCCACATTTTAGCCAGTGTGCTATACATAGCACTATGCTGCAAATTCAGTTAGTTATTGTAACTAGGTGTGTGTTTTTAGATTACTAGGACACTTTATCCACATCCATAGCTTGCCACATGATTTATTTGCCATTCAGCTAGGTACTCCCTTTTAAAGCAACACTTATTTCACTTTAACTCCTTTTCAGCTCAATTTATTATTATTATTGTTTCAATACTGTTTTGATACTTGTTTTTAATGTACACCATCCAGAAATCCACGTTTTATATAAAGGCACTGATTAGAAATTTTCAAAAGAAATAAAAATAAGCAATTACTGATTTCGCTATATTACCCACCCTTCAACAGGAGGTCCCAGAGGCAGTTACAACTATTTAAAACTCAGCATTAAAAACAGTTAGAACAATTTACAGTCATGGGAATAGGGTGGGCCCTGAAACACACACACACACACACACATACACACCAGGTACCAAATGTCAGGATAAAGAGATGCATCTTCAGCAGTCATTGAGAACTGTACAGTGAAGATGCCAGACACTCCTCTGTGGGGAGGGAATTGCACAATTTAGGAGCTGTCACAGAAAATGCCCTCTCCTGGGCTATCACCCCCTCAAACTTCTAAGGGAAGTGGAGCTACAAAGAGACCGCTCCCTCTAATCTTAAAGGGGGCAGTCTCCGAAAAATTTGGGACATAAGCCTTTTGGATTTAAACATTAGTGTGAGCACCTTAAATTAGGCCCAGAAAGAACCTGGAAACTAATGCAGCTGTTTTAGGACAGGGGCTATGTAAATCCTAAAGGCAACCCCAGCCACTTGACCGCTGCACTTTTGGACTACTTAAAGTTTCTGAGTTGTCTTCAAGGGTTGTCCCATGTAAAGCACACTGCAATAATCCAATCTGGAAGTTACCAGAGCGTGGAGTACCTTGGTCAAGCCATCTCCAGGTATAGGTAATGAGTTAAAATCTTGATGTCACATGTTAACTGTGAACATACTACCCCCTTGGGTATGCACTTAAGAGTAATTAATGTCAATCACAGCCACTACTTCATAATCATGCACTGAACAGTGAGGTAAATCACGTTACTCTGATTTTTTAATGTATTTTGCCATAGTTTCATTAGCTGCATAATTTAACATATATAGTAATGTCTTTTTTTATTATTATTCCTCCAAAGACCACTTGCACAGAACTTGTAAGGGTCGTTTAGAGTTCATTTAACAATAATTTGTTATTTATATATTATTTATATTTATTTTCTAATTACCTTTATATCCCACCTTTCCTCTAAGGAGCTCAACAGTTATTAGGTAACCAATTTCAAAGTTGTTTTGTTTAGTAAATACAAACAAAGCAAAAATGATGAATTAGATCACTCTCTCATCAGAAAACTTTCTGATGCAGACTGAAAAAAATCCAGATCCAAATTATCCTAATTTGTTTAGGAAAAATCTCCAGTTCTAAATTTTCCGGAAAACCCACATCACTGATTAAGATTAGTATTTTGTGTGATCACAATAGAACAATGGTTCCAAAGTTCTAGGTCTAGCACTACAGGTTTCCATGGCAATTGTGATTTGGTTCCAAGAGGACCAATTCTGCCCTCACAGTTCGCCAACTATTGTTTCATTTAAAGGTAGAACTAGATGTGGAACCACATCATGGCCATAAGGTGAGTTTTTTAGCTAGTTAGAACTCATTTGGTTGTTCTGTTACTGGGTTCTGTGTATGTTTATTTAAAAATTTAAGTCATAGAATTGTAGAGTTGGAAGGGACTACGAGGATCATCTAGTCCAGCCTCCTGTAATACAGGAATCTTTTGCCCAACGTGGGGCTTAAATCCACAATCCTGTGATTAAGTCTTGTGCTCTACCAACTGAGCTATTCCACTATGCACCATTGGTTTTTATACTTGCAAACTACTTAGACGCACATTCTGACATTAAGCATTACATAAATAAATATGTTGAACGGGACTCACTCCCAATGTGATTGTGCATAGAGATTGCCACCTGTTCAATTGGGCAAACTCCTAAGTGTGCACAGGACAGCAGCCTCCATCTCTCCCTCAGTTATATTGTCAAGGTGTACAGTTTGCATTCACAGTGTCAATATAAAACTGACATTTAATGTTATTTCCTTACCAGTACTAGGTAGATATTTATAGTTTAGATTGTATTTAATCAGCATAATCTATAAAGTGATATTGGCCCCCGGAAAGAATCACAGCATATTCCCTTTCGCACTAGAGGCACTGATGCATCTCTTTGGTATAATAAAAGTGACACCTTAAAAAGTTGCCACCCATGGCAAATAGTAATTCATTCTAGAGTGATAGCACATGAACTATGAGCAATTCCCACGAGGGTCTCCTGTGCTAGCCTCACTGAAATGGACTGGAGCACTTAATTCCCATTCATTTCAGTGCAGTTCATATGGGAGCGCACCATGCTCCATGTTACTAAGTAGGATGTGGGTTTATTTATTTATACACCACCCTCCCAATACCTTATTAGGACAGCTTGCTATTAAAAACAGCTTAACAATAACTTTTAAGGTAAGTTTCAAACACCAAATCTACAAAAGCAGTATACATATAATCCCCCTAGGGTACCAAATATCTTGAGCCAGCCCTGATGCTCATCCTTTCTGTTTTACTCTTGGAAAAGGCAATAGTAGCTGAATGTTAAGAATAGCAGAAGTTGTGGTCCTGCAACACACAGTCCAGCAGTTGATTGTAGTGGGTTTATGTCCAATCCATGATGAAGAAACTCTCGGGATCAAACTCAATTTACATCAGAATCGTCGTCTGACCACAATAGCATCACACTGGGTGGCTTTAGACTGGCTACTGTTTCTCAAGTCAGAGAACTGTAGTTGGATAGGATTCTGAGAGTCATCTAGTGTCCCTCCAGGGGGCCTAAACCACCAACCTTCTGTTAAAACAACCTGACACACTGACTCACTGTGCCACCAGATACCAGCTCCCTTAGTGTGCTGTACATGAACCATGTACACAACCCTAGAATCGTAGAACTGAAAGGGACCTGGACATCTCCCAAGGGTCATCTAGTCCAACCCCCCCTGCAGCAAGGGAGCGTAACAAAAACGAAAAGAGCAACTTAAAATATAAACAGGTGTGTGACCTGCGGAGAGGAAAAACTCATTTATTTACAATAATCCTGACCCCCTTTTGCCAAGATCGGTTTCGGACCGGTTCGACACACTTAAAATGATAGGCAGGAGGTGCATTCCTCTCTCGGGTTTAGACGGCAAAGCCGACCCAGGGCCAAAAGCTCCAGCAGCAGACAAACTCCCTGCATGGTCGGGGAGGCTCCTTCGGCTCTTGTGTACTGCACGTGCATAGCGGGCGGGCGCCCCCCCAAATCCCACGGCGCGCCTGCTCCGTCCCCCCCGGGCTTGCTTTCCTTTCGGCTCGGCGGCCTCCAGCCCGTTCTCACTGGAGGTTGCGGCCCAGGTACTGCAGGAACATGCTTCCAAGCTGCGGCAGGTCGCCCTCGCCTTCACCCGGGTGCATCTTGGCGTAGCTGAGGAACTGCCTCCGGAGCCGGCTCAGCTCCGCCAGGCTGACGGGCCGGGTCAGCAGCAGCCCCGGAGGCTCCCCGCCGCCGGCCTGCGACAGCCCGTCCACCGCGAGCGGCACGAACTGCCCCGGCTGGGCTCCGTTCCTCTGGGCGGCCATGAGGGCGGCCAGCACGTCCTGCGTGAGGCGGTCGAGGCGGTGCAGGAAGCCGGCGGCCTGCAGGGGCTGCGAGCGCGTGGACTGGTTGGGCGGCGGCGGGCGGCGCTCGAAGAGGGCGGCGCGGATCTCGGGCCAAGGCAGCGGCTCGGCGGGGTCGGCGGGCGCCACGAAGAGCGGCCAGTCCCAGCGGTGGCGCGAGTCGGGCGGCTCCAAGGGAGGCCGGTCCGGGCGGGCGGCGCCTCCCGGGCACAGGAGCACGCAGTGCGGCGTCCCCGCGTGCTTGCTGAGGCAGTACAGCTCGTAGCGGAAGCTCTTCAGCTCGGCGCCCGAGTCCACCAGCACCACGTCGCGGCGGCTCAGCAGGCGCTCGGCCTCCGCCCTCAGAGCAGCCCGGGCGACGCCGTCCCCGCCGCCCAAGTCGGCCTCGGCCACCACGAAGACGCGCCGCTCTGAGGCCTCCTCGGCGCTCAGCGCCGCCTTCAGCTCTTCGGCGCGCCGGGTCTTGCCGCTCCCCGGCAGCCCGCAGAGGACGACCAGCGGCATGGCTTCTCTCTCCGCCTCAGTCGCAAGCCGGGCCGGCTATCATCATCTTCCCCCTCAGGGCCTTTCTTCCCTGCACAAAAATGGCGGCGGAGGCGTTAATGTCGCCCTTAAGAAAGATGGTTCCCGAGAGAGATTATTCGCCCCGCCTTCCCGCTCTTCTTTGAATTGCTCTACGACGACATCTATCCACGGACCATAGAGATAGGGAAATGTAGAGTGTGGAGTCCTGTCTAAAGATGCTTCCAAACTCGCCTTTAGAGTAGAACTCGTCCCACGGAAATGGCAATTGATAGAAAACCACGAAGCAAAGTTTTTGGTCTCCGTCAGAGGAGAAATGGAACCTCTCCGTTTTCGCGCAATATCGGAGCGGGTTCTAAAGGGAAGAGTCCAAAGGAACCCGGAAGTCTTTCGTGTTCAGTAGGTCTATTTATAAATCTATGAGTGTCGGAGAGGGCAGCGTCTGTTGCGGAAGCCGAACTACAAGTCCCATGGGCCCCCGTGGAAGCCAAAGCGAGAGGGCCCTTCGTTACGTGAGGAGGGGAGGAGCGACCGTTAAGTCCGGCTTGTTTGGATACGGCTGCGCGGGGGAAGCCGGACCTGGAGCGCGTGTGGTGAAGGAGCCGCCGGCCACGGCCCTCTGAGATGAGCCCTCTGCGGGGCCGGCGCGGGGAGCAGAGAACCTACCGGGGCGGCCTGGCAAGGCAGAGGGCAGGTGTCCCCCCTGGAGGTAACGGCGGCGGCTCAGCCGGGTTGGGCGGCCTAAGGCTGGAGGGGGCCACCTGTGGCCCTCCGAATCATCCCCGACCACTGGCCGACACTGGCAACATGGGAGGGATTCGACAAGCTCGTGGAGGAAACGGCGGTCAGGGGCTGCACAACCCTGGTGCCTGTATTCCGCCTACAGCGTCAGAATTATTACCGAATTTGTATACCGCCTTTCATCTGCGGATCATAAGGCGGCTTGCAATATAAAAACGCCATCCTTCTGAAGGCTGCCTGTGGGGAGAGCGCTATTTCACTTGGATTTTCCTCCTCCTGGGCTTCCCACGCTGTTGGCCACTGTGACAACAGGATGCTGGACTAGGTGGGCCTGATCCGGCAGGCTCCTCTTAGGTTCTGAAGATCTGCAGGACCACAGGATCCCCACTCACCCGTGGCTGAAAGGCAGGTGTTGCCTTTGACACACTGCAGGTGTAGCTGAACTGCCTCTCCTGTCAGACCCAGCTAGCGTGGCAGGGGGTGAAGAGAGTTCAGCAACATTTGGAGGGCCACAGGTTTGCCACCCTGGTTTTAAAGGGTGGCAGTGAGGAGGATTAGGGCCTCCTGTGCTTACCTGTCCCGTGAAAGATAGAGGGACATTTCTTGATTTCGACACTTTATATACCACTTGACGTCATCGTTTCGTGTAAATGTTGCTCAAATAATTACATTTGCACCCAGCCTTTCTTCTGTCATGAAAGGCAGCATACATGTGGTTTTCAGTTATTGTACTTGGCACTGACCAGACCCAGATCTGCATAGCTTCAGCAAAGTGCCTTCAGTCATACCCTGGAACTTAGTACTCTTTGGAATACAAGTCTAAACAGCTATTGATCATGATAGCTAAGTGAAACTTCCATATGCAGAATGTGTACCTCTTGAGTATTAAGATGCTAGGAGCAAACAACAGGAGAGGATTGCTGCCTTCATGTCCTTTTATGTATGTATGTATGTATACATACACACTAACAAAGAAATGATCTTAGGATTTCAGTGTTACACATTTTGCTTTGCTGACAAAACATTTAGACAGGAAAACATCCATTAATGAGGAGTCCAGAGATAAGCCCATTAATGTTTCTGTATATATATGTATAAGATCTAAATATATAGACATTGCAGGTAGCTGTGTAATGTGTTAGAAAAATATATTCAGAAAGTAAAAATCAGGGTAGGAGTAAAGCTTTCTGGGATCAACTAAAAAGGCACAGGAGCAGAAACTGATATGGTGGGCATGGATGTGTAAACAAGTTAGTAGCTGATTGAACTTGAGCATTAGTGAATATGTTTGGTATCTGCCAGTCATTCTCAAACTGTGTGCTTTCTGTTTCACTTCTTCTGCTTCTCTATCAGACTTCCTCAACCTCGGCCCTCCAGATGTCTTGAGACTACAATTCCCATCATCCCTCACCACTGCTCCTGCTAGCTAGGGATCATGGGAGTTGTAGACCAAAAATATCTGGAGGGCCGAGGTTGAGGAAGCCTGTTCTATTTGGCAAAACTGCTCAGCCTTGTGTCATAACCAACCTTACCTGGAAACACAAAGCAGCATAAAGCATTTGCTCATTGCAGCCTAATGTGTTTTTGGTAGAGACATCTAAGATACCAAAGCAAGGTCTGGATCATAGCTAGTGGACAGAGTTTCTTTTCTCCTGAAGAAAAAGTAATGCCCTTCCTTATTTAATGAGATTAAATATTTGTAATTTGAGGATAAAGCCAATTACAGACTTCAAGTAATGGAGGAGTGTAATGTTGCAGCATCCGAGATCAGCCAGCAGGATGCAGTTTCCAGACAGGAAGCCATGTTAGTCTGTTGCAGTAAGAACAAGGCCTTTGTCTAGTTGTCATTTCTGTATATCTCACAGCAAAGGATCTTTCCTAACATTGCTTTCTTTCCAGATATCCCATGCTGCCCCATCGTGTACAGAGGCTCGGCAGAGATTGGGTTTGCCACTGGAATGTTGCTCAGAGACTCTTCCGGGATGGTCAAGCTTTCCAGCATATGAAGAGAACCACATCCTGTTTTGGGGCTTGTTACTCACCCTTGAACCCTTGGGATTGCCCAGGGAGCTGTAGGCTTCCTCTGCTCTGGAGCACACAGTTTCCTAGCCTCATACAAAACTCTTCCATTCATCTCTGTGCTACAATGAAAGCTGAGGGAGATGAGCCATGTGCAAAGCGAAGAAGACATAGTGGGGATCAGGACATTTGTCACAGCCCTAATGAAAAACTGTGTACCTCACCTTCAGATGAAACATCCTGGTCTCCACCTCAACTTCAGTGTAGAGAAGAAAGCACTCCAGAACCAAGAGGTATGGTGGCATCTCACTCCCTTGATCCTTTGCTCTTAATATTTACAGGGTTGTGTTACTTATTTAGGAGAAAAGAGAGCCCATGGGTTCTGGGGTGCCTTGGTTCAAGTCCCCACTCGGCCATGGAGCTTACTTAGTGAGCTGGTCAATGTCTCTTACCTAACCTACCTCATCGGATACTTGTGGTGCCTAGAATTCCTTGGAGAAAGGATGATGTAAAAGTGTGATATTATTATATATGCTGAATTCAACTTGCTCAGAAATCACACATATTCGGTTTATGGTCCTATGAACAAGCTGTTCACACCTTTCCTTTGCTCTGTTGACAACAGCTGATGAAATAAGCCAACAAAATTTATTACAGTGATCATTTTTGTTGTTGTTGCCTGCACTTCCAGGCCTGCCAGAGAGGAGGTGAAGTCCCCTCCTTCATATCCTGCTTGGGTACACAGGCTACTAGCAACATGCGGTGCTGCCTTATATTGAGTCAGCAGAGGTTGAATGGCCATCCGTCATGGTTGCTTTTGCTGAGATTCCTGCATTGCAGGGGGTTGGACCAAATGACCCTCAGGGTCCGTTCTAGCTCTACAATTCTGTGATTCATTGGTCCATCTACTTCACTGCTTTCCACGCAGCAGCTCTCCAGAGGCTGAAGCAGGAATCCTTCTCAGTCTTACCTGGAGATGCCAGGGATTGAGCCTGGAATCATCTGCATACAAGGCAGATGATGCTCTGCCACTGAGCTACTAGTTTTTTAGGCTAATAATAATAATATCTCTACTAAGTGGACTGGTGAATGATGAATGGCTCATTCTATCCTACTATTTTGTGTCCCCCACCACCATCCTGCTTCATTTTCTTGCTGCCAATTGACAATTTTATGCTGTTTCTGAAGCACAAAGCCCTGAACAACTTGGAACCAGTATACCTGAAAGTTCACCCCACCCCTTATATCCCCAATTAATCATTGTGCTCTAGAGGTGAGGGCCTCCTTCAGGTACCATCTTATCAAGATGTCCATTCCGCACAGTGCAGGAATCAGGCTTTTATTGTTGTGGCAGTTGCTCTTTGGAAATAACTTCCATTAAATATTAGATGTTGTCATTTCAGCACTTACTGAACTTTCCTCTTTCAACAAACCTTTTAAGGAAAGATCATTCCCAGTTTGTGTCAGTATCTTGAATTGTTTTTAGATGTTTTAATTGGCACATTTATCGTGTGTTTGCCACCCTCTGCTCCTCTGGGAGGAAGTGCAGGAAATAAAAGGAAGACGATATTTTTGTTTCTTCACAGCTAGTATGGAGACCAAGCAGGCTGGTGAGGGAGGCATTTTTGCAATGTGTCTGTTGTTATTGTTCAGTTTATGTGTCATTTTCAAACATAAAGAAGTGCTGAAGCAACTCAACAGCAATTCAGTACCAAAAATAGAACATACAAGTAGAATATCAATTGAATTTCACCAACAAAAATTAATCACAAAATAGAAGAATCCATCCTCCACCAGCCCACTCATTTGCCTGCATCCAGCAAGTTGTTTATTACAACTTTTATGTTAAATTCCACTCCTCAGCAGAGTCCTGTTTATTGCTATCCCAGGGTTTTCTTGTTGTTATTATTTTCTTCCTACTTTCTGTTATATACTAAAGCTGCTCCTGAAAGAGATGAGTCTCTTTTGCTACTATTGTTGTTAAACAATTCAAGAACAGAGGTACTTCCTATTTAAAGAGGTGCAAATGTTATTGCCAAATTACTAGAAGTCCTGCTTAATGAAACACTTAAAATTATTATTCTTATTTTAAACACTTATACCCCAACCCTCAGAAAGGTTTCCCAAAAGAAAGATAAAAATGCAGCAGTTCAACAAAATTATCAAAAAGAAAAGGCTTTAGCTTGCTACCTCCTAGATTTGTCTGAGCAGAGGAATACCTAGGCAGAGCTCTACAACTAAGAAGGCTGCCTCGCTGATCAGTACACACCTGATCTCAGAAGGGGAACAGGCCCTAATGCAGATCTGGACAGTTCATTATTTAATTAGTAGGCTCCCCAAAACAGGACTTAAATTGTTTTATACAGGACTTTAAAAGCTCAAGTCAAAAGTATGAATGCAAACAATCCGCCACTCCTGGCCTGGTTGTTGTGTTTCAGCAGGTGTGGTCAAAAGACACTGGGAATACTTTTGCCAACAAAGTAAAAAAATGAAGGTTCTTGAAGAGGATAAGCCGATCAACCAGGATCATCAAGACACACTGGAGAAGTTTGATTTCACCGTAATGTCGTACAACATCCTTTCCCAAGACTTGTTAGAAGACAACTCTCACCTGTATAGACACTGCCAACGGCATGTGCTAGCCTGGAACTATCGTTTTCCCAACATTCTCGCAGACATCAAACGGCTGGATGCAGATGTAAGTGGGAAGCTAACCTTATAGCTGTCAATAATAAAGAAATCCATAGGAAGACAAATCTTTTACAGACTGTAAGCCAGGCATGAGGATCCTTTGGCCCTCCAGATGTTGCTGAATTACAACTGCTATCATCCCTGACCATTCAACATGCTTGCTGAGGCTCATGGGAATTGTAGTTCATCAACATCCAGAGGCCAAGAAGTTCCCACACCTGCCATAAGTGAGCATGTGGTTATTTCATGCACTTCATGTTTAGCTATAGTCAACATGCACCTGGTGCCATGTCTCTCCATTCAGATTCCTTCTAAAAAAACCAACCCTTTTTAACCTGGTCTTATTTTCTTACAGCCCAGTCCTTTGCATGTTTCTTTGGAAGTAAATCATTTTTAGTTCAAGTGAATATAAAATTGCAGCCTTTGGCTGAATGACGTACGACGGGATTTACTTCCAATAAGACATGCATCGGTTTATAACGTTAATTTTCCTTTTAAAGGCATGTTGATCTCACTGGCAGAGCTAACCATGCTCGTCAGGAATCAGCGTGGCTTGAAAATGCTTGAATTTGCCTGAATCGTACCCAGTTCTTAACAATACATAATTTTACTATTAAATAACCTAAAATTATTTTCAGTTGCAGTATTACCATTATTATTTCTTCTTAGAACTGTTACTGAAAGTTGTAAGCCAGTTTCTAAAATTTTAAAGTCAGCCTAGTTATGTTGGGAAGTATGCTACTTGTTGATCAGCTGTTTTCCTCCCAACAGGTACTTTGTTTGCAAGAGGTACAAGAAGACCACTACAGAATAGAGATCAAGCCAAGTTTGGAAGCCTTAGGTATAAACTGTCCAGTATACATGTCAAACCACCACCACCCACCCACCCCACTTTCCCCAGCTTACCTCCCTACAGTCCACTGATTCTGGCCATTTTAACTCCAGCCCATCTCCATGAGCAAATAGACAGAAAGCAGGAAGGTAAGGGGAGAACCAAGGTACAGCCTTGCCAGTAGACCATGTACTTATCTCCCCAACCCTCCATAAGCCAAATCTGACAGGCAGGCAGGGTTGGGACTTCTGTGGATAATCACAGTGCTTTGAGGTGCAATGAATCAGCAGTCTTAAAGTCACCACCTGTCAGCTGATTGGTGATGACTTCAAGCCTGCTTTCCAAAGGGGTGGGCTGTGCAATCAAGTTCCTCACAATGAATTCAACCACACAGCCAATCCAGTTGTATCTTTACCTGTCGCACACTTGATGTGCAAGTACGGGGCAGGTGTGCATGGTTTGGTGGAAATAGCCTCATGCGCCATATTTGGCCTTTGGGCAGGAGATTCCCCACCCCTGCTATAAGAGGTAGAACCACCCCACCCCTGCTGTGTAGCTGAGGGACGGGGAAGCTGTGGCTCTCCAGATGTTGGACTCCAACTCACACCTTCCCTGACCATTGGCTACGCTGGCTGGGGCTGATGGGAGTTTTCATCGAACAATTTGTGGAGGACCACTTCTTCCCCATCCCCGGCATACAGCCCAATGGACCAGAACATATTAAACATGTGTACTTAAGAGGATAAAGGAGACACATTTTGAAGCACCTTTTTTCTCCCTTCCCCAGGCTATCATTGTGAGTACAAGATGAGGACAGGAAGGAAGCCAGATGGCTGCACCATTTGCTTCAAGGCCTCCAAGTTCCATCTCCTCTCTTCGAATCCAGTGGAATTCTTTCGTCGCAACATCCCCCTCTTGGACAGAGATAACGTGGGCCTGGTGGTTCTCTTGCAGCCTCTTTTTTCCTGCAAGGCCCCCTCAGCCGCCATCTGTGTGGCCAACACACACCTGCTGTATAACCCAAGGCGGGGGGACATTAAGCTCACCCAGCTTGCCATGCTGCTGGCGGAAATTACCAGCGTGGCTATGCAGGAAGACGGGCGTTTCTGCCCCCTCGTCATCTGCGGGGACTTCAATTCCGTCCCTCACTCTCCCCTGTACAATTTCTTAAGGGAAGGCAAGCTGAATTACGAAGGACTGGCGATAGGGAAAGTAGGTAGCCATTTGTCAAGTTGGTGTGTAAAGAAAAAAAATATATGGGTAGACAACACGCAAAAGACAATGTCCCTGCCACCCACCCCTATAACATTGTGGGGTTTCCATGATGATAATTTGTATTGCTGTTCTTTCTAAAATATGCTGTGTGGTCCAAAGCCAGTGCAGGTATGAGGTTTTCAAACAGTGTTCTTAGGAAGTAGTTGGTTGCATCCATGAATAATCTTCTGGAGCTTCTAGCCCACAGGAGGGTGGAAGACATTCCAAGGCCCACCATGGGACTGTGGTGAGGCCAACGGTTTTAAGACACTGTGAGTGCCTTAGAACATGCCTTTGCGCCTCCTCTTCCTGTGATGAGCAGGGGTTCTGTGTCAGATGCTGAGGAGTTCTGCAGTAGACAAGGTGATGCGGATGTAGGATATGTTCTCTGAAGAGTAGAACTTTTCAAAGCATTGCTTTGGTCAGGGGTGGTGAACAGCGTTAGAAACTCCCATTGTTCTAGGTGCATTTTGTGACAGGGAATTTCATTAGCGCGAGCAGTTTCTGAGCTCTGAGCGCAGTACTGAGCCTAAGATTTCAGATTAAAACTGCCACTGCTGGAAGAAAAGGAGGGCCTTTTTCTGCCTCCCCACTTCCAGCCACTCTCTGAAGACTGGAGAAGGGACCCTCATAAGAATATGAGGGGGGCGAGCAGGGGAAGTATGACTTTGTTTTTTGCAGTCTTCAGATGAGGACTAGACCATGTGAAAAATGAGCATAAGATTTTAGCTGCAGTTCATTCTTTTTCAGTTTTGTACTCTTGTTAAAAAAAGGACACCTAAACACTCCATTGCGGTGCCCATAACCTATGTTTAAGGTGCCATTTAGCTCCTAGCTTTCATATCTCAGTTTTTAACACTGGTGGTGAACTGCATTTAACCAGCAGACCGAATCATTCTCTCTCCTGCCCCTTCTGGGCCAGGTCTGACAGGTTGCTAATGGGGCCACCCACTTGTTTATCACCTGATGTCTCCTGGCATCAGGTGACCCTTTTTTGCCCACATGGACTTTGCAGAGCAATTTGCAAAGTACTCCACATGACTCATCAGTCAGCTGATAGTTTGGTCTTGTTGAGCCTCTTTCCAAAGGAAGACCCAAGAGTATTGTGGAGTGCTTTTCATATCGCTTTGCAGGTGCTGCTGATCAGCTGATTGGTAGCACAGTAAATTAAAAATCATCTGGAGCATAGTTGCTTTTGCATGATATAGGGGTGGTACCAATTTGTGTGTGTGCACGTGCACGCACACACACATACGAACATACAAACACATAATAAATGTAAAGTAATTACATTTTTGCCAGCTCTCTCACCAACTAGACTCCAAAACTGAGTACTTGTGGCGCAGGAGTTCTTTTATGGCTCAAAAAGTGGCTAAATGGGAAGCCAAAAATTAAAAATATATGTGGCAGCTCTCACAATAGTAGAAATAAACTGTTGGGTCATTGAAAGGATTTGTGTTAAGACAGGTGCTCTTTAACATTCAAAACTAATCCAGAGTTGAGAGTGAATAGTAAGGTCATGCCAGTTTATCTTGAAGGCTAAAATCCCAAGCTAACTGTGAATTGCCATGAAATAGCTCTGCAAGCTAGATGGCTGAACCTAAGACTACAGTCCTAAAATCATTTATCTAGAAGTAAGTCCAATTGAAGTTAATGGGGCTTTCCTCTGAGTTGACATTTTTAGGTTTGTAATGTAAATGACTTCTATGTAGGTGGGTTCTGGGTTACAGCAGAAATCAGTTGGGCATCTTCTAGAAATGCACATATTTCTCTTTGGTTGTTTTGTTTTGTTTCTTGCTTTTTAAGGTGTCTGGCCAGGAACAGTCCCCACGGGGCAATAGGATACTCACTATCCCCATTTGGCCTCAAAGCCTTGGCATTTCTCAGGACTGTATGTATGAGGAGCAACAGAAGCAGCTAGAAAAAGAAAGAGGTAAATTTCAGAGCAGATAACCCAAGTGTTTTCCCAAAAGGTTACTTCCCCTCAGATGTTTACAGCTGAATTTAACCTAGCAGTTCCTTCGTGTGTCATTTCAGCAATTCAGTCACATAATGCTGGCAGTTCAAGTCCTACAGGCGCTGTCTGACCCCAGAGAAGCTAAAAATATAAAGTCACTGGGAATTCATCAGTGGGTGAAAAGTTTTTGTGGATGTTTACAAAAGCCTTAGAAGTGATTTTAGTAGAGTTGACTGGTCACATTGGTTCTTCCCAAGCGCTCATCTGCAGGTCAACTCATGAGCAACTTTTGGCTGAATGGATAAGCAGCAGCTGTAGTTCTGTGTGCACTCTCCCATTATAGGGTAGGAGCCATAGCTCATACACAGATCACCTGTTTTGCAGGTTCAATTCCTGCCATCTCCAGTTATAGAAGGATCAGATAACAAAACAGGGGTGGAAGATGTCTTGCTGGTGACTTTGCTATCAAGCAGACTAGATAATACTGGACTCAATGAACAAATGGCCTGATCAGGTATAAGGCAGCTTCCTGTGCTTCTATGATTGCTGCTGTTGGTTTTTTCCAGAGAGAAAAGAGACTAAAGAAGGAAGCTTGGAAAATTCAGAAGAGGTCGTAACAGTGGCAAAACGGTAAATTTTGACATCACTGCGGTTGTCAGCTTGTTTGCAGGCATCAGCTACTACAACTCTGGACCTGTATAAACAGAGAGCTGAAAGTTTTACTCACTAAAATGCTATATGTGCACTCCCTACTTCATCCTCCAACACACCAAGGAAGAAGAAATTGGAAATTTGCAAACTGGCAAGGGTTTGTGAATAACCAACATATGGTGGTTAGGGTTAACCATGGTTTGCAAGACCAACCCCAGTACAAAGTTGGCTTGTTCAAAGAAACCATAGTTACAACCATATTTTGGCCTGGTTTGGATGCAACAGTAAATGCTTCCGATCTCCTTATGGCCATGCTGATGGGATAAAGGAGAGCACACCATCCAGGTCTTGTGCCCCTATTACTAAACTGGTTTTGCCTTTGGTCTGAGCAAAGCTGTAGGTTAACCTGGATATAATTCTTGGCAATATAATTGCACCAAAACTTTGCAGATGCTGTCTTAGAGGCTTTGTTCTGTGCGATATGGGAACTGGGTCTTTGGAATTGCTTCTAAGATACTGGATACTATTTCTAAGATATTTTTCATTGTTTGATCTCTTGTTGTTTGTTACCCTGGGTTTCTTTGGGAGGAAGGGCAGGATATAAAATTAACAAAAGAATAAAATACAGCATTGTATGAAGGACATGGTTTAGGCTATGTCCACTATGAAGTGGATGAGGAGCAATAGCAGGACAAATGTTTCCATTGTTAAACAATCATGTCTCACAAATGCGTTGTTCTTGCCCTGCCTTGCTGCAATAGCATTCTCAGTATGGATTGTCATGTCAAAGTGTGGGGCTTAGGTACAGAAAACAGAGCAGCTCTGGGCCAGATGGACAATTGTGGGTGGAACATCTGAAACATCAGTAACCTGGTGTAAGCATGGCCTCATCTGTGATCCTTTGTCTCAGCAGACGCTGGTGACTTCTGAAACACTTCTCCCGTTTTAGGTCACCCACATATTTGCACCACAGTTTTCCCTTGTCTTCGGCCTACACTCATTATCTGCCAGACAGCGGAACCCCAGAAGTCACCACTTGCCACTCCAGGAGCGCAGTCACTGTGGATTATATCTTCTATTCTGCAGCAAAGGAGAACACAGCTGCAGAACCAGGCAAGTGACTCTAGAGCGAGATAGGTGACTAATGATTGGCTAGGTGCTTACCCAGTCTGTACAATGAGCAAAAATTTCTAGTACAGTAGAGCCTCTTTAAAGCACCCACACATAAACACACGTGGCTTTGTCGCTTCCAGATGTTCTTTATTCCACATTCATAAAATGCTAATACTAAGAGAAGGGACTTGATTCGGACAGAAGACCTCTCTTGATTTTCAGTGCTGACTGAACAAACAGCTCAGTCCACAGCTTAATATAGAAGCTGCCTGGCTAGCTCAGACAAGGCTGTATTCTCTACCAGAAGATTTATCACCACTTAACTACTTGCGTTTGTAGCCTGCGCCAACAGATCTTCTTTGCATCATTGTCTTTGTAATGCTGACTTCCCTCCCTACACAGTTCAGTTTCAGGCTTTCCAGTGGATCACAAATAAACCAGCCCAGCCTGTTCCTATGCATTTAACATAAACTGGATCTATAGAGATGAGCAAGTAGAGCTTCTCACTACTAAGAGATACCACATTTCCATTTAATCTCTAAAGATCAAGCTGCTTGAAAAGGCACAGGACCAGTTTGTTTTTTTAAAGTTTACAATTCCAGTGTGGCAAAGCCTGTGCTCACGTTATTACATGCATTTTACCTGACGACATTGTACCATGTGGAAGGTTACTACTTCTTTTAAAAAAAAATAATCAAGCAATAGCAGTTACAGCAAAAGCTCACCAGATGGTGCCATAATGTTAAAAGTGCCTTCAAGCTGATCTCCTTGGTGGATAAGTCAGGACTGAAGCTTGTCTTGGTTGCACATATTCAGTGCTGTGCATCTTTGCAAAATCCACTGGATGGAATATTAAGTCTGTGTTTGTTTAAACTGGGGTGATCAAGAGAACTAGCAGGACATAATTGGCCAAGAGACTGTGATGCGAACAAAGAAGTTCTCCCTTCAGATTTCAACCCAGTGATGAAACTGACCTTAGGTAAACCATGTTATATTTGGGGAAGGATCACACTCCCCCCCCACACACACACACGCATACACACACCTGGGAGTTAAATGGAGAGTTGGTGTGGCAGAGTGCCTAACACACTGAACTATGAAATAAGTAGATCATGTAGCTTTCCCCAGCCTGATGTTGGAGTACAGCCTCCATAAGCCCCAGCCAGCATGACCCAATTGTCAGGAATAGGGCATTAAAGTCCATATTATTTGATGGGGAGCAAGTTGTGGGGAAGTGTGTGTGAAGCGCTTACTTGAAAGCATCATATAAATGTTCAGTATTGTTTACATTGACTTGAAAGTTCCCCAGAATGCAGTGTCTGTAAAGACCAATAAAGGAACTGTGATTCCCTGCTTGCTTATTTCAGAACAGCATGATGATGCATCCAGGCCCTGGTGCCAGCTCAGTTGTGATGTAATTTACGTGCTTATGAACCTCTCTTCAAACCTCTGGATTGTCCACAGGCACCTGAAAGCCTCTTCTTTCTGTTGCAGGAGCTGAACGTGCCTTTGACGGACGCCTGAACCTTCTTGGCCGATTATCACTAGTGACGGAAAGAGATCTCTGGGCTGTCAATGGGCTTCCCAATGAAACCATCTCCTCTGACCATCTCCCTCTCCTAGCCAAGTTCAGGCTGGAAGAGTAACACCAAAATAACGATGACCCACCTGTCTTTTATCGTTCCACTTTCCTTTTCCTTAATTCTACATCATCAAAAGGGACTGGAGAGTGCATGCCTCCTTGATGGGTTTTAAATACAGGTATATATATATATTGTAAATTATCACAGCTACTCAGATATAAAAAAAGCAAATTGGAGTTTTACAAATTGGGATTCCTTTTTTAATAATGGAAAGTATTTGTGCCGTAATTTTTTAAAAATACATATTTACTTTTCATCAAAGAGATGGTATAAAGTGCTTTTTAAAACAGAAACGATGATCATATTTTTATTTCTTAATATTTTGATTCTCACCCTTCCTCCCAAAGGAGTCCAGGGCAACAGTCAACAAGGCAGCAAAAAATAAAATAAAATAAAACAAGTAAAAGCCATCACACTTCCTTGCAGCTATAGCTTTCATGGAGCTCCCTTAATCCTACAGGCAAGCATTTCTTCTAGACATTGATTTGTTTTCTTCCAAGGAGATGGGCTTCACTGTATCTTTACCTCCTTTCATCCTCTGAGTAGCCTAGAGAGGTGTGTGTGATGATGAAAGAGAACCCCTTTCTACTATCTGGGCTTTCAGGGCTGTGCCTGGGATTTGAACTTGAGTTTCTGACATCTAAGTCCAGCATTTGTGGTTGCGGCCATGTTCCTAGAGGGTCTTCACCCCAGTTTGCTTTTATGATATTCCCTAAAGGTCTGACTACCTATTCTGACATTGGCAGTGGGTTGGGTGCCTGTTTCTCGAACCTGTGTCCATGGAGCTCATAGTGGCAGTGGTGCAAAATGTATTTTTCTATCATGTAAACAGCCTGAGGCAAAGGGTCAAATATCAGGAAATCCTGCTTCATGAATTGTGCAAGATACAGTTAGGCCTTGAGGGCAGTTGTGTGTGTAAAAATGGAAAGGGTGTTTCTGTCCCTGGCACAGAGCCACAGCGATTTGCAAAGCCACACCTATTTAATATTTGCCTTGCAAATAAATCTAGGGCAGCCGTATCACCCATCAACTTAGACCTTGATTTCTACTTTTGACTCTGATAGCCTAGAAGCAGGGGCGGGGGCGGACCCTGAATGAAGTACCTTCCCAGTTTGGCTAGTTGGCCTGGTTCCCTGTAAGCAATTTATTGATCATCACAGGTGAGCGGCTGTTGACAAGTCTGGCCAGTTACGCAACTGTGAGCTGCAAGGAGAGCAAGGAGGAAGATGGCAAGGTTGCACAGGCAGCTTTGCTAATTCAATGGGAGCACAGTCAAGCCCTTTGCTTGGCAGTTCTGCTGTATTCTCCGATTACTTTGGCCCTCGGAAGCCGTTCTTCAGCACAATATCCCTGCAGGTTTTGCTGACTTTAAGTTTATTTTTTAAAGGGGAAGAGAGAGCTCAGAGTAGCTAATTAACTGCACACGAAGCGATGAGGAATACACCTGAGATAACCTTTGCATTTGGCAGAAAACCAAACACCAAGACTGCATTTCTCCATAGGTTTGAAACAAACAGATGGAAGCACAGTTCATTAGTTTAATCATCCAAATACAGTCGTAACTTGTTTCTCGAACGAAATCCGTTCCAGAAGTCCGTTAGATTTCTGAAAACATTCGAAAACCAAAGCACAGCTTCCAATTGGCTGCAGGAGCTTCCTGAACTCAAATTTGAAGCTGCTCTGAACGTTCGGCTTCCAAAAAACTTTCACAAACTGGAACACTTCTGGGTTTGTGGCGTTCGGGAGCCGAAACGGACGAATACCAAGGCGTTTGAGAACCAAGGTACGACTGTATAGTTATAACTGTACTCTGCAGTGCAGCTTAAAAAACAATCCTCATTCTAATGGCTTAATAGAACACACGCAAGACATAGACAGCAGCCATATAGCGAGTCAGACCATTGGCTTGTCTAGCTCAATATTGTCTACGTGGCTCTCCAGGGTTTCAGGTGGGATATGAACGTAAGAAGAGTCTACTGGATCAGACCAATGGCCCATCTAGTCTAGCATCCTGTTCTTACCATAGCCAACCAGATGCTTGTGGTAAGCCCTCAAGCAGGACCCAAGCATAAGAGCATGACACAGTGTAATATGTCATGTACTGTAGTGGTGTTCATCTGAGCTTGTTTTTACCTACCGTATATTTCGCCCTATAGGGCGCACCGGCCCATAGGGCGCACCTAGTTTCAGGGGGGGGAATAAAGGAAAAAAAATTATTTCCCCCCCAGGCGCGGGGCTGGGGCGGGGGAAGCCCGAGCTTCCCCAGCCCCCAGAACAGGCTGCTATCTGCAAGCCTTGGGAGCCCGGCGGGAACTCCCGCCGGGCTCTCCAGGCTTGCGGATATCTGCCCGAAGCCCAGGGTGCGCTGCTCAGCGCGCCCCAGGCTTCGGGGTGCAGGCTGCTATCCGCAAGCCTAGGGTGCCCGGGAAAAGTACGTCCTATAGGGTGAAAAATACGGTAATTTTAAGACCTGCTAAGGAACAGGTGATAGTTATTATTTCCTCATATGTAAAACCACAGAATTCAAAGAGGGTATACTTTCTGTTCCCCATGACTGTGTTGTTGTTGTTGTTGTTGTCGTCGTTGTTGTTGTTGTCGTTGTTGTCGTCGTCATCGTTTAGTCATGTCCAACTTTTTGTGACCCCATGTACCAGAGCACGCCAGGCACTTCTGTCTTCCACTGCCTCCCGCAGTTTGGTCAAACCTGCAGTTTGGCCAAAGTATTAGAGCCTCAGCTTCAGGATCTGTCCTTCCAGTGAGCACTCAGGACTGATTTCCTTAAGAATGGATAGGTTTGATCTGAAATAAGGATGGAGCTATGTAGAGGCACTGGCTGGCTTTGAGATTTTTTCCTGCATCGTGATTTTGGCCAGGGCGCCTGCTCTTGTGATTCACTGCCCCCTGCATGAGGCAGGGGAGAGCTGCATTCATTCATGGTTTTTCCCACTTTGCCAGGTCAAATATTATGAAACAGTTATCACAATATGGGTTTCAAACTAGTTTTGGATGATATATCAATATATTTTCCAGCTCTAATTGCTGGACTACAACTCTCATAATCCCTGATGCACCTGGCCTCTCAGGCTGGAGCCAAGGGGAGCTGGAGTCCCAGAACATCTGGAGGGCCAGAAGTTCCCCACACCTTACATGCAACAAGAGCTACGCATATGTTTTCAATCCTGCTGCTGGGTCTCTGCAAAGCTTGGATAGGACACTGGCCCACTGATCTTGCTAGACTACAACTCCTATCATCCCTGAACATTGGCCTTGCTGGCTGGGGTTGATGGAAGTTGTAGTCCAAACCACAGGTAGAGGACTTCCCCTTTCTTTTAAAGAAAGAGCCTTTCTTTAAAAAGCAGTAACCCCGCTGATCACCTGGTTGGAGAGCTGGATTTAGTTCTTCTTCCTGTTGTATTGTTTTAATGTTTTTGTGTTTGCAGCTCTGGGCTCCTTTGGGAGGAAGGGCGGGGTAGAAATTCAATAAATAAAATACTTGGCACAATTACTGCATTAAAAATATGCAGCTCAGCTGCATCAGGACCATTTGGTGTCTCATCAGATTCTGTCACTGTGGGATAAGTTGTGTTTCTTTAAAAAATAAAAATCACAAGAGGCTATAAAAAAACCCAAGACTTCCAAGATATTTTATTAAAGTTCCATGCTGCACTAAACATACAAATGATGAGAAAAACAAAAAAAGAAAAAGAAATCATGCACATTTCTCACCCAGAACAGCATTTGACAAAAAATTATGGCAATAGAGAAACCTAGTCATTGAAATCACAGTTACTAAGTTTTCAAAATTGCAGGTTTGTGTTGTGATAGAATAGGATTCATCTGTACGTAAGGAAAATGACGCCTGGATACAAAATAATTCATCCACATTAGAAAAGTTTCATTGGGAGGTTTGAACCAGGGCGGGGGGAGGGGGCTAAATCCAGATTCACACCATACAAATAAAGCAGAACCAACACACATTTAAAACAGATAGCTTCCACCCCATAAATCCTGGGAAACTGGTTTATTAAGGGTTTGGGGAACCAAAGCTCAATGAGAATAAAACTACAGTTCCTAGGATTCTTTGGGGAGGGGGGTCCGTGTGTGCTGAACGTACTTTAAATGGATGGTGCAAACCCTGGATGGTGTGTTCATCTCAAGAACTAATGCAAGTAAAGTTCATGATGGAGCATGCCCCAAACACTTCACATATATTAGAGACATCCATTATAGTACTTTAGAAAAAACAGAGAGGAAATCCAGACTCAGAATGTAACTTGTTTCCCACAGCACAGTAAGCCAGACTGGCTTAGCAAGCCCAGACAAGCATGGGGGTCCCAAGAGAAGCTTGCACCCAATCTGCTTCCTGGTCTTCCACTGCTGTGCTGAGCTAAACCAGGGTTTGTTGCAGCACATCAAACAGGGACCCATGGTTAAGCTCACTTTGTCCTCGGCGCAGCATGATCGTAAAAAGGACCAGGGAACAGCAAACTCCTCCAGTAGCCCCCACACTCAGATGGTCTCACTAAGCCATAGCTTGGCTCATTTAATCATGTGAACCAGCTCTTCGTATGGCACACAGCCTCTTTTTTATTTAATTTTTAAATCCAAACACTGCATTTCACTGCTACAAAATCACCGCAATAAGAAAAGTGTCACATTAATCAGCCCTCAGTGGTACTTAACACTTATGGGGGGGGGGGGAATTCTGCCCTTTAGATTTTCGACAGCAGTTCTCTTCAGGCATTTAGGGTGAAGGGGTGTGGGCTAAAAAACAAGAACTCGGGCAGGAGAATGAGCACCTAAGCCATGCTCCAGCCTACCCCAAGCACACAGAGTCCACTTCAGAACTTCTGTGCTGAGATGGAAGATCTGAAAGGATCTTCTAAGCATGCTTGGAGAACGTGGGAAGATCTCATGCGGAGCTCGCCCAGGCCAGCATGTTGGGGGCGGGGCATGCATGAGCATGTGGGGGTGCCAGGGGCAGGACATGTGCTCACACCCCTGCCCACCCTCCACTTTTAGCCTACACACATTGGTGTGAACGCCCAATGAGGCTAAGGCAGCCCTTATCCATGGATGCTCTCCAGATCTTCCTGGGCTACAATTCCCATCGTCCTTGGTCACAGGCCATGCTGGCTGAGGCTGATGGGAGTTGTAGTCCAAGACATCTGGATGAGGAAGGCTAGGCTTTTCAGGAATACAGTCACAAAGCAGGAAGTCCACTGAGCCTCTCCCTTCAACCCGCTGGCTCTCAGCAGGGGCTACACTGCGGTGAGGCCCTGCGACACACCTGGCCATTTCCTTGAATGTGAGATTCTTCCATGATTACACAGATCTGGTGCAGACACATCACTGCTGATCTCTTAACCTTAGTTAAGAGAGCTAGAGGAGAGTAAAAGCTGGTATGCTTCTTTCCACTGCTTCATCCCTTCTTTTGCTCTCCCTCCTTTCCCTTGTCATCATGCTCCTGGTTCCACATTAGGGATGGGCAAACGCCTCCATTCTGGATCTCTCCCTTTCTCATTTTCCCAATCTTAAATTCAGTTCTCTACATTCCTGCAATCTGGATTGTTTTTCAGGGGCGTGGAGAAATCCTCATAAAAATTAATTAACATTTTGGCGCAGATTTGTGTTTGATTTTGGCTAACATACACTTTTTTGCAAGCCATTTCCCCTTAAATAATGTTGATTCGTCAGGATGCAATCAACATTATTTAAGGGGAAGGCTGGTGGAAATTAAATCCGATAGGAAAGGTGAGAAAGGAAGAGAGTTTGCCAGAGGGTGTCGTGCTCATAGGCTGCAATCCTGTTACATGTGAATTTGGGATTTACCTCCAAGTCAGCATGCATAGGGTTTGAGGACAATGCAAATTTAAGACGTGTCGGCTCAGAAGAAAGACCCATGAAATTCCATGGGGCTTATTCCAGGGAAGACTGTATTGGACTGAAGCCACAGATCTCTTAACTGTGTTTAAAAGACCAGGAGTGTTATTCTGCATCAGGCCAGTCATCCAGTAGCCTGCTCCTCTCCAAACCACAATAAGCAAAATAAAAATAAAAATCATTTGTCCAAATGCAAGGTGCATTCTAAAAGACAATTCCTTGGCCAGGGGTATCTTCCCTCATTCATTTTTCTCTGACTGCACTCCGTACAGATGGCTGTTTTCCCCTAATACTTTGGCCATAACTGCATACAGGATGTCTGATCTTAATATAAGATGCCAAGACATCATCAGCTTGGAAGTATCCATCCTTTTGAAGACTATTATTATTAATCATAATATTATAGGCATACAAACAGAGGAAGAAGAGTACATTCTTGAGGGAAGCCCATAGATTCTGACATTATTTTTAAGAATGTTCAACACACATACCTGATATGACTGTCACTACAAGGCTTATCTGTACAAAACAGCCATCTATGGTTCTTCGGCGTGATCCAAAGGTCCCTAGGGCTCTGCGGCACAAGCCGGACACCCTAGTCTTGTCTCCCTTGGGAATGCTCCCCAAGCATAATGGGGAATGCTCATCACATGTGCAGAGGACTCACCATTGCACAGAAGACAGTGGGCCAGCACCTACATGCACAGAGCAAAACGCAAACCTGACAGCTCACAGATACACACCAGAACCGCTGGGCCATTCCACTTGTGCTTAAAGACCAAGGGTAGCCAACGTTTGGTGCCCTCCAGGCCTCGCTGGACTACAACTCCCATCATCCTTGACCACTGGCTCTGCTGGCTGGGGCTGATGGGCACTGTAGTCCAACAATATCTGGAGGGCACAACTACACTGGCTACCCCTGCATAGCCTGACACAAAATATTTTCAAAACATTATTTTTTAAAAAAACAACACACCAGGTATCAGTCATTTGTTAGGCAGGTGAAGTCAGGATGATGCTCTCCAGGTGTGTCTGGACTGCAAGTCCCACCAGGCCCAGCCAAGCATGGCGAATGGTCAATGAACACCTGAAGGTCACCACATTGGCTACCCTTATGGTAGGCAAACAATTGCTTCAACTGTTAGCTGCATCCTTAACAGAATAATTGTAAGACTTCAGAGCTCTTAAGAAAACCCTTGCATATCATGATACTTTCTTTTGTCACACACATGCACATACGGGGAGTAAGGCGGAAGAGGTGGGGTCAGAAAGGGCCCAGTGAATGTTCTGCTACCAGAAAAGCTGGGGACACAGTACAAATCCGTTATAAAATCAAAATACTGTCAGCTTGCATATCTATTGTCAAGATTCTTGAGGTAATATTGATATTCCGAAGAGAGGAAAAACCCACTCGCATAACTTTTCCGGACTGCTGCTCTTGTTGTTTTTATTGCTGAATGTCACATTTAAACACTAGACCGGAGAGACAAATAGCCTGCTGGCCTCTTCCTCTTCCATTGAGCTCCGTTGAAATGGGGAGGGGGTTGCTCAGATCCCGTTAATTCCAATGGAAGTCGTGCAACGAAAGTTCCTGCTGGACTATGGCTTCCTTTAACTCACAAGCAACCGACCACACCCCAGCCCTTTCCAACGCTGCGGGGGGAATATACTTTCATCGTCGCCGGTTTCTAAAACCCTACAGACACCACACAACGCTCCGAGCTCCAATGCAAAACAGCCACGACGGAAACAATTATTTCAATCCAGACCGGGGGGGGGGTACCAAAGCCACACAACCACATTACCTCTCCCCTTTTCAGCTTGATGGAGAGTAACAACATTATTGTAGACAAAAAAACAGTTTTCCCCGTTCCCCCTTTTCCTTGATTCCCACTTCACGAATTGAAAAATAAAACATAAAAATAAAAAACCCCACCAATGTCACTACTAGGACCCCTAATTCCTAGGATCTTAAATAAAATCCTCATGTTCATAATAAATAGTCGCAGCTCCCTCTTTCCACCCCTTTGTCCACAGATCGCAGGGTAAAATTCAGGAAGAAGCACCCTGGAAGCTGTCTCGTTTGGCTTCTGGCTTTGTCAGATGCGGAGCTGGTAGCCGACATCGTTCAGTGTTGAGAGCTCGCTCACTTTCTTATCCAGCGCAGCGGGCCTAGAATCAAGAAGGGGAGAGGAGATGTTCAAAAGCAAATGATTAGATTTCCCTAGGATGAGACCACTGCCAACAGCGTTGCAGAGTTGTATCTGAAAGTCATATCCACACCAAACATTTTTAAAAAACATTCTTATTCCGTTTTAACAGCCGTGAATTTTTTTTTCAAAGAAGAGCTCTGAGCTCTACAATTCTCAGCACCCATAACGAACTACAGTTCCCAGGATTCTCCATGACTCCTAAAGTGGTACATGAGTGTTTTAAATGTATGGTGGTGGTGTTTTCAGGTGGTGAGTAATGCACCGCCATTCCTAAACACCAAGTGTCACCAAGTCGTTTATTAATGTGAGAGTGCTCCTGTGGTCTTCCAGTCTATACCACCAGCAGAAGGCTATCATGCCCATCTAAATCTGGGGTATCCAATGTGGTGGCTCTCCAGCTGATTTTGTTGTTGTTGGACTACAACTCCCATCATCCCTCACCAATCTTAACAGGATGCTCTGCTTCACTACACATCTGTGACATTTCCACCAAACAGCATCTCCCAGTGGATTGTAATGGCAGCTTTGGGTATTAATAAGAACACAAGGAGTCTTCTGTATCAACCCAATGGCTCATCTTGTGTATGTTTAGCTTGGATAAGAGGAGATATGATAGCCATCTTCAAATGGCTATTATTTTTAAGCAGAGGTTGGATGACCATCTGTCATGGATGCTGTAGCTGAGATTCCTGCAGTGCAGGAGGTTGGTCTAAATGACTCTTGGGTCCCTTCCAACTCTACAATTATATGATCCAGTCCAGCATCCTGTTCTTGCAGTGGCCTAACAAGATGCCTATGGGGAAACTGCAAGCAGGATTTGAGCACAAAGCCCTAGACCAAATAGCACCCCATACGAAGTTTTAAATGCCTTATTTCTATTGCACTTGCACAACGTTGATGTCTGAGTTGCATATATGATTTATCCTTCTCGTATGAGATTATAAATAGGTATATAGAGTCATAAAAATCACTCACATGCACACAACTTGTCAGATAGGCGCTGATGTTGTAAATCAGGAGAGGGGAAGATGTGGCCTTACAGATGCTGGTTTATGATTCCAGTCATCTCTGACCATTGGCCATGCTGGCTGAGGCCAATGGAAGCTAGAGTCCAACAAAGGGCCAAGGTTCTCCCACCCTGTTTGTAAATTTTTCCAACAGGAAGAACACAGGGTCATCATTGCTAGACATGCAATAGCTTCCAGTCAAATTGCAGCAAAGAAGGTTGGGGGAAAAACATATTTTCCACCTTACATAACAAACCCAATCTAAGCAGAAGCTCACTTTGCTGTCACACTCCCAAAGCATGCATTTCCAAAACTTCACTTGGAATCAAATGTGAAGATAATTGATTCTGCTAAGTGACATTCTCCAAGCAGCTGCAGCTGGAGGCTGCTGTTACTTCCAGTTCTCAAGATTAATAACAGAAGAATGTTGCCTGGTTTTATAACCATGAAGTTGAGGAGTTAAATCAGAACACACAGACTGAAAACGGAATGGAAGCCAATGACTCCCAGTTCATGAGAGGTCTCTATCCCCACTTTCAGCCGTTCCTGACAGGTACACTGGTACCAAGCCTCAAGCAATCAAAGTTGCTATACTAAATTGTCTCACTCCATGTTGGACAAAGTGGCAGCAACCTTTTATTTCTACAGCCAGAATACCAGTTGGTGGGCAGAGTGCTGCTGCGCTCATGTCCTTGCATGGGCAACTGCGTGGCCACTGTGAAAACAGGATGTTGGACTAGATGGGCCTGATCCAGCAAGCTCCTCTTGTACTCGGTATATAAGCACCATCAAGCGTTAAGAGCTTGCAAACCCAATTTTCAGAATGTACAGGTGTCTCTTCCCCTACTTATGCACTATCGACTTGCGAGTGACCATATACACTTGTGGCACCAGGAAATAAATAAATAGATCAATTCAAACCAGGAAATGGTGGGAGAGAGATGGAGAGTCTTCATGGCTCACAAGGAGACTCTCCCCAGAGCCCAAAGAGGGCAGAGAAGAAGAATTGGATTTGATATCCTGCCTTTCACTCCCTTTAAGGAGTCTCAAAGCGGCTAACATTCTCCTTTCCCTTCCTCCCCCACAACAAACACTCTGTGAGGTGAGTGGGGCTGAGAGACTTCAAGGAAGTGTGACTGGCCCAAGGTCACCCAGCAGCTGCATGTGGAGGAGCGGAGACACGAACCCGGTTCCCCAGATTACGAGACTACCGCTCTTAACCACTACACCACACTGGCTCTCCTTGGGAAGCCCCAAGGAGACTGGAGGCACAGCAGGGCTCTGTTTAGTCTGCTCAGCCTCCCTGTCTAACAGCTGACACACACAGTAAACTAGCAGCTGCAGGCACTTTCATGCATCTTCCTGCTCTTTAGTGCTAAACAGGAGCAAACATCAATCCAGATAAAACCCAAATGGCTGTTTGCTCTGACTGAGTGCTAAAGAGCAGTTTTCCACAGGGGAAAGCAGAGGGACAGGATGAAGTGTAGAGGAGCCCGGAGTTTAGCATCAGAGGTGTTAAAGATCAGTACGTAACTTCAGTCTTTACAACTTAGAATTCAATATCAACATTGGTAAAGACCAGGAAGCTGCTGCAGAGCAGAGATACTCTGAGTAAATTATAAAGTATTGGCTGGAATTGTAAGATGTGCTGGTCCAGGTTCCTAAGATCTAGTCATTAATTGGGCAACCCCAGGTCCCTCCTTGCATGTGGAGGCAGGGAAGAGGCTGTGGGCTCACAAGGTGGTCTTGGCAACAACTACCAGATAAGGCCAGAAGGTGTAGCTGGCTTCCTGCAGGACTGTCTGGCAGCCAGCGACAAGGAAAGGGCATAAAAGGCTTCCCGATTCCCCTTTGCTAAAGGGGAGTTCACAAAAGTATCTGATAAGAGGCTTACTGAGTTTTGTACTTAGGTTTTCAAAAAATGGTAAAATGAATGTTGGCCCCAAAGAGGCTTACGTAATCTAATTGTTGACAAAAGGCATTGACTAATCACAGCTCTCCATTAAGAAGGTGAAGCTTCCCCGTGGGGAATGCCAAGTCTTTTATTCAGCCCTTGCCAATGAAATTATGCAGCCCAGGGGAAGACGGGTAAAGTGCTGACTGAGGGCCTGTTTCCTACCTTGTCACTTGAGCAGATTTAATTAGCATGCCCAAGTTAAAAAATAAAATAAATCATAAATAAGGAAGCAAAGCAACCTTGGTAGACATTCATTATTTTAGCTGCGTCAGTGAGGGGAACCAGGAGTTGAAACAGCATCCTCCTAATTAATTTTGCCAGAGTAATCCCATTATATTTAAAGGATTTTTCCTGTGGGTTAAGGGGCCTGAAGGAGGCAGCTTGAAAATGATTACCATCCGATTAGGAATTTGAAGCCACTCTGATATACCAGGTACAGTGGTACCACGGGTTAAGTACTTAATTCGTTTCGGAGGTCCGTACTTAACCTGAAACTGTTCTTAACCTGAAGCACCATTTTAGCTAATGGGGCCTCCCGTTGCTGCCGCGATGCTGGAGCACGATTTCTGTTCTCATCCTGAAGCAAAGTTCTTAACCTTAAGTACTATTTCTGGGTTAGTGGAGTCTGTAACCTGAAGCATCTGTAACCTGAAGCGTATGTAACCCGAGGTCCCACTGTATCCGGAAATTAAAAACTAGCCCCATTATGGGATTTGGCTTATAACATAAGAACATAAGAAGAGCCTGCTGCAATGGCCCATCTATCTAGCCCGACATCCTATTCTCACAGTGGTCAACTAGATGCCCACAGGAAACGGGCAAGTAGGACCCAAGCACAAGAACATTCTCCCTTCCTGCTGTTCCAGCAACAGGTATTCAGACACATTGCTGCCTCCAAGAGCACTAGATCCCTGCTCCAATGAGCTTACACATTTCGAAGGGAAAGGAGAACGGAAAGAAAGAGGATGTGTATGAGAGGCATGAGATGAAAGTGAGCAAAACCAAATGTAGTTGGGTCTACTTTCACTTCCTTTTGGTCGGGCTATAGACAGAAAATTACAGGCTGTGTTCAGAAGTTTATCATTCGAGTGGCAAGTCCAGTGTACTCAGTACCTTTTAAACACTTGTACAGCTTTCATGCTCAAATGAAACTTGTTGTTGTTGTTTAGTCGTTTAGTCATGTCGGACTCTTCGTGACCCCATGGACCAGAGCACGCCAGGCACTTCTGTCCTCCACTGCCTCCCGCAGTTTGATCAAACTCATGCTGGTAGCTTCAAGAACACCATCCAACCATCTCATCCTCTGTCATCCCCTTCTCCTTGTGCCCTCCATCTTTCCCAACATCAGGGTCTTTTCCAGGGAGTCTTCTCTTCTCATGAGGTGGCCAAAGTGTTGGAGCCTCAGCTTCACGATCTGTCCTTCCAGTGAGCACTCAGGGCTGATTTCCTTAAGAATGGATACGTTTGATCTTCTTGCAGTCCATGGGACTCTCAAGAGTCTCCTCCAGCACCATAATTCAAAAGCATCAATTCTGGGAAAACCATAGCTTTTACTATACGGACCTTTGTTGGCAAGGTGAGGTTTCTGCTTTTTAAGATGCTGTCTAGGTTTGTCATTGCTTTTCTCCCAAGAAGCAGGCATCTTTTAATTTCGCGACTGCTGTCACCATCTGCAGTGATCATGGAGCCCAAGAAAGTAAAATCTCTTACTGCCTCCATTTCTTCCCCTTCTATTTGCCAGGAGGTAATGGGACCAGTGGCCATGATCTTCGTTTTTTGATGTTGAGCTTCAGACAAAATTTTGCGCTCTCCCCTTTCACCCTCAATAAAAGGTACTTTAATTCCTCCTCACTTTCTGCCATCAAGGTTGTGTCATCTCATATCTGAGGTTGTTGATATTTCTTCCGGCAATCTTAATTCCGGCTTGGGATTCATCCAGCCTTTCGCATGATGAATTCTGCATATAAGTTAAATAAGCAGGGAGACAATATACAGCCTTGTCGTACTTCTTTCCCAATTTTGAACCAATCAGTTGTTCCATATCCAGTTCTAACTGTAGCTTCTTGTCCCACATAGAGATTTCTCAGGAGACAGATGAGGTGATCAGGCACTCCCATTTCTTTAAGAACTTGCCATAGTTTGCTGTGGTCAACACAGTCAAAGGCTTTTGCATAGTCAATGAAGCAGAAGTAGATGTCTTTCTGGAACTCTCTAGCTTTCTCCATAATCCAGCGCATGTTTGCAATTTGGTCTCTGGTTCCTCTGCCTCTTCTAAATCCAGCTTGCACTTCTGGGAGTTCTCGGTCCACATACTGCTTGAGCCTTCATTGTAGAATTTTAAGCATAACCTTGCTAGCGTGTGAAATGAGTGCAATTGTGCGGTAGTTAGAGCATTCTTTGGCACTGCCCTTCTTTGGGATTGGGATGTATACTGATCTTCTCCAATCCTCTGGCCACTGCTGAGTTTTCCAAACTTGCTGGCATATTGAGTGTAGCACCTTAACAGCATCATCTTTTAAAATTTTAAATAGTTCTGCTGGAATACCATCACTTCCACTGGCCTTGTTATTAGCAATGCTTTCTAAGGCCCATTTGACTTCACTCTCCAGGATGTCTGGCTCAAGGTCAGCAACCACACTACCTGGGGTGTACGAGACATCCATATCTTTCTGGTATAATTCCTCTGTGTATTCTTGCCACCTCTTCTTGATGTCTTCTGCTTCTGTTAGGTCCTTACCACTTTTGTCCTTTATTATGGTAATCTTTGTACGAAATGTTCCTTTCATATTTCCGATTTTCTTGAACAGATCTCTGGTTTTCCCCATTCTATTGTTTTCCTCTATTTCTTTGCATTGCTCGTTTAAGAAGGCCTTCTTGTCTCTCCTTGCTATTCTTTGGAAATCTGCATTCAATTTCCTGTATCTTTCACTATCTCCCTCGCATTTTGCTTGCCTTCTCTCCCCCGCTATTTGTAAGGCCTCGTTGGACAGCCACTTTGCTTTCTTGCATTTCTTTTTCATTGGAATGGTTTTCATTGCTGCCTCCTGTATAATGTTGTGAGCCTCCACCCATAGTTCTTCAGGCACTCTGTCCAGCAAATCTAAATCCTTAAACCTGTTCCTCACTTCCACTGTGTATTCATAAGGGATTTGATTTAGATTGTATCTTAACGGCCCAGTGGTTTTTCCTACTTTCTTCAGTTTAAGCTTGAATTTTGCTATAAGAAGCTGATGATCTGAGCCACAGTCAGCTCCAGGTCTTGTTTTTGCTGACTGTATAGAGCTTCTCCATCTTTGGCTGCAGAGAATATAATCAATCTGATTTCGATGTTGCCCATCTGGTGATGTCCATGTGTAGAGTCGTCTCTTGTGTTGTTGGAAAAGCGTGTTTGTGATGACCAGCTTGTTCTCTTGACAGAACTCTATTATCCGTTGCCCTGCTTCGTTTTGATCTCCAAGGCCAAACTTGCCAGTTGTTCCTTTTATCTCTTGATTCCCTACTTTAGCATTCCAGTCCCCTATAATGAGAAGAACATCCTTCTTTGGTGTCATTTCTATAAGGTGTTGTAAGTCTTCATAGAATTGGTCAATTTCAGTTTCTTCAGCACCAGTGGTTGGTGCATAAACTTGGATTACTGTGATGTTAAAAGGTCTGCCTTGGATTCGTATCGAGATCATTCTATTATTTTTGAGATTGCATCCCAGTACAGCTTTCGCCACTCTTTTGTTGACTATGAGGGCCACTCCATTTCTTTTACGGGTTTCTTGCCCACAGTAGTAGATATGATAGTCATCCGAACTGAATTCGCCCATTCCCGTCCATTTTAGTTCACTGATTCCCAGGATGTCAATATTTATTCTTGCCATCTCATTTTTGACCACATCCAACTTACCCAGGTTCATGGTTCTTACATTCCAGGTTCCTATGCAATATTTTTCTTTACAGCATTGGACTTTCCTTTCGCTTCCATGCATATCCGCAACTGAGCGTCCTTTCGGCTTTGGCCCAGCCGCTTCATCAGCTCTGGATCTACTTGTACTTGTCCTGCGCTCTTCCCCAGTAGCATGTTGGACGCCTTCCGACCTGAGGGGCTCATCTTCCAGCGTCACAACTTTTTTATGCCTGTTGTCTTTGTCCATGGAGTTTTCTTGGCAGGGATACTGGAGTGGCTTGCCGGTTCCTCCTCCAGGTGGATCACGTTTGGTCAAAACTCTCCACTATGACCTGTTCATCATGTGTGCCCTGCTCGGCATAGTTCATAGCTTCTCTGAGTTATTCAAGCCCCTTCGCCACGGCAAGGCAGTGATCCATGAAGGGGCAAATGAAACTCGGGGAGAACTATTTTTTGTAGCTTTCATAGAAGCTGGATTTGCACAGAGCCGATTGGTGGGCCTTCATGTATATCACAACACTACTGAACTGCTGCCTTCAGAGTCCCATTATGAGCAGAGGCATTTTGCTGGCCGCCATCAGAAACAGAATTCTGGGTGAAATGGACCTTTTGACCATCCCAGCAAAGCAATCCTCCATGATCAAGGGTGGGGAACCCTCCAGATGTTGGACTCCAGTTCCCACCACCCCTCACCACTGGCCCAACTGGCTAGTGTGACAGATGGGAGCTGAAGTCCCCAACAACATTTTACAAAACCACAGGTTCCCCATCCTCGCTCATGATCTTCAAGCTCATCCTACTCCAAAACTGTCTTAAAACTTTAAATACACCATAGGATCCTGTCACGTTTACTTCTAAGAACTAGAACAGTCTTCACCCTCTAGCTCAGTGTATCCCAGACTTGGGTCTCCAGCTGTTCGGGGACTACAGTTCCCATCATCCCTGACCACTGGTCCTGCTAGCTAGGGATGATGGGAGTTGTAGTTCAAAAAACACCTGGAGACCCAAGTTCGGGAAACACTGCTCTAGCTGTTTTGGACTACAACTGCCATCAGCCCCAACCAGTATGGCTGATGGTCAGGAATGATGGGAACTGTAGTCCAGGAACATTTAGAGAGCTGCTGTTGGGAGTTGCACCCCAGGTTCGCAAAGGCTGAACTAAGTCACACACTATTCAACTTTCAACTTGAACTTAGCCTGATCTTTTATTCCCCTTCCTTCCCTCCCCCTCCCCTTTTTATGAAGATTACCCACTCTGGGATCCCACAGCTAATTCTCCCCTGGTCTCCTCACTGGCCCAAACAGGACTAATTTAGCCAGCTAGCCCTGGTGATCATCTAATGTTTATTGGATGGATTTTCCCCCTAAACTGATTTTTGAATTCTGAATTTATTGTTATTCATGTTTTATACTGTATTTTATGCTGCTTTTTGTTGCCTTAATTAAGTGTTTTAAATTTGTTGTTAGCTGCCCTGAGCCCGGTTTTTGAACCAGGAAGGGCGGGGTATAAATAAAAAAATATTATTATTATTACTATTATTATTATTACTACTACTACTACTACTACTATTACTACTACTATTATTATTATTATTGTTCTGGAGTTCTGACCCTGCTGCTGACCAGCAAGAGTCAAGCAGCCCCTCAGCCTACCTGCGGGCCAGAAGTGCTGCAACCCATGAGCGTGCCAAGGGATGGATTTCAATTTCCCTTGCCCCTCTCCTGGGAGAAATCTAAAAGCAGGAAAGGAGCTAGCAACAGTGCACCTGGCATTTGGCTCAGCAGTTGGCGCTCCAGAGAGGCCTGCTGAGCTGACACATCTTAGTCAAACACACACCTCCCCCTTGAACACTTGTGCCACCCTAGCAACTGTGGAAACAGCCACAGAAACAGGGAGATTAAAATACTCCCCTAAAGTAGGCGCGATGAGGCAGGAAGAAGGAGCTAGAGATTTGCAACCTCTGACAACTATAATTATCCAGACACTAAATGAGGCTAGGCACTCCTACCGAGAGGCCACCAAGAATGCTGGTGGTGCAGCGATAGTATGAATTCGCGGGGAAAATAGAAGCGTGTGGTTAATTCAACAGCTGCAAGGAACATTGGGGTATATTTAGAGAGACAGTCTAGTGACACTTTTCGCTGTTAAGAAACTGCGAAGAGACCCCTCCACAGACTTACTTAAAATGCAACCATCATACACATTATGGACCTAACGGACACATCCAGATGTCATTCTAAACCATCGTTTAACAAGACACGGAAGGGCCAGAACAAACCTCAGTGAGTCCCAGGCTTATACAGTTTCCCTTTCCCTTTTGCCTCCTCCTCCGACATGGCTATTTGCCTTGTGTTCACTTTGCTACAGCTTTGAAACAAACCAACTTGCAAGGAAAGCCTCACCAAACTAGGAGCGGGGCAGAGGAGAGTGGGCAGGGCAGAGGCTTACTGTAGCTCAATCGCATCACAATAAGGCAGCCTTCTGCAACCTGGCGCCCTTCAGGTGTCCCCTGAAATATGACCAGCCCTGCATTGCTAACATTTCGGTGTAGGCCAAAATATGTCTGTTTCTCCAGGCATTTGGGGATGTTACTCCACTGCTGCCTTGGGTGTGCTGGAAATTCTACTTGCCATTTAATTTATCTAAGAACCAATTCTAAGTGTAGATTGCTGTTTGGTTTAAGGGATGTTGTAGCCTGCCCTGGGATCAGCTGGTTAAAAATATCCTTAATACATAATGGATAAATAAGTTTCGCTCTTGCAAAGCCCCTGTACCCTGACATTGTCCTTGTACCCTGACATTTTAACTTGCACACAGCATTTTTTTTTTAAATGTCTGGATCGCCAAAGCACCACAAAGTGCTTCAGGGTTGCCCGCTTCAACTTGTGCAGAACCCACTTTGGCATGCCCCAAATCCCTCAAAGAGTCATTTCAATCCAGTGCCTTAGACCTGAAACGTATTGTGTAAAATGTAAGAAGGGAGCCTTTAAGCAGGTACAGAATGTCTTCTTCTCACCTCTGCAAAGGCCCTATCAAATCCCAAGGATCTGGGTAGGGCTTGAAGGGTTTGAAAGCGTCATCCGAGGCAGGGGCAAAACTAGGCTTTATTTCACCCAGGTCAAAGACCCGGTTTGGCACACGCACACCGCATGCACACACAGGTTGGGAGCCTCAGTGGCGCCCCTCTGAAGGCTTCACCCGGGTCAAATAAAACCGTCTAGCCCTCCCCCCCCCCTCCAGCCACATAGCTATGGCATTGCTCTAAGGGCCCTCTCCTTTAACAGCAGGCATACCTGGCTGTGGTGGCAATGCTCTAACCAGTACTAGCCAGCTGGGTCTAGTCACCCTTTCAGTTTACTAGAACAATGCTAGGTCAGGTGCATTGTGGGAAATTGGAACATGGCTATATCTGGCAGCCTGGCGCTGGGCCTGAAAAATAATTCAAGGGGCCTCAGGACTGGCATCAGCCACAGGTCCTGGCAGCTAGCCAAGGACATCAGGTGCTGACTCCAGTTCTCCAAAGAAAGCAGCGATAAAGGTTTTTAAGTCAGAGGGTACAACTTCAAGACAAGCTGCCTGGCATTTTTCATCTTAGAAATTAAGGCTATATCTGATTTCCTCTTTCTTCCTAATATCTGAACGTTCTCACTCTGAAAACCTGTGATGTCACGTGATACCTGAAGACTCCAGTCCGTTGGATAGGATTCAGTTTCTGCCTAAAAAGATCAAGAAAGCAGAATCTGCTGTGGGATGCATATTTTTGCTTTAAATCCACTATATGTGCTACATTCAGCATAGTCCCAGGCATGTATACTTAGAAGTAAGGCCCATTCTTTTTAGTAGGCCTTACTCCCAAGTGATTATGCACAGGGCTGAAATTTCAATCTTCATCTCTTCTCCTCTCTCTCTACGACAATTAAATTAGGTTAGGTCTGAAGTGTAACTAAACTCAAGCAGTTTCAACTTCAGGTACCATTTTAAGAAAAGCATTAAGTTGCAACTAAGTTTGGTGTTCAGTCAAGTTTGGTTTTCTGCTGTGGAACGTTGCGGTGTGGGGAGCTTTTTGTTGTTGCTATTATTGAACAACTCAGAACAGCAACAAAATGGTGGTGTGGAATGCATCCATTCGTTGTTTCAACCATCCAGAAAACTCCATTCCATTCGCCCTCTCACACATCCCCAATTTTCCACCCACAACAGACGCTTCACATTCTGTGGCCACTGAGCATGTCGAGTCCTCACTGGGCTGTTTTGGGAAAGGCACTTGCCTGCTAGGTTTTTCATATATATGACTCCAGCAAAATTTGGAGTGCACCCAAGCAGGCTGATGCCTCCTAATTTGTCAGCAACCATGCTTTAGCTACATAGTCAGCAGCCAGGCTATGAGGCCACCACCTTGCTGAAGCTAAACATACCCAGGCCTGGTCAGAACCCGCCTTGGGTTCAATGATGGAAGCAAGGTGGGGCAGAAATGAGGGACAATAAATACCTCAGTATCTGAGCTCACTGCTAGTATATGACTGGGACTCAGAAACCCTTCCTGATCTACAGCTAATTCCCTAGAGATCCATCAGCAGAACCAAGTCTAACTTCTGCCCACCTCATCCCTAAAATGTAGTCTTCCCTGCCCCTCTGGATTTGCCTGTTGTGGAGGATAGGTTAGGTCTGAAAGTATAGGATAAAGCAAACTTGCTGAAGTTCAGCCATTCAGTGCTAGGATGGGAAACCACCTGAGTTTTTCAACATAAATTCCATTACGGAAGGAAGGCAAGCAATGCACTTTAAATCTTAAATAAAAGGCAAGCCATCTTCCAGCAAAGATTTTTCTACCACTACTTCTGTCTGAGGACACCTGAAAAGTTTCCAAGGAGGCTCAGGGTTTCCCAGGTCAGAATATAGCCTGAAAAGCATTGGAGGTCATATTCACCACAAATATCTGACCCAGTCAACAGTGCAAAACTCAACATGACTATACTCACGATTTGTCTCTTCGGCAGGCCCGCCTCTGAGGGCTGGTTTGTCTTCTTCGGGGGGAGAGGGACTTCCCCCGTGTTCTCTGCTTGACTGGAGAATGGGCACTTGCGGGCTTCAAAATCTGAAAGAGGGAAATGGGTGGGTTAAGAAAAGTTTTCCCTTGCAAGTAGTTCATTGTTGGATAGGAGAGAAAGTGCAGCTTTCATTTATGAAACTGCATTGTGGTTTAACACAGCTGAAGGTTTTCTTTTACATTCTGTTATAGATTACTCTGACAAAGGCAAAGGGGTATTTTTGGGTTCTTCTGAATGTATCTGCTGCTGGCTTGTGATTCAGCTTGTCTCCGCAGCCTTCTATGCACTCTGCTTATTTGTTTTAGTTGTGCTCTTTTTGGTGGATCACCTTAATATAAAGACTTAAAGGAGGGCTATCGTTCAGCATTTATACACCATAAAATATGGTGTATTTTAGGGGTCTGTTGAAGACTCCTGTTTCAAGAAGCCTTCTAAGTGCAGACTGTTGTTCCAGTCAGTATCTGTATTAGATATGAAATTGGTTTTATATACTTCATTGTCGTCAGTGTTTTTAAAAATTGTTTTATATGTAATTGCCTCTCTCTTGCTCCCTTGCACACACGCACACACACCATCTCCAGGCATTGCACAAAATGGGCACATACCTTCATTCTCATATCTCTGGCATATTTCTCCAGCTCCTTCCTTATCTCTGACCTCACCATCTTTGACACATTGAGCACCAACTGCCTCCATTCGATGGGCTGAAAGCTATGTGGTTCATGGGGGACATACAATCCAATTTTCACTTTTTTCACAGAGTGTAAATACTTTTTGTAGGACTCTTCAAATTCAAAGATGAGGTCACTCAGAGTTCGGAAAATCAAAGGTTTGTCCATCAGTTCCGATCTTCTGCTCATGCCCAGAGATCCATATCGACCATTGAAATAAATTCCAAGCACCACATGATGAAAATTGTTCCCTGAGAAGTGGGATTTAAAACTGATTGGGAATCGTTCCACTGAAGGCTGCCCATTGGTTAAGTATCTGGCAAGGCTACTGTCAAGGCAACAAAGACCCTCTGTTGAGAGAAATGTTTTCCATGCTGCATATGATACACATATAACATTTGCCTACACTGTACTGTGTTCAGACATCATGATCAGCTATGGTTTGTTGCAGTAGGAACAAACCTAGGTGAGCCTTGAGCTCATACACTCTCGCTCCTACTGTGACCAAGAGATCAGAAGCCATTTCAGCTAACCACAGTTTAGCATTGCATCCAAACAATGGTTCAACTCTTAGCTGTGTTTTGTTGAAACAAACCATCTTCATAACCCATGGCTTGTAGCTGGCTTGTGTCAGATGACATTACAAACTGTAGTTAGAATAAAACCAGAAGTGAAAGCTTTCAAACTCCTCTGTGTTGTGATGGTGGAGAGAAGGAAAGGAGAGAAGTGTATAATACCAGTGCTTTCCTAGACTTGTTCCTGTCACGATAAGCCATGTTTTATTGTGATATCTGAATTGGTCAGATTGGTCATTCTAGCCCTATATTATCTATTCCAATTGGTCATTCTAGCCCTATATTATCTATTCCAATTAGCAATGCCTCTCCCATGAAGACACAAAGGTTTTCCAAGCACTACTATCGAAGATCCTTTTAAGTGGGTATGTCAGAGACTGAACTTGTAATCTTCTACAATACATGAAATGTGTATGTAATGGAGCCAATTATGGTACCTTCTACAGGGCAACCAATTTAGGCAGTTTCACAGCAAATCTTAACCACCATTAAAGAGATGCTATCACTCAATTAATAACTATATGAGGGGTCAGTACTTGGGTTTTATACCTCAGTTGCCAAAACGCTTGAGTCAGCCCCAGCCTTCTGATGAAAGGACTCAAGATCACAGCGTACGTAAAGTGAAAATAAGGAAGGAAGTTTATAAAGATGGTGTTTGTTCTATAAAGTACAAAATGTTCAGAAGGGGTGGCTAACACCCCAGAGGACAGGATCACACTTCAAAACGACCTTGACAGATTAGAGAACTGGGCCAAAACAAACAAGATGAATTTTAACAGGGAGAAATGTAAAGTATTGCACTTGGGCAAAAAAAATGAGAGGCACAAATACAAGATGGGTGACACCTGGCTTGAGAGCAGTACATGGGAAAAGGATCTAGGAGTCTTGGTTGACCACAAACTTGACATGAGCCAACAGTGTGACGCGGCAGCTACATAAGCCAATGCAATTCTGGGCTGCATCAATAGGAGTATAGCATCTAGATCAAGGGAAGTAATAGTGCCACTGTATTCTGCTCTGGTCAGACCTCACCTGGAGTACTGTGTCCAGTTCTGGGCACCACAGTTCAAGAAGGACACTGACAAACTGGAACGTGCCCAGAGGAGGGCAACCAAAATGGTCAAAGGCCTGGAAACGATGCCTTATGAGGAACGGCTAAGGGAGCTGGGCATGTTTAGCCTGGAGAAGAGGAGGTTAAGGGGTGATATGATAGCCATGTTCAAATATATAAAAGGATGTCACATAGAGGAGGGTGAAAGGTTGTTTTCCTCTGCTCCAGAGAAGCGGACACGGAGCAATGGATCCAAACTACAAGAAAGAAGATTCCACCTAAACATTAGGAAGAACTTCCTGACAGTAAGAGCTGTTCGACAGTGGGATTTGCTGCCAAGGAGTGTGGTGGAGTCTCCTTCTTTGGAGGTCTTTAAGCAGAGGCTTGACAACCATATGTCAGGAGTGCTCTGATGGTGTTTCCTGCTTGGCAGGGGGTTGGACTCGATGGCCCTTGTGGTCTCTTCCAACTCTATGATTCTATGATCTCAAGAGCAACAATCACTCCATCAGTTCTGAGAGATGTATATTCTCCAACCTAATTGGAAACACTTTGGAGCAGCTGGTTAATGGAGTGTGGAAAGCAGTTTCAAGAAAAGGATTGTCCCTCACAGGTAGTTCTTTCACCTCGGCTTAAACAGGTTTTATAAAAGTATGAAACAGTATAAATGAAACCTGCAAAAACAGTTTTAACAGACGCTGTGGGACAAAAGATTATTTTTAAAAATTATTATTATTTTCTATGTATTTCTTGCCCGAAAGGTCCCGTGGTGCATTACAACCATTTAAAGTAGAATATCACAACAGTCTCTGGGATGCGGGTGGCGCTGTGGGTTAAACCACAAAGCCTAGAACTTGCCAATCAGAAGGTCAGCGGTTCGAATCCCCGCGACGGGGTGAGCTCCCGTTGCTCGGTCCCTGCTCCTGCCAACCTAGCAGTTCGAAAGCACATCAAAGTGCAAGTAGATAAATAGGTACCACTCCGGCGGGAAGGTAAACGGCGTTTCCGTGTGCTGCTCTGGTTCGTCATGCTGGCCACATGACCCAGAAGCTGTATGCCGGCTCCCTCGGCCAATAAAGCGAGATGAGCGCCGCAACCCCAGAGTAGGCCATGACTGGACCTAATGGTCAGGGGTCCCTTTACCTTTACCTTTATCACAACAGTCTAAAACAAGACACAGACACAAGCATAGTGTGGGTCCTTTATGTGTATAGTGTGGTTCCATTGTTCTTGCCAAACTACTTTTAATCCTCAGCTGCACATGGCATACGTTTAAAGCACATTCCACCACCACCCAAAGAATCCTGGGAACTGTAGTTTGTCAAGGATGCTGGGACCTGTGAGGGGTGAACTACAGTTCCCAGGATTCTGTGGGGCATGTGTGCTTTAAATGCATGGTCTGTATGCAACCTCTGTATACTATCTGCCTTTAACCTCCAAGGGGTTTGCAAAGGAACTGTTCCTTTTTTAATGCGGCTTCTATGAGTGCCAAATTCTGATCTGAAGCTCTATTCATGTTTTTAGAATTCTAGGTTATCAAGATGACTGGGCTGCAGTCTTAAATGGATTTTGTAGAGAGCAAGTCCCAGGGAACCCAGAGCCATGTATATTTGCTCAGGAAGAATTGTACTGTTAAAACACTCTGCACAACCTCTTTTCACCCACACAATACTTCCCCAAGTAATTATCCCAGCTGAGGGTCTGGATAATTAGTGTACAACCTAAGAAGACAAAAAAGTGAACTCAGGAGCTAAAGCATTTTCATCACTCCCAACACTGCAAAACGCCTTTGCAAAATGAAAAACAACAACAATGGGCTTTGTCTAACTGAAATGGCATGGAACTCAGCTGAGAGAAACCTGCCCTCCACTGCATTCTCACATAAACATGAACTCCCGAGGTGCCAGGAAAGTGCTTAAAAATGAAAGGACTTTTCAGCAGATTTTTATCCAGATCAATATGTGTCACGTGCACACTAATCTTTATGCGCCGCTGCTAGCACGATATCATTTTAGGATACGTCAGTACCAATTTATAGGCATCCGCAATATTTTCAGTCATGGTTTTCCAACAACGCTCCTACTGATCCTTAAGCAAAGGCTACATGGAATGCAGGATCCGCCATAGCTCGACAAACACTCCCTTCCTCCTTCTGTCACTTAAGGTTATTGATAGACCTACAAGGCTTGATCCGACATCGAATCAGAAGCAAAAACACGCCCGCTTCCAGGCAGGAGTTTGTTGTGGAATTGATACAGCTCATGCTTGGAGGCTGCTCACATCATCCACATAACATCATCCACATCAAAACGCTAACCTGTCCTTTTTCCTCAGAAGTTCCCCATTGCACCAAGGCCACTAAGTAAAAAGAAGCAAGCCGTTATGCAATCCTAGTCACCACTGATGCGGAAGCTCTTTAGCAAAAAAATTTGGGTGAGCACCACATATGTGTTGATGTTTCAGTGGGTTTTATCGTCACACCTCTCAGTTCAGAATAACTGTTCTCTCAGGATCTCCGCACATGTGGTGGATTACCTCAGAAACAGTAATCACAGTACATACACCAAGATGGGTGTGCATATATACACACATACACAGACATTTGGAGGTGTTGCACAAATCCTCTATATCAGAATTCCAGAATTTCATTGCTGTTGTGTATGTTTTGGATTGGGGGTGGGGGAGAAGTGTGACTGTGCTCCTAATAGCTATGGGGGCCTATAGAGTATTTCTAGTTTGAGGGAGGTATAGTGCAAGTCCCCACCAAAGCAAGCAGCAGATCAAGATAGTGAAATTATATCACTCTCTGGTGCAGGACCAAAATATTCATATTTTTTTAAAAAAAACAACACCACCAAATGGATATGGGGAGGAGAGCCCAAGCCTCCATTTTGTCTGCTGTGAAACATGATAACTAATGGCTGGTAACACCTGCTCTTGTGCTCTTGCACACTTCTGGGGTACAGAAATAGCTGCACACATGCCTAGAAAAAAAAAGGGGGTAGCAGAGGGCAAGGGAGGAGTGATTATGGGAAAAGATAAAGCTACACAGCACAGGAACATGCCACCATGCTCTGCTCACTTGGTGTGGAAAGCAAACGACTGAACAGCAACACAAACCCAAACAGAATATGCTTGGTGTTGTTTCAGGTCAATCTTTTTTGTCGGGGGGGATTAGAGGCTTTGAATCCTGCAGATCCATGAGCATTCTGACACCTTTAAACTCTCTCTCTCTCTCTCTCTCTCTCTCTCTCTATCGGTAGGACACAACAGATGGGACATTATGCTGGGAGCAGTACTTTTTTTCTTAAAAAATGTTGAGGGGTACTCTCATTTTCCTACTCATTTTGAAATACTGCCCCTCAATGAGGCCAAACTTAGATTCACAAAATGTTTAGGGGTTTGCGTACCCCTACATCCCCCCCCTGAAAAAAGCAATGGCTGGGAGAGTTCCAGCAATATTAGTTTTGTCCCATGCAAAGACCTCCCTCTCCACTTGTGGAGCGGAACTCAAGCGGCCTCCCAAGGCCTCTCATACAGCTCTTAAAATCAAAATGCCTTCTTGCTAATTAGAACTTTAAGTGCTTTGGGGTCACCAGAAGACAAGTAAATGCAGACTTCATCTCAGATAAATTATAAAGCCAGTTGCATTTCTTCTTCGATGTAACCAACTTCTAGATCTGCCCTTTCTTTTGCTAGCATCTGTCAAGTCTTTCAGGCACTGATCTGATCCGTCACAATTGTTCCTTGCATCTCAGAAGAATTTAACTCCATTTGCCTCCAAGCAGATCTTTGTTAAGTCTGAACAGCTGCCCCCTGTCGCCACCTGCCCTTGTGTCAGAGCCATAAAGCCTTCAGGTCCCCAAATCCTTGCTATTTAATCCCATTAAATTCTAACTAGGAGGAGGAGAATCACCTTTGACTTTGCACTCTTGTGTACCACAGAAACAATAGCCAGAGAAGGGGACCTTCAGGCGCAGGACGCTTTGGTACCTAGTGCAAGTCAATGGCTGGGGTCAACCTCTTCTTTTGAAATGAAAAGACTCATGGTGAATACAGTACAACCAGACACAGACCATGCCTACTCCTGAGCCTACTCTGAAACAGCAATGGCAGGAAAGAAAGCTTGCTTCCCCACCAGTTTTGTGTCCGCACGATGTACACAAACAGAAGTAAAGTTAACCCTCCACCCATATGGGGCTTGTCTCAGAAACATACAGAATTTTCAGCTAGTCATAAGTGCAATTCTGTGGCTTTTGCTGGGCAGAAGGCATGCAACATCCATTCTCGTTCACTGTTCATGATTGACAGGTTGCTCCTGATACAAACCACTCAGGGATGGCGCCAAGGGGTCAGCATAGTTAGGCATCTGCTGAGGACCCATACCCCCAGATGGGCCCCACGGACAAGAGCCCCTTGCACTTGCTGTAGTGTAGCAAGGGTGTAGATTCAGTGAAGAACAGGACGGAGTCCCATGTGACCTTCTTGCCCAAGAATTTGTGGCTGACACCGAAAGCACTGATAATAACCTTAATAATTTGGACATGTTTTGAGACTGATGCTGTGCGCATCGGGGGATGATTTTATCTGCGTGAGCATTCATGAACACTAACTTCAAGATAGGGACATTGTTCCGTGCTTCCTTCAGCCAAGACGCAAGATCAGGAAGGACGGAAGAGCAGATTACTGCTCGTAACTGCTTTACAAATACAGAATTCATTGCCTAAGCCACACACCCCCTGTGTTTTCTGGAAAATAGTGAAGTCTCACCTACACTGCCAGTCTTTTTATCGGCTTACTTTTGGCTCAGTAAATATATTTGCCTGAAATGACTGCATTGGTTGATACTGATTGAACTTCTGATTGCTTCTTTTCAAAAGTTTGATTTTGAATTAAACTTTAATTTTAGTGACATTTTATCTTGCTTTAGAATGAAAATTGTCTTGCATGTTTGTTTAAAAGGGAAGGATGCAATATATAGAGAGAGAGATAGAGAGCAGAGGATTGGATCTAGACTTAGCACCCTATGGGGGTGGGAATTGGGTGAATTCCCATTCCCCCTGCAGCTCCCAACACCGCCTTCCATATGTTTCCAGGGTTTAGGAAGCCCGCAAGAACTGAACAGAGCAGCATTCCCAATCTGGTGCTCTCCAGGTTTTTTGGAACTGCAACTCCCATCATCCCTGACCACAGGCCATGTGCGTAGCAGGTGCTGATAGGAATTACAGTCCAAAACATCTGAAAGGCACCTGGTTGGGAAAAGCTGATGTAGACGGTGGCACTGGGGGCTACAGGGAGAAGGGGAGATATCAGCAAAAGCCTCCTCTCCTCTGCTGGTGAGACCCCTCCATTGGATCAAAAGCCTTTTTTTCTTTGGCAGAAGCCAAAGGCTGGATCCAAGTTAGTATAAAGAAATCCAAAGATACCAGCTATTGCATGGCTGTTGTTAGATCAGGGCCAGTGCACAACATGGGGAAGACATGGCGGAAGCAATATGCCTCTGGGTACCTGTTGCTAGGATTCAGAAGTGGGGAGAGTGCTATTGGGTTCAGTTTCCACTTGTGTGTTTCCGAAAGGAAACACACCATGAGGGCAGGGTGTTGGACTAGAGCTCTTCTTATGTTCTTAAACAAAATTGAGCATGTTTCTTATCTCAGGAGGGCTGTAATTCGGGGAAGATTTTTGCAGGCCAAACAAATAGATGAGGAGAGGAAGCTGTCTGGATTCCTTTGAAAATCTCCAGCCAGGCAACCCATATAATCTCCCCTGCTCTGTTTACTGAGAGGCCCATATAATCTCTCCTGCTCTGTTTACTGAGAGTCTGATATCCTGAGGGGGTGGGGAGGGAGTTTCTGATAAGGACTCATCAGCTGTGCCTTCAACCAATCTTGCAGTGAATTGAGTGCTTCAACTCACCGCCTCACAAAACTTCAAGAGGCTTCTAAGCAGGAAGAGAGTGCTCCAAAACCTAATTTGACACACAAAGAGATTACAGAAGTGATCTTTTTTTATAAAAAAAGAAGAAGAAGGAAAATCACTTGTAAAAGCTGACAGTGCAAGCTGTCAAGAGACCTGATTAAAATGACAACTCAGTAATCTGCTAGGCGCTGGGAAGCTCCCGTGTTTTTTTAAGCACTGCTGTTTTGGCGTGATCCTGCCCCGAACGCAAGCAGCAGCGAGGCCTGTCTGCGTAATGAGGTTATTACTGCCTGTATCTTATTTCCACAGAAGGAGAGGGACTCAGGAAGCTCAGTCATGATCTTGACATTCAGAAAGGAGGGGAGTGCTAATTTCTTGCTGACTAAGGGCCCCTCCAGACTGGTGCATTTTGGTGGATATATCCTTCAACAAGTTATGGGCGCAATAATAGTGTATTGACCTTGACAAGGAGCTAATAGCGCTGCCGGACGACTGGGGAGGGCCCCCTCAGGGCTGCTGTGACACCAAGCCAGGGTGGAGACGTGTGATTTTTGTGAGGGCCCCACCCCGGAGACTTCACCCTTGGTGGAGGCCAAACTACCTAACTCCTAGGTATGCTCCTGGCACTGAGTGGTGGATTTATATTGGACCATGCCATATTTTGGGTTTTGACAAAGTGACTGATGTGAAAAGCCTGAATTTTTCATCATAATTTCCTGCTTTATTTTAAATTGAACCCCTTGCTCCTAGGTAATCTAAATAAACTAGGCCAATGGAGATGTTTCAAAGCATGTTGAAAAGGAGTCAAGCTTCCAACAATCCTCTGCCTCACAGATGTGTAGCCCAGATGTTGTTGGACTTCAGTTCCCATCAGCCCCATGGTTAGCTGTAATCCAGCAACATCTAGAAGGAAGCAGGTTCCCCAAACCAGCTCTGTTTTAACTCACCTTTGGCCAGTGCTGTTACACAGCATCCAAGAAGTGTAGGTTACCATTATATTATTATTATTAATAATAATAACAACAACAACAACAGATCCAAGCAAAGAACTTGTAGATAAAAGGATACATCCCCAAGATAACTGCTTCAAGGCATTTGATAGGTAAAGATTCCCTGGTCATTTCTTTTGCCGATTCCATTAACCTACGAGAGCAGGGGAGGAAAAAGAAAACAAATCATTTATACAAATGCTGGACCAAGAATCATTGTGCCTGAAATCCACGGCCATGTACTATAGTCACTCAGAGAAAGCAACTGATGTTTTCACACTAGGAAGCTGCACACAGACTTTTTATTTCAGAAGAAAACAATGTTAAGAACTGCTTGATCCAGCACTGATGACTTCACGACTGCACAAACCTAACTGAGTTGTGGAGGAGTCTTGTGGAGCAGGCAGCCTGTTTTATACTGCTTTATTAATTCCTCATCATGACTTAGTTCCACATAAGTAACTGGAGTTGTGAAACTGACCATATTGGCTTGCCAGGGGAAGGATGGCAGCTCAGTGGCAGAGCATCACTTTGAGTTCAGAATGCCCCAGTTTCAGTCCCCAACATCTCCCTACATGGCTGGGAGAGAACCCTGTCTGAAACCCTGCAAGCCAGGGGTGAAGAACCCCCAGGTCTGTGTGGCCCTCCAATCCTCTCTTTTTGGCCCTCTGAACTCTCCCCAGGCCAGCCCCCTCACCGGCGCTGCTTTGCACCCTGAGTGCTTTTGCCTGGCTGAGATGTATCCCTGAATTCCGATGACGCCTCTTGCTTGTCTGGATGAATTAGGTGGGGTGGGTGGGTGTTTAGAGGCTGGCCTACTGTGTAAAGCTTTAGCCAATAGTCATTGTGTTATGTACTGAGCTGAATCCTAGAAAAATAGGATCCAGAATGCAGCAGTCTGATTGGTCTGCAGGAGCCACCCAATCCAGCTCCAGGTGGAAGTCAATCAGCAACCTGATTGGCCTGCAGGAGCAGCCAATCAGGCTGCTGGATGAAGTGAATCAGCAACATGATTGGCCTACTGGAGCAGCCACTCAGGCTTCTGGAGGAAGTGAATCCGCAACCTGATTGGCCTACAGGAGCAGCCCGGAATTAGCCAATCACGCGGGGCCCATTGTGTAAATAATGTTTATATAGCAGACGTTTTGGGGAAAGTTTCATTCATTGCTACCACGAGCTGAATAAAGAGCATGAAATTCACACTCAACTCTGAGTATATTTCACATTGGCACACTGTCTGGCAATCTTCTGGGCCTTTCTCAGTGTGGCAAGTGCCTTTTCGCAGGGTGCACCCTTGTAGTCCACAAGAGCCTCGCACTTTGCAGCAATAACAAGTTCCATGTCTTCAAACCAGTTGGGGATCTGTTGATCTCTTTGGCCAAAGGAGGACATAGCTGTGTTGCAAGGGTTATATTTGCACTCCTTGCTCTGCCCAGGCTGCCCAGAAAGTAATGTAGACCTTGGGCTGCAAAAAACATTCAGGTGTAGACAGTATCAGGCTGGCTAGACCATTTCCTATGTTTCACCCCTTTCTGGTCTAGTCAGTTTCATTCCTAATAGAGACTTTCTCCTGACAGCTTGTAGCACACCAGAACTCCTGCAGATAAGCAAATTTCAGACACAATAAAAGTTAGAACAATTCCCAAAGTGTTCCAGTTGCAGCATTAGAAGGGCTTTTCCCAGCAAGGTTCTTTTTATACTCATATGTTAATTATAGCCCTGCAATTCTGACTTGACGTCTCTGTGGGTTGCCTGCTGAACCTTGTCTGCTTCCAGATGGGCAGTTTCTTAGCGCTCATAAGCATTGCTCTTTCACTGCAAGCTGAATTACAATTGACTTTCTCCACATTACACTTCTGGTGCATGTTCATCCCGCTGGATTCCATTCACACCAGTGGCTGTAGCATAGTTGCTGTAGCGCAGGAAGGAACTCTCCCATTCACCTGAGTGCCACTTTCCAGGCATAAAATAGCAATTCCCTCTTTTCATAGCATCATAGAACTGTAAAGTTGGAAAGCACCCTGAGGGTCACCCCCTGCAATGCAGGAATCTCAGCTAAAGCATCCATGACAGATGGCCATCCAACCTCTGTTTAAAAACCTCCAAGGAAGGAGTGTTCCACTGCCAAACAGCGCTTACTGTCAGAAAGTTCTTCCTGAGGTTTAGCCAGAATCTCCTTTATTCTAACTTCAAGCCATTGGTTTGGGTCCTCCCTCCAGAGCAGTTGAAACCAAGCTTGCTCCATTTTCCAGATGACAGGGTAGGCAAATTAAGGCCCGGGGGCCAGATCCGGCCCCATCGCCTTCTCAATCCAGCCCACAGACGGTCTGGGAATCAGTGTGTTTTTACATGAGTAGAATGTGTCCTTCTATTTAAAATGCATCTCTGGGTTATTTGTGGGACATAGGAATTTGTTCATTTTTTCCCCTTCAAAATATAGTCCGGCCACCCCAGAAGGTCTGAGGGACAATGGACCGGCCTCCTGCTGAAAAAGTTTGCTGACCCCTGCCTTTAGATCTTTGAAGAGGCCTGTCATAGCTGCTCTCAGTTTCCTCTTTACCAGGCTAAACATACCCAATTCCCTCAACCATTCCTCATAAGGCATGCTTTAGGCGTATAAGGTAAAGGGTAAAGGGACCCCTGACCATTAGGTCCAGTCGTGACCGACTCTAGGGTTGCGGCGCTCATCTCACTTTATTGCCCGAGGGAGCCGGCGTACAGCTTCCGGGTCATGTGGCCAGCATGACTAAGCCGCTTCTGGTGAACCAGAGCAGCGCACAGAAATGCCGTTTACTTTCCCACCGGAGCGGTACCTATTTATCTACTTGCACTTCATGCTTTCGAACTGCTAGGCTGGCAGGAGCAGGGACTGAAGAACGGAAGCTCACCCTATCATGGGGATTCGAACCACCGACCTTCTGATCTACAAGTCCTAGGCTCTGTGGTTTAACCCACAGCGCCACCCACGGCGTATAGCAAGCCCTATACTAACAAAAGTCACGGCAGTAAACAATTGAGTCCCCAAACAGGACATCTCAGAGAAGCTCCCTGTAAAAGTAGATGGGTGGAGTTGGAGAATAAGCCTTGTTTTAGTTATCACACTAGCCCAGTCTAGACAGTAATGTGTTTTTTGTTCACAGAAGCTTCAGATGTGGCAAGGATGCACGAGGAACAGGAAGCACAAGTACCTGTCCATGTGCTTCTCCAGTTCACTCAAAAGAGGCATGTCTGCATCTCCCCTACAGGGAGACAGAGAATCAACTCTCCCCCCCCCCGCCCCCCACATCCCATCTGTCATCACAGCCAAAGCTGCTTACAGACACAGCTTCAGCATTTTTCAAGGTCCCCATTCTGAGCATTGCCACAGGCACTGGCTCACCACGTTCACAACAATTCCTATTCATAGATCAGGGATCACACTATGGAAATGCAGCAGCTAAAACACAGACAAGCAGCCTGCTGTGCTGGGAGGAGCTGGCACAAGCAGGCCCCCCCAAGTAACACTGAACAATAGGTCTCCTACAATTGTCTTCCAGCCAGCCCCGTCTGAGACTTATCAAAATGTCAAAATAAGTGGTGGACCCTGCAGAGCTGAGACATCTGCACTGCTGTGTCTTATGGAATGTTCCACCATATAAACAAAATTATTAATTATTATTGTTGTTACTATTATTTGCATTTATTATTTATTTAGCTATTAAATTTGTACACCACCCTTCATATCCGAAGATCACAGGGAGGTTCGCAACATAAAAATACAAAATAAGAACACAAAATACATAAGACAAGAACAAGAACAAAACAAACCACCACTGCTGCCACCGCAATCACATTTAAAAGGCCACTGAATGTTCAGGGATGATGGGGCTGTAGTCCAACAACATCTGCAGAGACATAGTTTCCCAGTCTTTGTGGTTCTATTTTATATTATACAGTTTTACTATATATTAGTTTGGTGCCCAGGTAGTCCTTTGATCTAACCCAGCTTAGTAGAAATAATATGTACTTAGTAGAAATACTATGAGAGGTGGAAGTTTAAAGCTCTTCTATTACACCAGTTGGGAGGAAGTAGAGGCTAGTTGTCAATCAGCTTCCTGCCTGGGTAAAGACATACGAGGAAGGATAAATAATAGTTGACCTTCTGGATCTCCACGGGGAGCTTCAGAGCCCCCTGCCTTGAGAACTTCTGACACCAGGCTCAGAAGCAGCAGGCCATGTGCATGCAAAGCCATGTGCAGCAGTCTCCTTGCTAGCTGGGGAAAAGGAGCGCATCTTGGCAGCTTTTCAATACAGGGTTTTACAAGATGGTAATTATTATCCCCGCTTCCTGAAGCCATCAGGGTGGGCAGAATATTAATGGTTTCAGTGCCTGACAGTCTTCACCAGCTGAGCAGAGCAAACGCAAGCAGCAACTCATCCTCCTCTTATTGTCGAAATACCAAAGTCATGTTTTAATGTATGCTCCATTTCCAATGCAAGACCTCACTTATCAGGATCCTCTGCTCACCAACATACTGAAGGCAGATATTTAAAATCCAAGACGCCGGGCATTTTGCTAGCTTAATTTAAGTAGACACATGTTGTCTGTCAGGCCACACAATACTTGCACAATTATTGATTGATTGATTGATTGATTGATTTGATTTACTTAATTTATATCTCACCCTTCCTCCCCCAAAAAACCCAGGGTGGCAATTTAAAAAGCAAAAGCAAAACCATTCTAAAAAATGGTTAAACACTTTTATATGGTATGATATAATACCCTGCTGCGACACTTTTGGGTTGTCAGTAATGAAAAGATATATATTTTTAAGTTCAAAGCTTCTAAAAGCAATTGCAGTTAGAAACATATCAGAGCAATTAGTTAAAAACGTTGTAGAAGCAATTAAAAGCATTATTCCATCCAGTGATCTGGGGTTGTTACTGAATTCAGCAGAACAAAAGCTTGCCACTCGTTACACAAGGAAGACTGTTCTGCCCCATTGTGGGACCATTGACCCAGCAACAGAGTTGCATTCTAAGGCCAAAAAACAGCGGCACTGTGGAAGGGAAATACAGGGGAGTGCAGCTCTCGACTATTTTCAGGATAGGAGCAGTGATGTCATTGGCCGGTGCACCAGGGTAATTAATGGACCCTTCTTGCTCTGGCAAATGAATGGGGCCTCCAAGATTATTTGTGACAGATTAGTATAGAGGAGGCCAGAGGAGGAGAAAAATAATCAAGGAGAGGCTGGATTCTTCTTTCTGTTCCTTGATGAGGCACCCTTTCCTACTTCTCCCTAGCAGTTTAAATGGTAACCCTTCTTTGCAAGATGGTTTGCATTTCCAATCAAAAGCTAAAGAGGTTGCAATTCAGCAGATGGGGATCTTTTGTTTAAACCTTGTCATGATGTGTTTTTCAAGATGAGCCTACAGGTTGTAGTTACAGCGAACTATTACGCAGAGTAGACCTAGTGAAATTAACAGACCTAAGTAAGTCATGTTGAATGCAATCCTAGGCAAGTAAACACTACTGAGTTCATTGGAGCTTACTCCTAGGAAGTCCTGCATATGATGGCATGTCATGCTGATCTAACAAACTAGGTACAGTGGTACCTCGGGTTACATACGCTTCAGGGTACAGACTCCGCTAACCCAGAAATAGTACCTCGGGTTAAGAACTTTGCTTCAGGATGAGAACAGAAATCGTGCTCCGGTGGTGTGGGGGCAGCGGGAGGCCCCATTAGCTAAAGCATCAGGTTAAGAACAGTTTCAGATTAAGAATGGACCTCCAGAACGAATTAAGTACTTAACCCAAGGTACCACTGTATTATGCCAGGCATCGGCAAACTCAGCCCTCCAGATGTTCTGAGACTACAATTCCCATCATCCCTGATCACTGGTCCTGTTAGCTAGGGATGATGGGAGTTGTAGTCCCAAAACATCTGGAGGACCGAGTTTGCCTATGCCTGTATTATGCTATTATGCTAGTGCTCATTGATAGGTGTGGGTGTTGGAACAAAAACCGTGTTTTTGTCTCTCCTTGAGAGCAGGGCTATGGGGCTATCATGATAAGCTCCTGGACTTCAAAACTTACTAATACACCACTAGTCATAACCGAAAACCGTCTGCTGCAGCAGATGAGCCATATAATACAGTCTTTGGGGCAATTCATGCAATGACTTATCACATAGTGTTGGTCCACGATGAAGCAACGACAAGCTGGCATTTTTTGGCTAGGCAACTGGCCTTGTCACTGGTACAGACCTGAGCTAAGATTGTAACTTTCCACTTTCGGCCTCTGTTCACATGGCCAAAGTTTCTGAGTTGCTGGAAACAGAGGGCTCTTGGGCTTGCATCCTGCTTGCAGGCTTCCCATAGGAATCTGGCTGGCCATTGTGAGAACAGCATGCTGGACTAGATGGGCCATTGGCTTGGTCCAACAGGCCCGTCTTATGTCAAGCATTCTATCCTGTTTTATCCATGCAGACAAGTTACCCAACCTTAGGAGCTCTCTCTGAGAGCCAGTGTGGTGTAGTGGTTCAGAGCGGTAGTCTCGTAATCTGGGGAACCGGGTTCGCGTCTCCGCTCCTCCACATGCAGCTGCTGGGTGACCTTGGGCTAGTCACACTTCTTTGAAGTCTCTCAGCCCCACTCACCTCACAGAGTGTTTGTTGTGGGGGAGGAAGGGAAAGGAGAATGTTAGCCGCTTTGAGACTCCTTAAAGGGAGTGAAAGGCGGGATATCAAATCCAAACTCTTCCTCTTCTTCTTCTTCTTCTTCTTCTTCTTCTTCTTCTTCTTCTTTAAAAATAAAATAACCCAAGCCCACCAGAGCATCCAGCACCCCCCAATGAGTCCAATTGATACTTACCCACTTAGAGGTCTTGATTTCCTAATTTCAAAAAATTGAGTCCCTGTGTGATTGTATCTGAGTTTTATTGGTTAAGGCAAAGTAACTGCATAACAGGGAGGAGAAATCAATTGGTTTAAGCGAGTGATATGACCATCATCACTTCTATAATGCATACCATCTATTAAAAGTTATTACCTCCAATTTAATCACAGATTTAAAAAGATACACAATGGAGATGTATTTGACAATGAACGTGGGGCTACCTTTGAAGGTGACTCAGAAACTGCTATTAATCCAGAAGGCGGCTGCTAGACTGGTGACTGGGAGCGGCTTCCGGGACCATATAACACCAGTCTTAAGAGATCTACACTGGCTCCTGGTATGTTTCTGAGCACAATTCAAAGTGTTGGTGCTGACCTTTAAAGCCCTAAACAGCCTCAGCCCTATATACCTGAAGGAGCATCTCCATCTTCATTGTTCAGCCCGGACACTGAGGTCCAGCTCTGAGGGCCTTCTGGTGGTTCCCTCGCTGCGGCCAACACAGTGGTTTATTTTTGGCAGTGTTTTAAATCACTTTCTGACTCAGAGTTACAGCTTAATAGCCAGACACAGGATGGCCACTTAATAGCCCAATGGGAACATCTGTTTCCAGCATGGAGAGCTGAACTGTAATGGAGTGATGTGTCAAAAAGGAAGCAAAGCATCAGCTTAATTTGCTGTTTTAGATGTGTGGGAAACTGGAGAAGCGGCTCTGCTTTAGAGTGGGTTTTTTTTTTGTAAGGCAGATCCTCAGGGGGTTTAGAATGGTCAATTTTTTAAAAGCTGGTCAGGTTCGTTGCAATGTCAAACAAAGTTCACTCAGATTTCAAGACATCCTTAATGCTTTGTATACTTAAAGCACACTTCTCCCCCTCCAATCCATATACCACTCCAGCCTGCTAGTCTGAATTGCAGGCAATTATCTGGGAAAGGGCTGTAGCTCAAGGGGAGAGCATCTGCCTTGCATGCAGATCCCCTGCATCTCCAGGTAAAGCTGGGAAAGATGTCCTCCCTGAAACCCTGGAGAGCTACTGCCAGTCAGGGTAGGCAATACTGAGACAGATTGGGCACATCCACACTGTACATTTGAAGCACATGGCTTCCCCCAAAGAATCCTGGGAACTGTAGTTTTCTACTCACTCAGCTGCAATTCGCCACACCCTTAACAAACTACAGTGCCATGGTCTGTAAATGTATGGTGTGGGTTTCTCCTTAGGTGAAAACTCAGCTTCCTTCTTACAGGACTCCAATTGGCTAAACCATATCATTTCCTCTCTTTCCAGGCTGTGAACCGCTCATGGCACTGCTCATGTACAAGAGGATAGCACTAGTAGGCATGGGGAAAACCCAAAATTTGCAAAACAGCACCTAAGAGAGAAGGGAACCCAAGAAGCAGCTCAAGGAGTACTGAGTACTGAGCATGCTCAGTAGCCACAGACGCTTCAGGTTACAGACCCTGCTAACCCAGAAATAGTACCTCAGGTTAAGAACATTGCTTCAGGATGAGAACAGAAATCATGCAGTGGCAGCGCAGCAGCAGTGGGAGGCCCCATTAGCTAAAGTGATACCTCAGGTTAAGAACAGTTTCAGGTTAAGAACGGACCTCCAGAACGAATTAAGTTCTTAACCCGAGGTACCACTGTAGTGCTGATTTGGGGTGTAGGGGAATGGCAACATTTTGTTGCAGATCTCATTTGTTCCATCTAATGATCTACCCCACCAAGCTCCTAAGGCTTCACAAGCCCCTTCAGCTCAATACAGGCCGCTCTGGCCTTTCAAAGGTATGGACACCACCTTCTCTTCCTCAGCAGCAATTCATCACCACAAAGATGTGAAAATTCTCTTCCCAATGACCTTGGAAGCGGAGTTCACAAAGGACATTTTCAATCGATTGGATGCTAAATCTCCCTCTTCAATTACATCCTCATCAGTGTCAGCACAAGCTAATTGCATGGCCCTCAAGACCAAGCGAAGCAGGCCAAAGCTTAGGTAGCCTCACAAATCTTCCCTATTGCCAGGGAAAGGTAGCAAAGAGAATTTTACCCCTCCTTTGCTTTCCATTCTCATGTCACATTTTACCCTTTTCCCTCCCTCCCTCCCTCCATGCATTCACTCAACAGCTCAATAGAAAAGCTTAACATTGCAGTTTTGGGTCTCCAAAACATATATATATATTTAAAAAAAGGATACTGCAGCATCTTCATGTAATTCTGTATTGCCTGAAGCCACTCAGGGATGGTCATGGAAGCCCTGTAGCTTGGCAAGGATGGCATTGAAGGCTGTGAACAAGGAGAGAGAGAAATGTTGAGAGGCTGTTGCTTATTCAAGCAGGAAGGGGGCAGAGCTGAAATCACCTCAGGATGACAGTGTTCTGCTCACACCAGAGGTCCGGTTATGGGGTGGCTCAAGCCCTGGGTCTTTTGTGCAGTGGCCCCACATCTCTTGACTCTTCGCTTCCCTGCTTTTTACCATTATTTGTTTTTTGCTTATATTTATATGGATAGGTATATGCGAGTACATTGAAAATGCAAGTACTGACATGGAAACAAGCACACAAAAATTGCACAGTTTAGACAGGATACATCAAATTGCAAGTAAACTTTAAATAATGATTTGTATAATCCAGAATACCAATAACCATGGACAAAAAATTAAAAGGGGGGGAGCAAAGAAAAATAAACCAGCATACTTAATAAATTTAATAGGGGGGAGGTATTGCTTGGGCCCTTTGATTTATAAATGTATACATTTATGATATTTTGTTGAAGAAGTATCATATTCATTTCTTCTCATAAAATTGCAAAAGGTGTCTTGTCTAACTAACCATCTCTCTGACTACTGCTCCAAAGTTCTGTAAACATTTTCCATTCTTCCTCAAATGCTCTCTTTCTTAATTTATTTTTTTTTAAAGCTTTGCCAACAGGATTACTGGCCTTCATCAATGCCAGGAAGACCCTAGCCACCTACTCTCAAATTTCCACCAAGACACACTTCCATTTATGCAGATACATGGCTCCTGAGCCTCATGTCCCAACTGGCCAGCAGCATCGCTGGTTTACGCTAAGGAAGTTCATGCAGCCTGACCCTATCTAGGCAACTAGGACAGGCTTCCTCAACCTCAGCCCTCCAGATGTTTTGAGACTACATTTCCCATCATCCCTGACCGCTGGTCATGCTAGCTAGGGATCATGGGAGTTGTAGGCCAAAAACATCTGGAGGGCCGAGGTTGAGGAAGCCTGGTCTAGGGCCTTGTAGATGTTGCAGGACTCCCCCCATCCCCAGTTAATACGGCCAAAGGTCACAGATGATAGGAGCTGGAGTCCAACCACATCAGGAGGGCCACAGATTCTTCACCCCTGGCTTATAGCAAGTGCATAAGTGACAGGAGCCAGCCAGCAATAAATCATATGGAATAAGCAAAGTTAACTCTTTATTAGAAGCATAGTCTGCCAGGCCTAATGAGCACAGCAATTCTTCTTTGGTAGGTCTTGCCCCTATGAGGCAGTTGTGGAGACTGAGGATCCCTATCTTCCTACAGCTGTCGAAGTCTCATCCTCTCCCAGGTCCTTCCCAAGCAATCTGAGACTACGCTGGCATGTCTGCTTCTGCTTCTCTCACTTCATGCCTCTCCTGGTCCTGGGAGACCAGGGAGGGGGAAGCTTCTTCACCACCCTGACTCATCTCTGCCTCTTGGCTTCCCTCATCCCTCTCTCCTGCTGCAGCTTCCGATTCAGAACTTCTCTTTACCTAAGACTCTCCCTTCTCACTGAGCCCTGTTACCTCTTCAGCTTCCTCCTCCCAGTTTGCTCTCTCTTCTCCCTCTGAGCACTCATCGTCATTCCACCACCAATCCCAAGGTCCGGGGGCCTTCTTCCCTTTGGGGTTCCCCAGCCTCCCACCATTCCTCTCTTTTTCCAGCCAATTCATTACAATAAGATTGGGCAGCTCAGTTTGGTCTTCATTCCAGCGTCAGGCCAGCTCTGCCAAATCAAGTAACTGTTTTCTTAGTCTGGCCTTGCAATGCACAGAAGACAGTTCCCCATCACTCAGCACTACTCCCTGCTCCATACTTCCCCCAGAATATTCACCACAGCTGTTTGCGGCACTGTCAAAGGGAGCTGGTTATGATGCCACATGTCACTCTTCTGTGCCAGCAATTGACAAACGGACATGGACACATGCCTTCAGCAGCTGGACTGCTGGCATATGTGACAGGAGCCAGTGAGTGACCAGATGCTGAAATGTCTGAAACACAAACGAGCTTCCTTTGCCATGAGAATCTCATGGATTATGAACAACGTTTTAAAGAAGTTTACCATTTAGAGCTGCATAACAGATTTACGAAAGAATGCCGAGCACCCGCTCTTAACAATCTGATGTTGGCAGTCAGGGATTCCAATGCTGTCGCAGCTCTGGATAGTGCCTATTCCTAAAAATGGGACACCGATTTCCAAAAATGTGAAATATTTCCCCAGCCCTTTGATGCTGCTGTTCTGTTCCACCAGGGTGCTAGATTTTGTTCAAGGAAGTTACAACTTATTTATTTGTGTCTATTGCATTTAGCATACCACCTTTTTCCCAAGAAGATTAAGGTGATATAGCATAGCTATAGCTCCTCCCCCCCCCCATTTTTCCCTCACAACAACCCTAGGAAATAAGTTAGGCTGAAAGGCAGTGATTGGCCCAGTGAGCTTCATGGCTGAGTCAGGGTTTGAACTCTGGTCTCTCAGGTCCTATTCCGACACTTGTAACCATTACACCACACTGGCTCATTAAGGAAGAGAAGGTCACCTACTAGTCAGAGAAGACCGGGGCAGGGAACCTGGGGCCCTCCATATTTATTTCTGCTGGACTCCAACTCCCATGAGCCCGAGTCAGCAAGGGATGATGGGAGCTGTAGGTGAACAACACCTGGAGGACCATAGGTACTCGACTGAATTCACCAGAGGTGGAGTACTGGATCTTGACAGTGTAACAGATTGTTTTTTCTCCCATCCCCCATGGGCCAACTGTGCCCACCTGTCAATCACCTGACATCACAATAAATAATCTGATCTGGGATGTGGCAGATTTCCATGCATGACGACGGAAGGGGTTAATTCCTGGTTTGCACTAGAATTGCCTTGCACAGATGTGCACAGGATATTTAAAAATTAGTTGCCACCCAGGGATCTACTGTAGGATCAGGCAGTCCAGTAGGTATCAGACCAGGTTTCCATTTTTTTTGTTGTTGTTTTTTTGTATAAAAGAAAAACAAATGGTCAGAGCAACTCTGTGGCACATAACAAAATGTCAACCTGCCCAGACGGACGACATGCTTGCTCACGACTGCTAAAACACAAGGGAGCTTAATAGGAAAGTCGTCTCAGTGCCCCGCAGTATGTAGCCTTGCAGACATAACAGGTGGCTGGAAGGGCAGCTATCTCTGGAGAGTTTCCATCGCAAGTTGTCTCCATCGCCAGCTGTTTCATCAATCACCAGGCCAACCGCAAGTCACATGGTGCAGAATTAGAATTCGGAATGGAAAAAGCTGAGGGAAGGAAGCATCTGCCTTGACCGCCTGCAATAGCAACTGGGGCGCTGGGATGCTCATTGAAACCCAAATCCCGATTCCTTTCTGGCCAAGAGGAAATAGCGTGCCTCTGACACGCTAATAAGAAAATCATCACTAATTACAGATTTAATTTGGGTGGCATATGCCAGATTCCCATACGTTGCAATTTAGCACTTACTTTGAATAAGTCCATTCACAAGGATTTCAATTGGGATATAGCAGCTGATGAATTAAAATGGAGGGATTGGAAAGAGGGTTGCCAACCATCTTAAAAAACAAAAACAAAACCCAGCTCTTTCTTTCAACCCAGTGTTGCTCTTGTGCCTTTAATGCTTTGTCATACATTCATAGCTGGTAATGCTTATCTGCATGATGCTTCACTCAGTGCCCTTCAAGCTGCCGTGACAGGTACAAGAGAAAGCCAGGTATGGGGTTTTTTCTGGTCAGTTGGCAACCCTAATTATCACCCTCATTTTTCAAAGCAAAGGGGAATGCTGAAATAAATACACAACAGATTCTGGGCAGTATGGCTAAGGGACTATATTTTCATTTTGTTATTTATTTAAGGCATTTATATGTGGCTTTATATTCAGAATTTCTAAGCTGTGTACATAGAATGTTAACAAAAAGATCATACAAAGAATAAGATTAAAATTCATTCTAAAAACAGGGGTGGAAACCACTTTAAAATTCCTGCTGCATTAGGAAAGTCTTTGTCAAGCTCCCCACATTGGGCAAAAAGATTCCTGCATTGGAAGGGGTTGGATAGATGACCGTCGTGGTTCCTTCCAACTCTATGGTTCTATGATTCTAAGAGTCCCAAATTCATCAGGGAGGGGCGTGCATGGCATCTGAGATGTAGGACATTAGTTTTTCTTTGAGGACTAGTAAATATATCCTACTTATTGTTAGAGTTATAATGCAATCATATTATGTAAGCCTGTTGCATTTGATGTTAGCTTACCCCGAGTAGACTGAAATGGACGGGACTAACTTAAGTCCATTAATTTCAATGGGTCTATTCTGAGGAAAACTTAGCTGGACACAGCCATATATGTTTCCGGGCACAATTCAGAGTGTTGGTACTGACCTTTAAAGCCATAAATGGCCTCGGTTCTGTATACCTGAAGAAGCATCTCCACCCCATTATTCAGCCTGGACACTGAAGTCCAGCTCTGAGGGCCTTCCGGCGGTTCCCTCACTGTGAAAAGTGAGGTTACAGGGAACCAGGCAGAGGGCCTTCTCGGTAGTGGCACCCGCCCTATGGAATGTCCTCCCATCCGAGGTCAATGAAATAAACAACTATCTGACTTTTAGAAGATATCTGAAGGAAACCCTGTTCAGGGAAGCTTTTAATATTTGATGAGTTATGGTATTTTAATATTTTGCTGGAAGCCGCCCATCTGGCTGGAGAAACCCAGCCAGATGGGTGGGGTATAAATAATAAATTTTTATTATTATTATTATTATTATTATTTGTATTAATTCTTTCCACACACAGCGCTATATAAGGGCCTGTTTTATTTCTCCATATGACCAGCCAGCCTCAGTGTCCTGGGATGCAGCTGCTTGGAAAGCTGGCAACGTAATCCTCTGCATCTTCATGCACAATAGGGCTCACATCTAATTAAATGTGCATAGGATTGCAGCGGTGGCAAATTCAGCCCGCGTGGGTTAGTAGTGTTGGACTAGGACCTAGGAGACCAGGGTTCAAATCCCCACCTTGGGCCCAGTCCCTGCCTCTCAGCCTAACCTACCTCGCAGGGTTGTTCAGGGGATTAAATGAGGAGAGGGAAAACCATGTATGCCACTTTGAGCTCCCGGAAGAAAAAGGTGGGATATAAATGTGATATATATAGATAATACCACTTCCCAAATGTTACACGGAGTTCTTAACTAATTCTGAAGGAACTCCTGGAGGCCATTTGAATGCACTTCTCCAAGCAACTTATATCGTTGGGTATGTGTGGAGGACCTTGCATAGGGCTCTAGACTCCATCTTGAAGTGCAGTCCATCATCCGTAGTGTCACCATGACTGCAAGCAACATCAGGCCTGCCTCTTTGCTCACCAATGGTGCAATTTTGCTTCTCCTTTATATTGAAGGTGTGGGCAGCCTCTGGAGATAACTGTAGCTCAGTAGCAGAGCACTTCTGATAGAAAAGGGACCATAACTCATTGGTAGAGTCTATACTTTGCATGCAGAAGATCCCAGATTGAATCTCCAGCATTTCCAGTTCTAGGTGGTAGGAAAGACTCTGAGATCCTGGAGAGCCACTGCCAGTCAGGGTAGGCAAGACTAGCTAGATGATCTGGCCTAGGCAGCTTCATGTACTACTTGTAAGTGCACAGAACACAGAAGAAGCTTGGAGCAGCTGGTCAGAGTGAAACAATCCAAACTGCCTGGTTTGAGGGTTTCTACAGACTTCTCATTGCATCCCATCAAATCTGAAATTCAACGCAATCCTGAGCCAAGTGTCATTTTTCCTGCCAAACTGCAGCTGTTGTGCCACCTGTGATTTCGCTTCATCACAAGAGCTGTTAGCAGAGAGCTGCAAACTTTCACAACTGTTCATGGAGAGAAACGATGAGACCCGACATTTCCAATGCATGGAAAGCGATTTGTTGCTCAAAATTAAGTGCTTAGCATGGAAATGCCCAGATGACTGTCGCTGTTAACCACCTCTGGCCTCCGCTCTAATGTGCAACTACAAGCATTTCCTCCAGGGATGAAAACGAACAGCTGCTGGGCTGCGTTTATAGATGTCTCAAAGGCCTACTAATGCAAGTATAACCAAGGCTGGGAATATTCTACGCTACACCACAGTACTGCACACATGGATACAAATTGGTACAAGCTTCTTCTTTTAAAGCAACTTACTAGTCCTCATGGTACAGGAAAGGCCTGGAAACATGTGGGCACTTAGGCAAAGTTTCAAAGACCAAAGGAGGCTGAGCAAGGCATACACTGGTCCCTAGGTAAGACTTCAGTGCCCTGTTTAGAGCTGGAGGGTTGTGTCTGTTAGACCTACTCACAGCAGACCCATTGGAACGCATGAGCATGCCTAAGGTCCATTAATTTAATTGGGGTTTCTTTTTCCCATATCCATGGCTGCCTCACCCAATGCCTGACTTCCTTACAGTTAATCCTTTGCTTGCAAAAGAAAGAGCTACCAACCTTCAATTAGCTTGCGGGATAGCTCAGTCGGCAGAACACGAGACTCTGAATCTCAAAGTTGTGGGTTTGACCCCCACATTGGACAAAAAGATTCCTGCAATTCAAGGGGTTGGACTAGATGACCCTTGTGGTCCCTTCCAACTCTACCATTCTTTGAAACCCTCACTGGGGAAAGAAGAAACGATCATGCAAATGAGTAAATACACCCACACCCACAAGCTTGATTCACACACCTGGCCAGAGCAGAGGTGGTTAACCTTTGGCCCGCCAGGTACTGCATGGGACTCCATGTCCCATCATCCCTGACCATCAACCATGGTGGCTGGGGCTGATGGGATTTGGAGTCCAACAACATTGGGAGATCTACAGACTAGCCACCTGTCTGGGCTAGAGAATCTGCGGACCCTTGCCACAGAATAAGGCCCATGACAAAGGAAGCTGCAGTCATAACTTACTTTTGCAAGGTTGTCAGCATTCCTTATGGTCTCCACCATCTCTTTGCCCGACGGATGCACCTTCGCCACGTGGCCCCACATCCTCTCCCAGGTCTTCCCATCAATAGGGAAGCCACTTTTGTTGACGAGGAAAACCACCCCTCCATCTTTGTCTTCCTCTTCCGAGCCCCCGCTGTTGGCAAGGCCAACCGTCCGGGCGTGCGAGCTCCTCGAACGGCCCCCTTTGTCTCCTTTAGGGTGGCGGGAAGCATTGGAGCTGGAGCCCGTCATCGCTGAGCCTTCAAAGGGACGAGAGGCACCTCTCCGGGGCAAAGCAGGAAGAGACGGACAGCTCAGTGTCCCAACCAGGTAGCACTCCCCATCCCCTCTTCCCCCACCCCCAAGGAATCAGGTTGGCATGAAGTTGCTTGCTAACAGCAGCCAAGCAGATCACCGGCGGGTCTCTCCTCTTGCAGGCAGAATCTATTCGGAAATAACAACAGGAGGTGCAAGACAGCACATGTTAGCATCATGGTCAGACAAAACAGCCCGTTTCCCACTAGGAGAACTAGCGAGCGAGATGCATCAGGCAGAGGCTCTCGTTGTTCTCAGCCAGAAATGGGAAACAATGGAACAGCAATAATCAAAGCAGACACTTATCGGATACACCTATGAAACAAAAGAGGAGGACCCTCCGATCCCTCTCTTCCTCAGCAGCCCCCTCAGGTTCTCTCTCACCGGAGCGCGGAGAAGGGAAGAGGGACCCTGATCTCCCTCTAAGGACACGCATCTACACATTTATACGCACACCCTGGAATAACCCTCTGGGAACTGTCACACAAAAGGAAGCGGGAGCCTCTGCGCAGAGCTGGATCCCTCTCTTCCCGCATAACATTGTCCCGGGTGATCATAAATCTGTCACCCCCACAGCGAGGCTGGATTCCGCCAGATCTCCCTGCTTGTTGTGTCTGGCTATCCGGCTCCGCGCCTGGATGGAGCCTGACTTGGGGCGGGAGGCGGGGAGGAGGGCGCACCGCTAAGGCCGTCGGAACGAGGATCCGACCGAGCATCCTCGCCGTTCAGCAGTAGCATCGGCGCGCTTCGTTCTTCCGGGGCTTGCATGCGGCAAACAGCCTCGGATGGTGCAGGTAGGAAGGCTGGGTGCATGCACGCCTGCAGGCGAGCTGGCACCGGTCTCGGGATCCCGACGTGCGGGGAGGAAGGCGGACCTGTCCGCTGTGATTACTGCAAGCCCTTTTTAAAAAAGCAGGCGGTTCCTCCCTCTCTCTGCCGCCGGGCGACCCCACCCATCCTCGGGCTCCCCTCCCCGCAAAACCCGGCCCGCCTCACCTGCTCGCGCAGCGATTCATTGCACCGGAGCCTCTCCCGGCGGCTGCGGCTGATGCTGCCTCTGCAGCTGCCTCGGCCGCCCCGGCCTCAGCCCATGTTCCATGATCAAGTGTTGCTCTCTGACATGGAACCATGTTACCCGGCAGCCGCCGACGTTCCGAGCGCCCCCATTGGGCGCCGCAACAAAGAAGGGCGGGCCTCGCGGACCCGGGCAGCGGCGCGAGGAAGTCTGGCCGGGCTCCGATTGGCTGCCGCGTCGGGCGCCGAGCGAGGCCAGCCCGGGAAATCTGATCGCTCGTGCTGCGAGTCAGGCCTTGGTGTCATTAAAAAAAAAATATTAAGCGGGGTTCTCCCAGCAGCGCCCCATTCAAAGTGGGTCTATAAATTTTTAATCTGCTTTAATATTTTAACTAAAAAGAAAATTGAAATTTTTTTTTAGTGCTTTCAGGAAGGGTTGTAATTTTCCATTTTTATCTTTTGTAAACCGCTTTGGTGCTTCGTTTTTGTTTTTTAAACAAGCAGTGTATAAATTTGATGAAACGAATCCATTAAAGGAAAGGGCTGGCGGCGGCGTGTCTTCTTGATTCGCTGCTGCGTATTCATAGCGATTCGAACAGATCTGAAGGCATCGCTCCCCCCCCCCCCGGATATTCCGCAAGTAACGCTGAGCGTTATTTATGACTCGCCCGTCTGAGCTCATAGCTGTTTTCAGTAGCAGATTCATGTACATACTATATATACTAATCACCAGGCAGACGATTAAACATAAACAAGAGTCTCTGGCTATTCTTTCCTGGTGCCGTTCATGTTGCTGGTGGTTGTTGCCTATAAATCCCTATGCAGCTTAAGACAAAGCCGCTTGAAGGACTGTCTCTTCTTATTGCGCTAAGGGCCCTGCTCCTTGGACGAGCATCTGCTATGCCTGCAGGAGGCCCTTCAATTTCTGACATCTCCAAGTAGGTCTAGGAGAGACCCTGGAGAGCCGCTGCCAGTCAGTGTAGACAATACTGAACTAGATGGATGAACCAATGGTCTGATTCCACAGAAGGCAGCCTCTTGTGGTCCTATGCTTCCTACTGGAATCTGTCTATCCTTTAACATCAGCTGTTACACTCCTTTGTGTGTGCCATTGCTTAGTGAGGCGAGACTGGTGGCAATGCATGATGGGGCTTTTTCTGTGGCGGCCTCTTGTCTGTGGAACTGCCTGCCCCAAGATGTTAAGTTACCTTCCTCCTTACTTGGGTTTCTCTGGCAATTGGAAATGTTACTTTTTAAACAAGCTATTCTGGCTACCTTAATGCTGAGGCAGCCAGATGTTCTTGAGACTCCAAATCCCATCCACTACGGTCACCAGGGCCAATAGTCAGGGATTATGAGAACTGTAGTTCAGCAACATCAGGCAAGCACTAGGTTGGCTCCCTCTGCCTTACTGTATTGATTGTGAGCGTTGCTGGTTGGTGTTTTTTCTCTTTCTTTTACTGCTGTTTATAGTTTTTATCATTTGTGTTTTAATAGCTTGATCAGTTTGGTCTTTCTGTTTGCTTTTATATTTTGTGCCACGTTGAGCAACTCCTGTGGAGTGGGAAAGCAGAGTAGATTTAAATACATATATATTAATGGGTAAAAATGATGTATGGAAAGAACAAAAGATAACCCAGGTTCTGCAGAATGAAAGCTCAACCTTTAACCTGACATTACAAGAGTGTACTTTGATCAATAGGAACATAAAGAAATACAACAAAAAGCATATATGTAGTCTCTTGCATGCTACATCTCCCAGGTCTGAGTTCTGGCATTTTTCATTTTATACATTAAGAACTGATTTCTAAAATGAAATATGCCAAACTCAAAGGGTTCGTCCACACTTCTGCTTGTCCTGTGCCTAAAAACCTGATTGATGTTTGCTCCAATACAGCAGTAAAGATTGAGCTTCTCTGGGGGCCAAGCAGAAGTCTGGATGAACCCAAAGTCTTTTCCTCCCTCTCACTGAATCCCCCACCCCCAATCCCATTTTATACATGTGAGATCTACTATATTTTAGAGTCTTAGGGTAAAAAAGAAAGTGGTTGTTCTGTCTTCCGACTATAAACTTAAAATGTAACTGCTAAGATGTAAAATGCCTGCAAAGTAGCCCAGTTGGATTTCTTTTCCTTTCACCCTGATGGGCAGTGGCATAATCTGGGGTTTACGAAAGTCCCATTATAGAGATCAGCAGATTTGATCCGTTAGACCTCAGATTCCCTTTTCATCTATCCCAGATGGCAGATGGGGAGGAGGGAGGTGAAAAATGAACATATATGCTAAATTCGATGAGCATGTCAAGAATGAAAGCTATTTGAATGCTAATGTTTCTTTTTTTTATACACCACACAATAGACTTACTCAGGACTGAACAAGATTCGTCCGTGGCCAGGGCACCATCTGCATTCCAGGGGATTTGGGTGTGGGGAAGTCATCTTACAAACGTTCTGATATGTGCCCATTTGTATGGGCAGAGCTGGCCTGACCATTAGTCAGAGTGAAGCATCTGCCTCAGGCAGCTCATTTTAGGTGTCATTAAAGGGTAGCAAATGGTAAATCATGTAAATTATTATGGTGGTATTGTTACCGCCAGAAAGGGAGAAAAGTTCTTATGGGACTTCCTGCCTCAGTTGCCAAAATCACCTGGGTAGTGTTTGGTACCTTTCACCTTGACAGAAGAAGGGGTGTGCCATTACAGTTCTTCCTCAGGCAGCAAAATGTCTTGGGCCAGCCCTGTGTCCAGGGGTGGCTGGTGGCACCCTCTGGAACTGATGGCATCAGAGGTGGATTTAGCAGAAGGTGACTGGTTCGCCCCCATTGGGCACTGAGCCGAGAGGGCACTGCAGGGGGCATCACAACAAGGACAAACAATGGAAGGCTAGAGGCCAGGGGGCACTGAATTTTGGCGTCAGACAGGGCGCTGCTGAAATTTGAAAGCCCAAACTCCACCACATAAGCCACAGCCAATGACAGGCAGAGCTGACAGATCTAGCTGTCTCTTCTTATGCCCTTTTGACTGGCATCTAATATTCCTAGGGAGCTTGGCCCATCCAGGAACCTCATGCTGTTTGCCAGAACGGATATTGCAGCTCCCTACAATATCTCTTGAATGCTTGAAGAGGAGCACTGGGTATCTGAGCATCCATGGTTAAATCAAATAAACTATGCCGGGTTACATGATTGGTTAGGTCCCAGCCTCTGAGCGAGATCTTCGCAGCACAAGCCCTGAAACTGTATTTCTGGTGATAGAATTGACAAGTGTGGGTTGCGGTGGCGTTTGCTTGTTTGTTTGCAGATCTGCATAATGAAAAGTTTTAGTGCTACCGACTGCATTAAGGTAACCCCAGAGCCCTTTCACTGTTGACTTGAAAAGACAATCTGCCTCTTTTACTTCCAGTGGTGCAGTCAGGACAGGACTGTAGGGCAGAAACGGCAGGAGGCCTTGCCACAATTTTGTAGTCAGTGAAGTTATGCACATTAAAGAAGGGCTCCTATCTTCAGTCTAATATTACGTAACTGTCACAGCTTGCTCTGTAGGTATGAGCACACTTATTTTATGCTAATGCCGCTCTGCGGCACTAAGTAATCCCCAGAGGAGCCAGCTCCTCTCCCGACTGTCTCCTTGGCTCGTGTTTCTCTCTCAGTGGAATTGCTGAACTCCATCATTAGCATGAGCAACCGGAAGACCATGGAGGTATTGTTTGAGGAGCTAAAGTAAACCAGCTGTGTGGGTTTGTGATGCCTGCAGAGTGTTTGGTTCCAGGAGAAAGAAGAGCATTCAGGAAGGGAACTGGAACAAAGATGCTTCTCTTTGCTGTGAATTTGCTGCGTGTTAAGGATTTTCGGCCCTGTTAACTCTTGGCTTCTGGGTGTGCTGACAACAAGCAAAATGGGGCTGGTTTCTGACTAGGTTTCCTAGGAAGCTGACTTAATACTGTGTCAGACCACTGACTCCATTGAGCTTAGTTTTGTCCACACTGACTGGCAGCAGCTCTCCAGGGTTTCAGAGTCTTTTCCAAACCCTACCTGGAGATAGATGGATTCCTGCCTGGAATGAACTTGGGACCTCCTGTACGCAAAGCAGATGCTTTGTAGCTCTTCAGTTTCTCTGCACTGTCTGCCAGCATTCCCATTCCGTGAGCTGAAAGCGACAATGGCAGGTGAAAGATGCTCAGTTCAGCTTTGCTGCTTCTATGGGACTTAAAGAGACATAGGTACATGTGTGGAGGGAGTAAAAGCACATTTATATCAGCAGCCCTCCTACACTGCAAGGACGCTCTCAATGGAGAGATGGCTTCCGGTACCCAGGCCTGTTGGCAGACCAACTCTGCATTACAAAGATGTCTACTAACGTGCCAGGAAGGCTGGAAACATTAACCCTGCCATGTGGGAATCCCTTGCAGATGGACCGCACTGCCTGGAGACAGGCAGTCAAGTAGTGTATCCAGAGTGGTGACCAGAGGAGAAAAGGCCACTTGGAGGAGCACAGAAAGAAGAAACACCATGTGCATCTGCAACAGCACAACTAGACACTTTCATCTTCCCTAGATGCAACAAAACATGTCTCTCCTGTATCGTTCTCTACAGCCACAGCAGGTGCTGAAACCTTCCAACAGCTTGACTTCATCCCCAAAGGCACACTCCTCCGTTGTCTTTCCTCAACCTTTGAATCTCTCTCCTTGGCTTAAGCTTTGTTTTTGTTGTTTTTAACTGTAACATGCATTAATTTTGATTAAATGTCATTGTTTTCAACAACATAGCAAGCAAAACACACCAGCCTAATGATAAGATATATACACCCAATAGGTGAAAACTAGGGTTATGAAAACAGAAGGAATTTTTAAAAAAATAAATAAATAAATACTAACATTTTAGTCCTGTTGTTTCAGCAGGTAGGACCCAAGCAAACCAGTCCAGATTGCAAGAAGGGAGATCTTTTGACTGAACATTTGAAGATCCTCCTGATAGTACAAGCTGTTCAACAGTAGAACAGATTATCTTGCAAGTTAGTGAACTCTCCATCATCACTGAGGCTCTTAAGCAGTGGCTGCATGGCCAAACTATCAGTGATTTCCTCCATTGACTAGATGACCTTGGATGTCTCCCCCAACTCTACTATTCTTAGAATTCCTCCAACCAAAA